TGAAGCACTTGAGATCGATCTGGGATCTGCAAGTCCCCAGTTGGCAAATGGAACCGCTGATGAATCTGCTGACGGATCAGATACTCATTCTGAATCTTCAGGAGGTACGTCTGATGCTCTGGCCATCGAGCAGCGCCGGGCTTACAAGCTCGAACTTCAGGTAAGAATGTACAGATGTTTGGGTACTTGGCAGATAATTTAGAAGAGTGACATCCGATTATTGTCCTGTTCTCGTTAATTTTAATTTAAATGTTTGTCCCAGGAAGGTATTTCTCTTTTTAATCGGAAGCCAACAAAAGGCATCGGGTTTCTCATCAATGCGGGTAAGGTGGGTGAGTCTCCTGAAGAAATAGCAGCTTTTCTCAAAGATGCGTCAGGGTTAAATAAAACTATGATAGGCGATTATCTTGGAGAAAGAGAAGAGTTACATTTCAAGGTGATGCATGCGTATGTGGATTCTTTTGATTTCCAAGAGATGGAATTTGATGAGGCAATAAGAACCTTTCTTGAAGGTTTTAGGCTGCCAGGAGAAGCACAAAAGATTGACCGAATCACGGAAAAGTTTGCTGAACGTTACTGCAAATGTAATCCTAAGGTGTTCACTAGCGCAGACACAGCTTATGTTCTTGCATATTCTGTGATCATGCTCAACACTGATGCCCACAACCCCATGGTGAAGAACAAGGTTCGTTTCATTCATTATCTATGTTAAACACAGTTATGGAAGTTTGAGGTCGAATAATGATGAGGTTCTTTGTCCGTTTCTTTTCTTTTTGGAACATATAGATGTCTGCCGATGACTTTATTAGAAACAATCGTGGAATAGATGACGGAAAAGATTTACCTGCGGACTACATGAGATCGCTGTATGAAAGGATAACAAAGAAAGAGATAAAGATGAAAGAAGATGATTTACCTTTGCAACATAAACAATCCACAAACTCAAACAGAATGCTTGGTTTGGATGGTATATTAAACATAGTGATTCGTAAGCAGGGGGGAGAGTCATATGTGGAAACAAGTGATGATTTGATGAAGCACATGCAGGAGCAATTTAACAAAAAAGCTCGTAAATCGGAGTAAGATCATTCACTCTTCCTTGTACTAAAAGTTGTTAACAACCTTTTCCATCATGGCTCTGTAACACAACATAGTCAATGCAACTCGGATCTACTCTCCTGAACTGTTTCCATCCTTTAGGCATCTTTTAACTGATGCAGTATTCCAATTTACTTTGTGATTGCAGGTCAACCTACTATCCTGCAACAGATGTGGTTATTCTCAGATTTATGATTGAGGCTTGTTGGGCTCCTATGCTTGCTGGATTCAGTGTGCCACTAGACCAGAGTGATGATTTGATAGTGATCAACCTATGTCTTGAAGGCTTCCACCATGCTATCCATGCAACTTCGTTGATGTCAATGAAGACCCATAGAGATGCTTTTGTGACTTCACTAGCGAAGTTCACTTCACTCCACTCCCCAGCTGATATCAAGCAGAAAAATATAGAAGCCATTAAGGTTACTATTACTTCATTAACTATTACGTACTATTGTTTTTAAATTTTAGTAGCCCCCTTATCGTCCCCCTACCTTGCTTTACCGGAAAACATGTTATGTATCTTGGATATCTCTTCCTCATCTTACCTCGTACTCTGTCTATTCCTTGTGTTACTTTTATGGCGATAGCATCTCCTTCCTGCTCTCACTGTCCCTTGTTCCCCTATAAATTTTTCTGGGTCCCAATTAACATTGGTTGTTTTCCAGGCGATTCTCAGACTTGCTGATGAAGAGGGCAACTATTTGCAAGATGCCTGGGAGCATATACTAACCTGTGTTTCCCGTTTTGAGCAACTACATCTTCTGGGAGAAGGTGCTCCTCCAGATGCCGCTTTTTTTGCTTCCAACCAAAATGAGTCAGAGAAATCAAAGCAACCGAAACAAAATGTACTTCCTGTTCTGAAAAAGAAGGGTCCTGGGAAAAACCAATATGCAGCTACAGGTGTGTTGAGGGGTTCATATGACAGCATGAGTCTTGGCGGAAAAGGTTCTAGGAACGTGAGACAAGAACAGATGAGCAGTATAGTCTCTAATTTGAACTTGTTGGAGCAGGTTGGTGAAATGAATCTGATATTCGCACAGAGTCAGAATCTGAACAGTGAAGCTATAATAGACTTTGTTAAAGCTCTCTGCAAAGTCTCTCTTGATGAGTTGCGGTCTCCGTCTAATCCACGCGTTTTTAGCCTCACAAAGATTGTTGAGATAGCGTAAGAACCGCCTAGTTTCTATCCTTTCTTTTCCTTAGCATTTTGGAGTATATAGCCTGACATCTTCTATTCGTAATTTGTGACAGGCATTATAACATGAACCGCATAAGGCTTGTTTGGTCAAGCATCTGGCAAGTGCTATCGGGTTTCTTTGTAACCATTGGATGCTCGGAGAATCTTTCTATTGCAATTTTTGCAATGGATTCTTTGCGCCAGTTGTCAATGAAATTCCTGGAACGGGAGGAGTTGGCTAATTACAACTTCCAGAACGAATTTATGACACCCTTTGTCATAGTTATGCGTAGAAGTAATGATGTTGAAATCAGAGAACTTATCATCCGATGTGTTTCTCAGATGGTGTTGTCGCGTGTAAATAATGTTAAGTCCGGATGGAAAAGCATGTTCATGGTAGGCATTTATTCTATTTCTCTGGTAACCACAGTTATTTAAGAAGTTTTTGTTTACTTATGTAATCTCACAGTGTGTTTTTTTATTTTATTGCAGGTTTTCACCACAGCGGCATATGACGACCACAAGAATATTGTACTTTTGTCCTTTGAAATTATCGAGAAGATTATTCGAGAATATTTCCCATACATCACTGAGACAGAAACCACCACTTTTACAGATTGTGTGAATTGCCTTGTTGCATTCACCAATAACAGATTTAGCAAGGATATCAGCCTCAGTTCCATAGCTTTCCTCCGGTACTGTGCAACAAAGCTTGCAGAAGGAGATCTTAAATCACCATCAACGAATAAAGACAAGGAAACTTCTGGAAAGATTCCTCAGTCCTCTCTCCACACAGGAAAAAGCGCGAAACAAGAGAACGGAGAGTTTGTAAACAGCAATAATCAGCTATACTTTTGGTTTCCTTTACTAGCAGGTATAACATTATTGAATAGTCTCTACGTTAGACATTTTAAAACTACCTTTTTCGCATGTGCTAGCTGAGTTAAAAATTCTTATTCATGTGTTTCACCTTCCTATGTCTAATTTGCAGGCTTATCAGAGCTTAGTTTCGATCCAAGACCAGAAATCAGGAAAAGTGCACTACAGATTCTGTTCGATACCTTACGCAACCACGGCCACTTATTTTCTCTGCCATTATGGGAAAAAGTATTCGAATCTGTGTTATTTCCTATATTTGACTATGTACGACATTCTATTGATCCATCTGGCGAAGACGAGTCTGCAGATCAAGGAAGTTATGGTGATGTGGATGAGCTTGACCATGATGCCTGGCTCTATGAGACTTGCACATTAGCACTACAGCTTGTAGTGGATCTCTTTGTAAAATTTTACAGTACAGTGAGTCCACTTCTAAAGAAAGTACTAATGCTTCTTGTGAGCTTCATAAAGAGACCTCACCAGAGCCTTGCAGGGATTGGTATCGCTGCGTTTGTTCGTCTTATGAGTGATGCTGGTGGCTTGTTTTCTGAAGAAAAATGGTTAGAAGTAGTGTCGTCTTTAAAAGAATCGGCGAAGACGACTTGCCCAGATTTTTCTTATTTCCTCAGCGAAGAATATGTGGAGAGAAGCCAGAGAAATGCTCACAGCATTCAGAACAGTAATGCGGAGTCTGTTGCTTCAATTGGCTCGGATAGTAATGGAGAGAGTCAGAGAACAGCAATTCGTCTTTATGCCGCTATCTCTGATGCTAAGTGCCGAGCCGCTGTTCAGCTTTTGTTGATTCAGGTCAGTTCCTCTTCAGGCATTTGCGTTTTCCTTTTTATGTTTACATGTTATAATTGTACTGTATGTTCTTCTAAATGAACCCACAACCCTTAGAGAACTGTTTTAATCAAAATGAATTGTAAGTTGTAAACTCAATAGCCAAACATGAACATGAATTAGTATGATTGTAATTTGTTGTAATGTTTCTTATTTCAGGCTGTGATGGAGATTTACAACATGTACAGACCTCAGCTTTCAGCGAAAAGCACATTAGTCCTGTTCGACGCATTGCACGGTGTAGCGTTACATGCTCACAGCGTAAACAGCAACTCGGTACTCCGTTCAAGACTACAAGAACTAGGACCCATGACACAGATGCAAGATCCTCCACTTCTTCGTCTGGAAAACGAGTCTTACCAAATCTGCCTCACATTCTTACAGAATCTCGTTACAGACAAAAACAGAGAATCAGAAGAAGAAGAGGAAATAGAATCGTTTCTAGTTAAAATCTGTCAAGAAGTTCTCAACTTCTACATCGAGACTTCTTCTTCTGTGAAAAAACAACAATCAGAATCATCACGAGCTAGCGAGTACCGATGGAGAATACCTCTGGGATCAGGAAAACGAAGGGAGTTAGCAGCAAGAGCTCCTCTGATAGTTGCAACACTTCAAGCAATTTGTACATTGGAAGAGGCATCATTTGAGAAGAACCTGAAATGTCTGTTTCCACTTCTGGCTAGCTTGATTAGCTGCGAACACGGCTCTACTGAGGTTCAGACTGCTCTTGCCGACATGCTGGGCTTATCAGTTGGCCCAGTTTTACTCCAATGGTGCTGATTTTTGGTGCTTTTTTTTTTGTTGCCTGTCAATCTTTTATTTCGGCTTGTCTTTATAGAGCTCTCTCTTTAAATCATCGGTTCAATTATAAAACTCGCCTAATGGACTTGATGTGTTTAAGTCCTCGTAGGCCCAGTAATTACAAACTTCTCTTTTATCATTTATGTTGGCTTCCAACTATACGACGCCATGTTTGTGATTTTGATTAGTGTTACCTGGGTCCCACTCCAATTTCCCATGACCCCGCACATGCACGCCTTTTAATAAAAGTCCCATAAGATTGCTTCAATTTTTTCAACTCTTGATAATTGTCACTCTCATGCACTTAGACGAAGAAGAAGAAGAAGAGGGAAAAAATGGATGAGGTCTCTCGCTCTCTTTCACCGCCTTCCTTTCTATCAAAAGATCTTCACCTCCATAATTTTCACCATCAATCCTCCAATCACCAAATTCTCGGCCTAAAACGCGACCGACAAGACCACATCGTCAACGACCACTCTAATTCATCCGGTAAAGACCATGCCACAACGACTACTCCCTCAGGAGAAGGAGATAAGATCATTAAGAGAAGGCCACGTGGTAGACCCTCTGGTTCCAAGAACAAACCCAAAGCACCGATCATTATCACACGCGACTCCGCAAACGCCTTCAGATGCCACGTCATGGAGATAGCCAACGGCTGCGATGTAATGGAAAGCATAAACGTGTTCGCTAGACGCCGTCATCGTGGCGTTTGCGTCTTAACCGGAAACGGCGCCGTTACAGACATCACCGTCAGACATCCCGTCGGAGGAGGAGGCGCGGGCTCTAACGCCGTCGTTAAGTTACTGGGACGGTTCGAGATTCTTTCTCTCTCAGGTTCGTTTCTTCCTCCACCGGCTCCGCCAGCTGCGTCTGGTTTAACAGTTTACTTAGCCGGTGGTCAAGGTCAAGTGGTCGGAGGTAACGTAGTGGGACCGCTTATGGCTTCAGGTCGTGTCGTGATTATGGCAGCTTCGTTTGGAAACGCAGCTTACGAGAGGCTGCCATTAGAAAAGGAGGAGGAGGATGGAAACGCGACTGTTGCGGATGAATCGCAAACGCAAACGCAGAAGCAGTTAATGCAAGATGCAACGCCGTTTATTCAAGGGTTGCCTTCGAATATCATGAATTCTGTTTCACTGCCAAGTGAAGCTTATTGGGGAACGCAACGACCGTCTTTTTAGATTATCCTTATTCTTTATATATATACTTCTTATCCAATTTTTTTTTCTTTCTAGATTATCCTTAATATTTATAAACTTTCTTCTTCTGCTTCTTTTATTTTGTTTATTGTTCTTTTTAGCTTCCCAAAAATTTTCGCATGGTATGAATTTTTTAATGTTTGAGCAGTGCCTGAAGCTTTTTGGCAATTCTTTGATCGGGCCGTAGCATTGTTGAATCGGATAAAGAATTTATTTTGTAAACCGAAACGCAATGATATAAGGGTTGGTTAGTGTTGGGCTTTGTGTATAGGGTTAATATTGGGCTTTATGTATGAATAATGAGAGTTGATTTCGAATTGTTTTGTGGAAGTAAACAATTAGATGCCTCCCAGTAATGAGTAATCCAGTACTCAGTTAGTCAGTAGCAGCATTTGCGTAATCTCTGCTTTCTGAGATAAGTTTGCAGGAGCAAGATTTGTCCATTTCACCAAACCAACATCTAACGCCTTGACGTGCGTGGGCCGAATATTAACCCTCTAAGCCCAAATTCGATGGTTTATATTCTATGGCTTATTGACTCACATGAAGCCTAATTACACGCTGTTCAAACAAAAAAAGAGCCTAATTACACTTGTTCGCTTTTGGATATCTCTTTCAAAATCTCCCTAATAATAATATGTATATTTTTTTGCACGTGACATATAGTGAATGAAAAATCCTAACCTTTTGCACTGTCTTCTTCCATCCCTTGCAACGTTCCCGGTTGGATTATCACTTATCAGGCAGTGTGCCTACTAGCCACTATTATCACACAGCCTCCAACTGTTTTGTATCTCTCTCGTTGTGCGACTTTGATTCTTCTAAGGTTCCGATTGAAATCAGAGTTTCGATGGCAGCTTTGAAAGGTTATGGCTTGATCTCCATTGACTCTGCCCTCCATTTCCCTCGTCCACATCAATTCGAGGGCTACAAGAGGTTTCACTCTCTCTTTTATTCATGGCCATATTTGCAACTCTTTGTAGTTTATCTTTGCCTAATCTTATTGGGATCATAGTTTCTGGGACTGGTACTGAATTTGTTCGGAATCGTTTTGTATCACTTATTGATCTTGAATTGATTTTAACATAAGTAGTACAATAGATACTAGATAGAAAGAATTGATTTTGGAAAAAAAAAGCAATCTTTTTTCCTTTTCCGGAAAAGAATCGGATCTGTAGTTGTATTTGTAGATAAATTAGCTGGATTAATGGTTTAGATGTTTACAGTAATTGGTGTTTCTGAGACATAGTCTTATAATCTCTTAGTTGCCGAGTTATGGGAGTCTATTACCGAACATTACTAAGTTATGCTCTGTCTTATTTTTCTCATCACACAGAAGAAATGCGAAATGGGTCTCTCCAAAAGCAGCTGTTGTGCCAAACTTCCATCTCCCAATGCGTAGTCTCGAGGATAAAAACAGGTCGCTTTGTGTTTTATTTTCTCGTAGCTTCACTTCCTTTTTTAAAAAAATGTTTTCTAGTGTTTTTGTTGATGCCACAACTTTCTCTTGTTCATGGCTGCAGGACAAACACAGACGATATAAGGTCCCTTAGAGTGATCACAGCCATTAAAACACCGTATCTACCTGATGGAAGATTCGACCTCGAAGCATATGATGACTTAGTCAACACGCAGATAGAAAACGGAGCCGAAGGTGTGATTGTTGGTGGCACAACCGGTGAAGGCCAATTGATGAGCTGGGACGAACACATAATGCTTATAGGCCATACCGTAAATTGTTTTGGTGGAAGAATCAAAGTCATTGGAAACACCGGAAGCAACTCTACTAGGGAAGCTATACATGCCACTGAGCAAGGTTTCGCTGTTGGAATGCACGCAGCTCTGCACATAAACCCTTACTATGGAAAAACTTCCATTGAAGGCATGACTGCTCACTTTCAAACCGTTCTTCATATGGGACCTACGATTATATACAATGTGCCAGGTCGTACGAGTCAAGACATACCTCCTCCGGTTATCTTTAAGCTTTCTCGGAATCCTAATTTGGCTGGAGTTAAGGAATGCGTTGGTAATAACAGAGTCGAAGAGTATACTGGGAATGGAGTTGTTGTGTGGAGTGGAAATGATGATCAGTGCCATGATTCTAGATGGGATCATGGGGCGACTGGAGTTATATCGGTCACTAGCAATTTGGTTCCAGGTTTGATGAGGAGGTTAATGTTTGAAGGTAGAAACTCGGCGTTGAACTCAAAGCTTCTGCCTTTAATGGATTGGCTATTCCAAGAACCGAATCCGATTGGTGTTAACACTGCTTTGGCTCAGCTAGGTGTTGCGAGGCCGGTTTTTCGGTTACCGTATGTGCCATTGCCTGTGTCCAAAAGGGTTGAGTTTGTTAAACTGGTTAAGGAAATCGGAAGGGAGCATTTTGTAGGAGAGAGAGATGTTCAGGTGCTTGATGATGATGACTTCATATTGATCGGTCGGTATTAGAATGTCTTCCTTGAAGATTGGTTCTGTTCATACATCTCTTGTTGGTTGTTTTAGCTGATGAGAAACTTACAGATGAATCATATAGCTGTTCTGGTCTGTTGCTTTTGTTATGAATCTGGTGGTTTCTTTCTGACTCTCTTCTTCTTAAACAGAGAAGAGTGTGTTTGATTGTGTTTTGTCTCTGCGTGTTTTGCTCTGTTATAATTACGAAATGGCATGATGATTTCCTGTGAGCTTTCGGAAACATTGCTATCACGAATTGACAACGGCATTGATCGCCTTGTTAAATTAACATTAAGCAACAAAATAAGCAACAAAATAAAAAGAACTTTTGACGTATTCTTTCGTCCTTGTTCACCCAAAAATGGGAAAAATATCGTGAAAAAAATGAGGAGAACGTTGAAAAATGATCACGAATATATTATAATACTTAGTACATCGATAAATTTAGGTCTCTAACAACGGTTCGGAGCCGAGGTTTTTATTTCAGCAGAAGACGAGAACAAACGTAATCAAGAAACATGATTCACGGACACGAAGATCACTGCAAGAAGGAGGATGAAACAGGGGAGAGTTTTGAGTGAAGCAGAGAGAAGAGGGCATTGTTTTCTTGGTGGAGAAGAAGAGCTTTCTTCTTTAAAGCCTCATTCTCTCGTCTGATGCTTTGATTCTCAAGGAAAAGCTTCAAGTTTCTCATCTCCATCTTCTTCTCTGCCCTCGGTAATATTCTCCTCCTGCGTCGAAAGAAAAGAAAAAAAAACACAGAGTAGAGCTGTTATTGATTCATAACGCTAAAACAGAGTCAATGTGTCTGAAGAAGCTTGCTATATATAATATATGGAAGATGAAAGTGAACCTGGTGAGATTAAGGATACGAAGATGGGTTTGTGTCTTTGGTTTACGTTTGTTGTGATAGGAAGCTGATCTCATCGTGGGTGTGCGTGTGTATGGGAATGATTCTGAAGATCTCAGACACATCTTCTTCTGGTTATATTCCGCAGAAAGAACTGAGTAAACACAATGTAAATGTAATCTTTATATAGAAATAGATTGAGCTCTTGTGTTTTGTAAAGAGATATAGAGAGTTGAAGGCTTTTGAAGGTAATGATGGTAAAAGGAAACTCATGATTATAGAGGGACCATGAATGCATGGGCTAAGGACGAAGATGATGAAGAAGAAGACCAAAACAGACTATCTTTCTTTCTCTCATTGAGTCTCTATTTCTTGTTCTTGATTTAATAGTTACAGTACTTAATTTTCCTCAATAGCTCAAGAAACAGTTGAGGTACATACCAAATAAACTACAACAATAGACAAATTATTCAGTTTTCATGTTAACTGATTACTTGTATTGTAATCGACAAGAGAAAGGTCGAATGAAATTTAGACCGACTATGTGCTAGAATTGATTTTTTTTTAGAGCACCATTAAAAAAAAAAAGAAGAAGAAAACAAAAAAAACTCAAAAGAAAACTCCTTTAACTTCCTACCAAACCTTAGAAGACCCTTTGTCAAAAAAAAACTTCCTACCAAATCCATTCCAAAGGCGGAGGCATTGGGTTCCCGGGAGCTCATTGGCATATATCCCCATAATTGGGGTCTAATTGTTAAGAAAGAAAAACCTTGATACAAAAAGACCTCTAAGAAAAAAACTATATATTCTATAGTTACTATATAAATCTAATCATGTGATATGAATAGAGAAAAAAAAACATAATTGATGAGGCTAAGGACTAGGGCCACTTAAACCTCTTACTCATTTCTAATGTTGATATTTTGTTTGAGATGAAACCAAATAGATATACAAATAAAAAATGCGAACTAATACTAAAGAGTAAAGACTAAATGGCAAATTGGAGGAGCAAGTCAACATCAGGAATTATTAGCATGCTTCAAAATGATAAAAGCAGCTATATTTCCACTGCTATACTTCCTAATATTTCTAGCTACTCTTAGAGTAAGCCTTATCTACCACAAAACAAAGATATGATGGGTATTCTTAAAACATGCATCAAACATAAACTAACGCTCATAAAAGGACGAAACAGGTATCATAAATGGCAAAAGAGTTACCATAGACTGGGGGTAATTTCTGGAGTTGGTACTGGTTATAATGATGAGTTTTGTTGCATAAGAGTGGTCCAAATCAGAATTCACCACGCCCCTTCATTATTTCTAGATGGTACCATATATATATATGAATCCTCAACTAGCTATAGCTTAGTACTCTCATCCATTATGTGAGTCTTTAATTAGCTATAAGAACTAAACATTCAAACTTTAATTATACTAGCAAAGAATAGGTGAATGGATATTCACCTTATGTAACCGCTACACTGTTTTGTGTAGGTCCAAGCTAAATAAAATAATTTCTACGATGATTCAGTATTTTAAACGGGTTACCTTCTATAAAGATACAGTGTAGCGGTTGTGTGGAGAATGATAACATAAGCCCATTGGGTTCTTAAATAAGTAAATTCGGCTACCTTAGGACTTGGGAAGGCTTAGATTAGTAGAATTTCGAGTGTCTGAACCGATTCTTGGTTTAGCTTAGCACAAAATCAATTTTGTTTTGTTTTCATCATGGTATCTATTTGATTGGGTCAAACCTGATTTATTAAAGGACGTGGACCCGAGGAGACTCTGTCTTATCACTCAACCACGTGGGGATACCACAAGTTCAAGTTCCAACGGTCCGTTGCACTTTGTTATTTTCAAATCCCGAAACCCACCAATTTATTTATACTAATACGACGTTGCATCGCCCAATGATAAGCGTGGTTGCTTTACGTAGCTGTAACTAGTGAGTGTATAACAAAAAAAGGCCACTCAAACTGTAAAATACTCCAAAGTTTCAAACTTTAAATACTACTAGAAAACTAACACACCAAGACGAAAACAAAAGCAATCATCGAAGTCTAAATTAATTAAAACAATTTAACTTAAAACCTCACTCTCTAATCCCAGTCTTAACAAACAGACTAAATTAATATAAAAATGAGCAAAAGGAAGTGGCACTCTGCGTAATTACGATAACTTGTAAGGGCTTTTATAGCAATAGAGATATGGCGGCAAGAGTGACCAATACGGTGAAGTAGGCAGGTGCGTTCACGTGAAACGCCGCGTTTTTTGCCTTGCTGTCCTCTGAACTTGTCGGCGACTCTGACGGAGCTCCTTCCGGCGAATCATCCACTGGAGGTGCCGGCGGAGAAGCTGCCACAGGTGACGGAGCTTCTGCTGGAGACGGTGACTTAGCCGGAGACGGTGTCGGTGCGCTCACTGGCTCCGGTGCCGGCGCCGGAGATGGGGATTTACCGAAGAGTTCGGTGGGGAGAAGAACTTTATCCACCGTGAAAATCACGACAGGTGTCTCATCGATCACCGTGTCGGCGAGTCTCGACGGACCAACGCCGGTATGGAGGATAACCTCGTCGCCGGAAGTCGACGTCGTTAAATCGTATTTCCCGGCTCCGTTAGTGGCTAATGTGGAGATTGAGTCTTTGTTAGTCTTCAATGAGCCTTTGGGTTTGTATTCAGCGAGGGCGTGATACTCTAGGAGCGAGACCACCTCAGCTTGCGTGAGCTTCGTCAGATCTGGTACGCCTTGGGCTTTGAAAGCTTCATCGGACGGTGCAAAAACCGTCAAGCCTTTTTCGACGGTGGATTCGTAGGTTTTAAGGACACCGCTCGAGACGAGCAAATTAGCGAAGGTTTTACAACCGGATTTCTCGAGAAGTCCGGTGATGTTGCTGATTCCGCCGGCGGATGGAGCAGGGGCGGTTAGGATTCCGGGAGCGATGATCGGAGCGTCGATTTCGAGAACGGAGATGTTGTAAGGGATTTGTTTGACGGATTTGGTGTAGGAGGAATCGAGCTTGGATCCAGGTGCGGCGGAGCCGAATCCGACTTTGCCTCCTTTGAGATCGGTGACGTTGACGAATCCTAGGTTTCCGGGAGCGTTTCCGGTGGTTTGGTAAAGCGTGGTGGTGAGGGTTGTGCCTTTAGAGATCTTGTGGAGTTTTTGAGGATCGTAGTAATCGAGGAGGACGAGGAGGCTGAGAGCATTTTTGATGACGGAGAGTGGATGTTTTCCGGCGAGAGAAGACATTGCGCCATTGTTGAGGACAAGGAGGGTGATGGTAGTGCGGCTATTGATTTCGTCGGCGAGCTTCGTTTGGGAAAGGTAGCTGTTGAAGGAGGAATATTCCGGCGAATCGGCGAGGATTTGGGTGATGTTATGTCCGGATATGGTAGAAGCGACGGCGAGGAGAGATAAAGTGAGTGCGAGGAGAGAGAAAACTCGTGATGGCGCCATTGGATTTTGACGGTTGAGTGGAAGTGTGGACTGTGGAGAAGAGAAAGTGAGAAGACAGACAGACATCAAGTTAAAAAGAAGAAGGAGATGTTAAATGTTAACCATGGTTCGCACTTAACTATGGTTAGATTGAGAACACGTGCTTTTGCTAAAAAGCCTGAAATCACGAAAATGGGCTTTGGGCTTCTTTTTCGTTGCTTAGTCTTCCAAAAGCATCCGTTATATCATTACCGACGTTAGATCATTATCACTTATTAATTGGTAAGTAACGGGCACGGCTATGAGCCAAATATTAACCATGGTCGAATCCAGATAAACTTAATCTTTTTTAAAAAAAACTTGATCTTTTTAATTTTGAGTTTATTTATTGATGCTCATTAGAAATGAGGAATTGCACTTGGAAATTTATTTATCAATTGATCTTCTGCAGTAAACACGTCTTAGCCTCTTTTCTTCATTAGTTTTGTAATCTTTACATTTTACCAGAAATATAAGAAAAAAATTCAAGTCACAGGATCAACTGTAGATACTTCTTGAACCTTGTCAATAGTTGGTAGCATCTTCTTTAGTGGAAAGAAGGTTCTTATTGCACGACAAATCACTGATAAAGAAACTATTATTTATGCTAAAAACGACAAACCATAAATACTTAATGTATATTTTTTGTCGTGATCAGAATACTTTATATGTGTCGTAAAAATCTACAAAGGTTAAATCATTAGATTAAAAAACAAAAAAAAAGTTAAACCAAATTAACAAGCACGAATAATGGGCGGAGATGAGGCTTTATTCCTTTATTTAAGCCCGTTCATAGGCCTAACTTAAGATTTAAGAAGAAGACCCTGCACGTGTGAGGACACACCGGTCACGTGTCACTATTCACCTTCACATGATTTTCTATGGGCCAGTAATAGGCCCAAACTGCGTAAGCTAGTAAAAAACGCCGACGAAGAAAAAAGCTCCGCCGCAGATTCTCAAGATCGGATCTTTTGAGAAAGAGAGAGAGATGCAGAGGGACGTGTCGAGCTGCAACACTTACAACTATGGCGACGCTCTGTATTGGGACGCTCGTTACGTGCAAGACGCACTCTCCTTCGACTGGTACCAACGCTACTCTTCTCTCCGCCCTTTCGTCCGCAGCTTCGTCCCTACTTCTTCACGAGTCCTCATGGTTGGCTGTGGCAATTCCCGTAATTATCTCTTCTTCCTCTATCTCTAGTTACAATTTGCTATGGAGCTTGGAATTTCTGCTGAAGAAGAACTCTACCATTTGATTGAATATGACTTTAGAGCATTCCAATTTAATACCTTGGTGCAGTTATGTCGGAGGATATGGTCAAGGACGGATATGAGAACATTATGAATGTTGACATATCTTCAGTGGCTATTGAGATGATGCGAACCAAATACGCGTCTGTTCCTCAGCTCAAATGTACACTCTTTGCATCTCCAATTTCTCCATTTATATTTCGATTTAAATATGTAAAGTAAGAAGCTTTATTATTCACCTTTTACTCAACAGATTTGCAAATGGATGTTAGAGATATGAGCTACTTTTCAGACGATTCCTTTGACACTGTCATTGATAAAGGTATGTTGTGTCCAATTTACTTACTTTTTTTTGTTCCTCACTCTGTTTTTTTTTTTGGTTCGGTTCTCTGGTGGAAAGCGTGATTGTGTTTTTTTTTATATTTTTTTTGAAGGAACCCTTGATTCATTGATGGTACGGAGTGAATCTTGAATCTTGTCATCCTTTGTTTCTCATGTCTCCATGCATTGTTTTTTTAAGTTTTCTTCTTTTGTGACGGTATGTGCTTCCAGTGTGGGAATGATGCTCCTCTAAGTGCTACGAGAATGTTGGGTGAAGTTAGCAGGTTATAATAGTTAGTTAGCACCACCTAATATCATGGCTGCTCCTGGATCATCTTATGGATTGCCATTAAGGATTCACTTTTAACGTTGACCATATATATATTTATTCCCTTTTTCCATATATGCAGGCTGATGAAACCTGGAGGGACCTACTTCTTGGTAATATACTTTCTCTTGCATTCCCATTTATGTTTGGAACTGTTCTAGATATCCTCGTCACTGGGAATTAACCTGTGTGTTTCTTATGGGGTTTGGTAGATAACCTACGGTGATCCAAAAGTGAGAATGCCTCATTTGACTCGTTCTGCGTACAACTGGAAGATCTCCTTATACATCATACGTAAGTTTTCCACTCTTTTTGCAAGAAATTCTCTTATGAAATTGCATTCTTTGCTTAACCCTTTTGAGTTCTTGCAGCAAGACCAGGATTTAAAAAGCCAGGAAGTTGTAGCTCGTCGTCAGAGAAATCGTGTCTGGAAGCTATACCTATGACAAGTGAAGGAATGTTGCCACATGATTATGTTCTGGAGGACCCTGATTCCCATTTTATTTACATTTGCAATAAGATGGACGAAGAAGTTTCTCAACTACCCTCATACCCATTAATGGAGGATGTTTTGTAGTGATGATGTCTGGTGGCTGGCATGGAGGCTAAAATGAAAGCAAAATTGTGCACGACTGTTGTCTTCTTGATCGCCATGAGATTACCGATCTACTGTTGTATTTTGTATGTCTTGTGATCTATCCCAATTGATAGGTCCGAGCCGGAATTGCTCATATCAACTCTAAAGTTTATACTCCCTTTTATACGAATTAAACATCTTACTTTTATCTTTATGGTCATATTATTAGTCATATTATCTTTCAAAACAAACCGTTGTTGATTCGCTCAGCTCTGTCTCGAAAGATGTATTTTAAGAGTAAAAGGAATGGCTTCAACGTTGAAGTGTAGCACCAAGAAGAAAGAAGCATGTATTTAATCTTGATTATTTATTTGCAACCAAAGTTCTGTTTCAAGAGTAAAAGAAATGGCTTGAACATGTAAGAAAGATGTATTTAGGAAATTAACAAAAGAGCGAATGCCATATAATACAGATATGACGTAATTTTTCATCCTAACCTATAAAAGATTGAAAACAAAAACAAAAAAACCAACCCAATGGGCAAATGACCGTAAAGGTCAAGCTTGGTACAGCTTTTGATCCTAGGATTTTCCCAAATGTGCAAAAAACAGAAAATCACATTCTATGTATCGACTGCTAGTGATGTTAAAGACATGGTGGATGATGCGAGCGGAGTGACTTTGGCGTGTGGCGGTATGTATATATGTACACAGTCTTATGTTATTAAGACACAATCACGAAGGAAACATGTGAAAACCTGACTTAAATGTAGTAAAATTCTATTAGTTTCTGTTTGTCGAATCCAACTTTCGCTCAGAGCCAACAAGCTTTAGCGTCTGATCCACCACCTTCGAGCTTAACTGCAAGCAATATAAAAACAAAGGTTGGTTTTGTTTACTTAACGAAAAAAAAAAAAAAAAACTTAGGCCCTAGACTCGGATTGCTCTTTCGCTAATTAATGATGAAGCTGAAGTAAAGCCCGCAAAAATAAAAATGCCGAAATGGTAACAAAACTTACATGTGGATTGGTGAAGATTATCAATTGCTTATCTACTGTGGAAACTAAGAGGTTAGTGTTGTCTGTGTTCAGAGCCATACTGGTTATATCCTGCCCTTCACCAAGCTTCATGACATGGAATACCTACAGAAGAAGAAGAAGAATTTTTTGTTTGTTAAAGGAAAATTAATATATCTTTCAACGACATCAAGAGCAATGCCTACCAAGAACATCTAGCGTTTTCCATATTTATACCTTAAGAGTGTGTAAGTTGAGGAAGCAAATTGAAGGAGATGGGATATCCAATCTTTCAATTGCCTTGCCTCCACTTGATGAATCTTCTTCATCAATGCCGGAAAACGAGTTCACACCAATCACAACACTTTGGCCATCCATGGATAGTTCCATGCAACTTATTGTACAAGAGGAAGGAAGTTTCGCTTTGGAAATGAGAATCCCATTAATGGTGAACGTGCTGATAGAATTTTCAGATCTACTCCAGACCACCACAACTCCATCACAAGATATGCAGAGAGCATGGGCCTTGACGCCAACAAGCCGTCTTATTAGTCGACCTTTTCTTATGGAATGCAATAGAACATCTGATGACTCAGAGGAAGAAACGACGATTCCTTGATCTGAGCTAACACAGCAACAGACTATTTCTCTTAGGTGGCCATGGAGCACTTGTATGGGCCCTTCAATGCGCCGCCTTTTATTCGCCAAGGTGTTGCTTGCGGAGGAAAGTGTCTCAGAGCTTTTTGTCTGCTCAGACTCGCTTGCCTGAGAAGTGAATCCCTTGTGGAATCTCCACAGCAACACAGTTGTATCTCGTGAACCTGTCACAAGGAAGTTGCTGTCTGGAGACAGAGCAAGACATGTTACAGGAGCACAGTGACCAAAAGCTGTTTCTAGTGTTTTGGCTCCATCTGATGAGACTAGCTTGATGCTATTATCCACATGTCCACCTGATTAACAAACAGTGATTAGATAATGAAAAAGTTATCAACCACCAAAACCTTCACAGAGATCAGAGCCGCTTTTAAAAACAGTTTACCGGTGATAATTTCTCCGTCGCTTGTAATAGCAGTGACCGATGAACTTGTGATTCCTGATGAGGCAAATGCTTGTGCTTGGGGATATTCCCAATCACCCTTGAACATGCGTATCAATGTTCCACCACTTGAAGCCGCCTTCCCGTGATGAAAGATGAAAGGAGCGTTGTGGCCATCAGGAGTGTTTGGTTGCCACTTGTGATGTGCAATATGTGCTGCAGGCACATTCATGTCAACAATCACAACGCTATCAGAAGATGCCTTGATGGCTGCAGCAGGTAAGTTGCAGTGTTCTGGAGCCTGAACAGGATACGGTTTTATCGCTTTTGGATTCCGAAAGATGGTCTGAACAAGAATTTAAAAAATGTTTGTCAAATGTAGCAACAGAAAGACCTCTCTTTTCTGCCAAAGTGTAACTCAGAATCTCTTACAGAATCATTTACCTGCATATGAAGGACATCTTTCAGAGGCAATCTTTTGATGTGAGGCACAGTCAATAGCTGGGATGGGGTTTGCCCAAAATAAGCTATCTGGTCCTGAGTAGCTCGCTGTCGTACCTTTATCAAAAATTCACAGGAGAGTCACGGAAAGAAACAGAGTAGTACTAAAAACAGAGTAATACCTAAAACAGAGTAGTACTAAAAACAGAGTAATACCTAAAACAGAGTAATACCTAAAACAGAGTAGTACCAAAAACAGAGTAGTAGTTCAACAGTACGACAAAGATAACTTACAGGATCTGTGATCTTATCAATATCAACAGTACCCTCGTATGTAGTGTAGAAGAAAACATTATTTGCCAGTATAGCTTCCTCACCACGTTGCTTATACCTTAATAAATAAAAAGTTCATATGAAAAAGAGAAGTGTAAATAGCAGTCCAAGTAATCAAATATCTTACAAAGAAAAAGCTGTGGAAAATGTCTGTAGATGTCAGCTCACGAAGAAACCTACCCGAAAATGAGATCAATCCATTCATGCAAATGTGCAGAAACATGCTCGCTCTCAAGAGCCATGCGTTGCTTATGTACAAAATCGATCGGGCTTTTAGCCCAAGGAGGAAGTTTTACAGAATCTGATGGGTCAAGAACAATATCAGAAAAAAGATGGTTTCTCATTTCAGGAGTAATATTTTGCGAGAACAAGGGAACCAAAACAAAAAAACAAAAAGAAGTCATACCAAGTTTTTCTCCCAATTGTGTTGCACCAAAGTTGATCAAGTTCTCGTTGGTCAACACCTCAGGAAGGTAAAACAACTCTGGAACCTACAAAACAAAATGAGGCTGTATGAATATGGCTACAAGCTTCACTTGAAAAGAGGAGGAAAGTGATTAAAATTTTTTGGAAGATTCAATTCTTACCAACTCCTTCACATTACTCATGTCATGGAGGACTTCTTTCCAAGTGGCTGCAATGTCTGAAAACATGTGGTTTGCTCGATCGAACTTTCCACCTTGCAGTTGAATTGAAAGGGTTGTAAAAGGTTCGACTCTAGCTAGATAGTGCAACACCTACCACATGAGATTAAACAAAAAAAAAAAAAAATCAAAATGGACCATCAAATCAGGAGAAGAAATGGCAGCAATTGTAGCAGATATCATGGAGAAGATAAACCTACTGCTCCAACACTTGAGTAATGTGAACCATAGTGGAATTTGGGGATAATTGGATCTTCGAAGTTAGAATACTTTTCTTGGAATTTTTTCAGCCGCTCTGGGTTCAGTGCACCAATTGGCTGCACATATACAGACTCACATTAAAACCAGGTTTCTAGTTTAATAGAACAGAACTACAAGTAATACCACCTTGGAGAGATCTCTGTAGTTAGATGGATTTGAAACGTCCAGAACTTCTGATACATAGTCTGACAGAATCCAAGGGAAAACAGGATACTGCAAAAGATATACATAACAGATAGAGATGACCAAAAACATTTCACATGAGAAAAGCATTCTCACTAGTGCACGCAAGATTTACCTGAGTGATGTCATTATAACTACGCCCAGCCAATGTGTTGAGCTGCATCAAGTACTCAAAATTGCTAATCTGCAGAAAGGATGCATATTAGATCCAGCTAAGATTACACTTCTCTAACAGATGCTATTTTAGGGACATTTCTTTGTGTACCTCCCATCTAGCCCAGCGTTCCATTAACTGACTTCTTCTCAAAAGCTGTTCTGGTCTCTAGAAAAGAAAACGATTTATGTAAAATTTGCAGCACAGAGAGGAAATTTCTCAGCTTTTTCATTAAAAACACGAACCTGAGTTGCCAGATAAATATTGTTTAAATGAGGAGGCCTTGCTTGAACAATAGTCCGATACGCATCTCTTCGTCCCTCAGTGTTCTTCATTGCAGTGCAGAGAAGTAATTCGTTAGAGGAGGCAGGAACTTGAAGTATCCAAGGTAAGTAAAAACAAACAGAGATAAATATGTAAGATAACTGAGAAAGTTTTTCAGATACCCCAAAATCAAAGAAGTAGTTTGATCGATCGACCATAAATATATCCAGAGCACTCTTTCTCAGTAGATATCTGTGAAAGAGAAATATTAACGAAGATATAGATCTCAAACATCAATTTTAGCACCAGGACAATCAAAATGAAACACAACAAGAGGAAAGAGGAAAGGCTAACTCAAACATTAAAATCCAATATTCTAGATAGTGAGCTAGCTAGAGACACTTTACCGTCGGCTATAAATCTGATGAAGAGAAGACATTAGCCAACTACGATCTCTCTCTTGGTCTCCTGTTTCTGAACCATCTGACTTACCATCCACATGTTGGCCTTCTCTGCTGTCAACAATAAAATTTATTCTCCGTGTTGTAATCTGAGAAAAAAAGGCATAAGACAACCATGAGAAACTAGTGATTCATACAAGGAAAAATATTTTGGGCTTATGCTCTGTTTTATCTCTTGGTCATCAATACAATACTCATTGGTGTCAGCTACTTGTTGGAAAGATAAAAAGGTAATGTCAGTCGAGCATACCTGAAAGGTTCCTTTCACAATCTTTAGTGGCCGGACCATAGAAGAGGAAACTTCAAGAACAACCCTTTCATCAAGTACTTGTGTAGAATTTTGAACCACATCCTGGTCACTCAACGGTCGAGGATCGCTGATTCCAGTTGAAAATTGTATTGCATCCTCAAGTGAGCCAGACATCCTCTCTACATTTTTCCCTTTGTGTTCTCCAACGTTACCTTCTGTTTCAAGATCATCATCATCTCCATGTTCATCATCTTCATACATTATTATTTCCTTTGATAAAGCTTCAGCTGCAAGAAGAGGTGCCTTTGATGGAGAACCTAAGTTATCCTGATCATCATATTTTCCCGCTGCCTCAACATGATCAGTACCAGAATAATTCCTCCTTAAACACGGTCTCATCCTGGAAGAACTTTCCGTAGAATCCAGTTTCCAGAAGACCTGCAAATGTGATGATGTTACATTACTTGAAAAGTTCTCAACATTTTTTTAAGAAATATAAAACAGAACATTGTGGCTTACGTGTTTGGGACTGCTTAAATGGTCTCCAAAGGGACCAAAGAAGCATCTAATCTCTACCAAGTAACGTATGAGTTTACGCCAACCACGAATTCCCATGCATAAGCGATTTCTCACTATATTATCATCTCGTATACGCCTGTCAATCTAGTTGAGAGCCAACAAATGTGGAATTAGATTATACAACCCCTTCAAGAAAACAATATATTAATTATGACAAAAGGCAGAGAGCAAACCTCAGATCTCTGCATGTTACGTGCCAAGGCAAAGCTTGCAACAAGTACAGCAATGAATTTGTAGGACAAAGCGTTAAAATCTTTCCCATAAACTGACTTTGTATCAACTGGCTGGAGACATTCCATCCATGCCACTCCCATAGCTTCAGAGATGTTCCATCTCTGTAAACGCTCCATATCAGTGATGTTTCTCCTCTGTGCAGAGGTGGCCATTGCAACAGCACTTAGACCTCTCCCAGAACCAATCTTGGCATTCCTTTCAAGATCACGTGCAGCTGCCAGAGCTGCGGCTTTTGCGGTAGCCTTGTCTCTTGGTCGACCTGGTGTATCATCGTTTGGAGCCTCCAAGGGTTTCTGGAAACTGGAAAAGGTCTGAAGTTTTGTAGTCTTACGCTCAAGCAATGAAGTGTCTCGCTTAAGAGGTGGTGGAGGTGCTGGAGGTGTTGGTGCTTCCCAACCAGCTGCACCTGCGGCTATCATCGCCAGTGCCATTGCAGAAGGAGGCGATGCAAAAGCAGCTGCCCACTCCGGAGATATCATAGAAAGAGCTGCCTCAATGGGGAGTGTATCAGCAGCCAAAGCACGATCATCAACGACAAGAGGATTCAAACCATCACCAGTGGCAAGCTCATGAATGCCAGCCAAAAGAGGTCGCCATCTCCGGAGAATTGCAACAAATGGTGGTAAGATAGCCTCTAGATACTGCTTACGCAGTGGTCTTTTGTCTCTGCTTACCGCATGCCATACCTGAAACAGACTTGGAATCAGATCAGTATAAAAACGCATATGAACCTTATTTAGGTGAGAGCTAACCTCAGAATATAGAACACATGTAGTAACCAATACTCTCTGCCTCTTTGAATCAGATATTGGCATGTTTAGAATAGGAGAGAGCACACTGGAGATAAAAGAAAAAAACAATCACTTTAACTACTCTAAAGCTAGAAAAAAGGAGCAAACAAGAAACACAAAATTTACCTCCACAATAAAGCTGATGGTGACTGTCGCATAGACATCTGAGAACTGACATCTAATGAGACAGGGTTCCCTAAGGAGCACTGCAGTCCACCAGAAAAACCATCTTCAGAACTTAGATTTTTCATCAACAAACTATCTTCACCATGGTCTTCTTCCCTCAAAGACAAGAGCACCATTCGAAGCATGCATAAGAAAGGCTGATCACTATCCAGCAACTGGTAGAGAGCTGCCATCCCTCCCATGCCAGTACCAGATCCTCCACCAATCCCAAGGCCACCTCCAAGTCCGGACTCATCTAGCAGCAACGCTTGAAGCATTGACACTGATTTTTTAACCAAATGAAGTTCGATCCATTTTCCTTCAGCATCTTTTTGTAAAACAGATTTCCAAGAGTCCCAACCACTTCCACCACCACCAAAACAAGTGGTGTTAGAAGGAAGCCCAACACCATACCACAGTCGACTTCTGTACTTCCAACCCTCAGCCAAATCCATAGTACAGCTTCCATATGAGACAAAAGCGCATGAAACAGATTCATAAGGCTCAGCTGCAGCAGCAGCAGCAAGACGCTCCATTACGGCTGTAGAAATCTGGCCACTTGCATCAGCCATTGATGCAAGTATCTGAATAAAATGTAAACAACTTGAGAGTCATTAATTAATAACAGATCATCACATGATGTACAATAAGAGCGATAGAGAATGATTTCCACTTACATCTAAATGGACACCTCCTGAATCACTGGACACTGAAGCACGGCTACTAGAAACCTCTGATGATTCTCCTACCGTTGCCAATGTTCGTGAACGGTTGTTAGTGGGATAAACAAGAGAAAGAGGAGATGGAGAAACATCAATTGCGCTTGCAGCACAGTTTTGCTTGCTTTGTAGTCGCAAATGATCTTCGACAAGCATCAATATCACAATTGTATTTTCCACAAGAAACACTGAAAGTTGAGCAGCATTTTCTACTCCAGCCTTTGCATCTTCTGGTGCTAGACTCTCTGCCGCGAGACCAGCAGATGCTGCAGCGATAACTTGAGTCTGTTGAGGGGAAATAACAATTTGTAGGTTAAACTATAGCAATCACATACAAACAAAAACAAAAACAAAAAGATTTGCAGGAGTTACCTGAGCTTGTAGTTCTCTGGCAGCAAAGTCTAGCAATCCACCCAGAAGCCTTCTTTTAAAAACTGGCAGTGATTCCTCACGCCTACGAAAAGCAGGAGAACAAAACATGTAAAAAATAATTGAACAGATACATGTATCTCTCAAAGTAAATGGGAAGAAGCAATGTGGTAACAACAATATGATCAACAAGAAATGACACAAAAAAATTATTGTCTTCCCAAAATGAAAGCCTAAAATGTGGCGCATCATATAGGTGCATGACAATACCTAATTCTTTTCTCCCCAGTGCTCGACCCACCAACAATAGAGAGCCATTCTGCACAATGAATAGTAGCCTCAATATCCTGTAAAAAGTATAAGAATTTTATAAACAAAAATTATTGAGCTTGAAAAAAATGAGATGAAAAAGGAATTAATCTGCTGAAACAAACAAACAGATATACCTTCCAGCCATCCTTCTGGCGCATCGAATGTTCCAACATTATGATCAAAAAGTTATGAATCAGGTCTTCAACCTCAGCAGACTGTTTCCTTGCATCCCTCTGTGTTTATGAACAATAGTCAACATTTTTCGAGAGCTTGTTGTTACATGCTTCAGTAAATTGCCACATAATTTTAGTGTGAGTGATCACCCTACTAAGCTATATATATCCTACTTGGCTCATTAATGATACGAAAATTAAGGAGAAAATAACTTTGAAGTGTTAAGGTTGGGTTCATATATACCTCGTAGTTTGAGATCAAAATCTCCAAGATCCACTCAGGCCATTCTTCCATTTTTGTCAGATTACTCCTATTTTCCGGATGACTACAAGCCAAAAATAGAAGATCCTGACGTAGAAAGAGTGAGTTCAGAAAAAGATTTTGCAGTTAAAGTCATGGACAGTCACAAAAGTGTCTTTAACTATAATATTTAAACCTGAAGTGCTCGATTTTGTAGAGTCTTAGATGCAAATGGTAGAGAACGCAGGAGGATTAACAGAAGCTGAGGGTGTTCAAAGCGATGACCTGAATCATAAAAGTTCAGCCCATCCTCACTTGATGAAGCATTAATCTGCAAGAATATGCAATCAAATTTAACCTCATGCCAAAAATCTAAAACAGTTCTTTATCAAAGAAAACAAAAAAAATCTGAAAAAGTAAGTGTTGCACCTAAAAGGGAAAATATTCCATTTATTTCTGAATTTTGATCATGATATTCATATTATAATAGCAATGGACTTTGCTGATGGATACATGCTAGACATATGACAGCAAGAAGTTTCTTTCAAAACCAATTACTATGAGGCTTCTAAGACTGTAACAGGGTGATAAAAAGCTTGAAGATAGAAAAACTTGATTTTAAAGCCAGTCATGCGATAGAAAAACAAACAAAATATTAGAGGAAAAACATTTCATACCGAAGCCCCAAGCAAAGTTATGTAGACATTGTCGGTCATCAGCCTGTTTGGAGCTGCCTGAAATGCTTTCAGCAGAGCAAATAGAAGCAACGCCACTTTATCATCAAACATCGTTCCACCATTTTCGTGAAGCCCACTACTCATGAGGTTACTCATAACATCAGACTCGGCACCAAGGGAAACTTTTAAGTGCCCTTTTGAGATTAATGCACCAATCAATCTAATGATCCCAACCATGACGCGATCTCTATCGTCTACATTGTTTCTTGCAGTATTTATTGCGTTATTAATGAATAGAGTTTCACAAACAGAGGATGTTCTGTCAACATCTTGAACTGGCTCAGTTTCCTTTAAAGATACTACATTATCATCATGAGCATCGGGGTCACCCTCATTATCTTGTAAAGCTGAATCCAAATGCTTTAACAAACGAGTCTCGATTGTTTCAGCCTTAGCCACAGATTCTGCGACATTTTCATCACCCTTTTTAGCTTCTCTCTGCAGCAGAACAAGAAGTGTTTCTATCCCACCAGTTGTGATAAACGCCTCTGCAAATGTTTGAGCCTTTGCAGCATTTGGCTGTACAACCAACCTAAACATGAGATGCAATACCCTTACAACCTAAATAGAGGTAACAACTGAACGATGTCAGAGCAAAAATAATGAAAAAAAAAAATGACATATGTTTGACATGTTGTCATGTTACCTGATTTGGTTGTGGACTGTCAATTATGAAGCCAAGTAATCGATGAACATCATCAGCAGCAAACGAAGGAGATGCTGCTCCCATTAGAAGTTCAATAATCACCAAAAGTTCATCAACCAAGGCATTAATTTCCCCCATTTGACGTGCATTCCCATCTAGTGAAAAAGTGTGCACAGAGTCTTTCTCTTGAATCATCCAATAACATCTCCGACATCCATCTAGAAGTATCTGAATAGCATCAGCGTTCCTCATAGCTGTAGCTTCAGTGAAAACCATATCTTGAAGGGATGATAACAGCTTCTTTTGAAGTCTGTAACTGCACACACTCCATATCTTGAGATCCAATAACAATGTACGGAAGAGCTGCACTTTCAGGGAGTGATTGATCTTTTGAGACTGACAAACCGAAAAAATAGCAGCTACTAGTTCCTCATCTTCTACTCCATCATGCTTGAGATCAGGGGATGCAAGTGAGTTAACAAGATAACTCAGAATTGTGGCAAGAATTTCAGGCCCTCGAATACGAGACAACTCTTCATTGTTCCCAGGATGTTGAATAGCAACTGAGATCATTCTAAAGATAGGTGCAGCAAGAGAATATGTTGTCAAAGACAATGGAAGATTTCTGGAGGATGGCTCCAGACTATCTTTATGCACACTGCTTACGGTTAGAGGAAGCAAAGACATGGGTCCTCCATGAGCCAAGGCCCAAAAGGACTCCACTGACTTTATTCTCGTTGCAACATGGACTTGTCCAATTACCTCAGCTGGTCGTCTTAGAGTGCCTTAACCAACAATAGAAAAAAAAAGTAAGGGAAAAGATAGAATATCAAGACCGAGTGAAAGCATATAGATAGAACAACAACAGATAAAAATAGACAAGATATCAACTAGATGAGAGTCTGAGAAAAAGCAAGATATATAGAGCATTCTCAGACTTGTAAAAAGATTGAGAGGATAATCATAGGCACCTGTTGCTCCGGAAAAAGAAGCATCTGGACAAAACCGCCCACTTAGTAGACATGGGTGGTAAAGTAGATGAATGTATACTCCAAGTTCTGCATCCAAAAGACTACTTTCCTCTGCCCCATTACGTACATGGTCATTTGTAGCTAACCACGGAAGACCAGCCCCATTGCCAAAACAAGGCAAAACATCCCCACCTCTAGATGCCAATCTTGTCATTCTTTCAAGACCAATCGGTTCTTTAAATATATAAACTGGTCCCATCTCAGCAAACAAAGCACACTGACGACGACGGTGTTGTAGACCAGTAGCTGCAGGAGGAGGATTTGAGCCAATGCAACAGAAAGAAATCGGCTTTGATATACGGGGGAATTCAAACGGACGAGTTTCATACAAAGATCCATCAACATATAGCCGCAATTCACTCTCTGAATTCCCTAAGAGTCCTTGATTGCAAGTGTGCTCAAGGCCAATAAAGTACCAACACTGAGGCTTAAATGCATGAGTGAAATGCAGTGAAGCTTTACTTCCTTTCCCATTACTACACTCAACCACCAGAAACTGTGCGTAGAAAAACGCTTCAATACCATGATTATCAGTGGTCATGAAACTGAACAGACGTGGCATATGAGCAGTATCCTCACCAGCATGTACATTCGCAGACGTTTTTCCTGATTTGGCCGCTGAAGCAGCAGCAATTGCGGCTGCAGCGGTTGAAGCATTTAATGTGTCCGTAAATGACTCAATATAAATCCAAGTTGCAAATGCATAGCCATTTGTAAAAGGCCAACGACTCTCTCCTGGACCAAGCAAGCCTGAGCTTTCACCAACGAATTCAAAACTACATGCAGGTCCTCTTGATTCCTTCCCATTCATTGCCTTCTCCAAAGCATCCATCAACGGACTTGACCATACTGTTGGAAGAGACTTTGTAATAACCTGAAGCCATCTATGCAAATCTTCAACACTAAGGGAGTGTCCAGCTAAATGTTCAATACAGTGAAACAAAACTGTTGCATCCCACACCATATTGGCCTCCTTGGAAAGAATCTCCTCGATTGATCGCAAGAGAACACATAACAATCCCGCCGTCGAACACATAGCTCTGTTTCTTGTGCAAGAACGTAATATTGCTAGCAATCCTCGCACCATGCGAGTTCTTGGGGACATAGAAGTAACACTGTCACCAGAACAAGGAAGGTTAGGAATAAGCTCTCCGGAGACAATGGCAGCACGAGAGTTCAACATCACACTAGGAGGGTTGCTATCTTCATCCTCTTCAAAACTCTCGACTCCACCCATGGTCGCAAGAAGTGAGTCGATGACAAGGAAAGCAGTAGTCTCTGGATCCTCTCCAGACCCAAATATCTCAATACCGGTAACAATATTCTTCAGTTTTTCTAAGCTTTCAGGCTTACCCATGATGGCAGAATCAACTAGATGCAATAACTCTGGAGAAACGTTTGGCATTGTAGCTTTTGGCTTGGGTTTCTGTGGGGACTGAACCAGAGGATAGAAAGAATCTACACTCGTTGCTGAAATATGATAAGTTTCTTCTCTTTCTGGCTCAGAGTTAGATAGCAAATCATCCATAGGTTCTTCTATATTATGCATATCTAGTGTCTCGGTTAGAAGATGAGGAACTTCTTGGGCATCACCAAATGAAGACCGTCCATGGTCAGAACCCAAAGTGGTGTCTAATACGCTATGGTCAACTTGTGATTCAGTTATAGGCTTATCTTGATCTCCTCCTAGAGAAACCTGTTCAAAATGGTCATCCTTGAGAACTTCATCAACTGAACTAATCCCTTGTATATCAACATCATCTATTCCTACATTAGCATGTTGGTCAGCAAGAAAACTAGAATTTTCATTTTCTAAACCAAATGCATCGATTCTATTCTCTATGACAGGCTTATCAGCAACGTCGAGGTGTCCATCAGCAGACGCTTTGGTGAACTTCTTTTGTTCATCCTCTTCCATTTTAACAACTTATAAAATTTCTATGGAACAGTACATATATTCACGTCTTTTTCTCTCCCACCACCTGTTAAAACATCCATAAACGAATCACATATTTAGCACTTATATAAGACCAAACGATTGACCAGTAATGGAAAATGAACACAAACGTTGCGGACACGAATACCAAATTTAATCCAATTGAAATATGAGATCTGCCCCAGACATTCAGATCCTAAAGAGGATTTTGATTAAGAAGATTTCAGAATTCCGACGAATAAACTCGTACCGGTGTACATACACAGAAATGTTCGGAAACGGGAAAACAAAGAATTTTTTTTAACTAAACTAACGCCGAGAGTAAGAGCCTCTTCAATGGTTGTCTTCATGTTTCACTCTAAAAATAGAGTTTCTCTAAAATTAGGAAACAAGTTTACTCCAATGGTTATCTATATACTCCAATGGTTACCAAATATATTCTATTTTTTAGTATTAATTGTTACAAGACTCTTTACTTTAAAAATTTACAAATTCTTCTATTTATTTTATTTTTTAACATTAATAGTTCGATACATACTCATATTTTAGAGATTATATTTATCAAAAGATTACACCCAAATTTGGTAATTAATTCAGCTCCGGTCTCATAGTTCACAAACCACCGGAACAATTCACTACGAACATAACGAAAGTCTAATAAAAATATTCGTACGACTTCTTGACAAAGTCAGAATAAAGTGGTTTGGTCTTGTGCAAGGTAAGACCGAAAGTCTCGTTCATGTCCAAATCCGCAGGAACGGGGTAGCTTTTTTCGTTTTCAAGAGTCCATTGAAACGAATAGATAAGTGAAGCAAGCATGTGAGGCACAATCCTTAACGCCAATGATATACCAGGGCACATCCTTCGTCCAGCTCCAAATGGTAACATTTCGAAATCTTTACCTATCGACTCAATGTCTCGTCCCAAGAATCTCTCCGGCTCAAACCGTTCCGCGTTTTCCCAAACGCTCGGGTCTCGTCCTATAGCCCAAGCGTTAACCAGAATCTGAGCATTTTCAGGAACGAGAAACCCTAAAACCTCTGTTTCTGACTCAGTTTTACGTGGGATCAGAAATGGACTCGGTGGGTGCAAACGGAGAGTCTCTGTTACAACAGCTTGCAAGTAGGGGAAATCTAAGAGATCGGAGTCACCAACGTAACGGTTTGGGCCAACTATAAAGTTGATCTCGACTCTAGCGTTAGCCATAGCCTCTGGGTTACGTAATAGCTCAACCATTGCCCATTCCACTGTGGTAGAGTTCGTTTCCGTCCCCGCAATAAACAAGTCCTTGAGATTAACCCAAAAAATCATTAATATACTCTAGGTTAAAAGAAAGAAAATATATATAAATTTTGTTTGCGTTGACCAAAAGAACTTGTGTTTGCATTTAAAAGTTGAAATAAAAATTTAAAAAATTTACAAAAAAAAATACAATATGAAATTTCTCTTTTTATATCACACTCTACATTTCTATTTGACTTTTATAAAAGAAAAACAGAGATATATATCCTTTTAAAAATAAAAATCATAATGGCAACAATTTTTTATGATGTTTTGGGTCTATGATTATAATTTTTTTTAAAGTATTTGTATTAAAATACTAAAATGGTGTGTTTCTTCATGAACATTCACGTAAAAGTTAATGCAAACACAAAACATTAAAATATCCATCGAACAATAATAAAAAAAAATTTTGGTTAAATAACAATAATTTTTAATATCATGACTTACGTATAGAAAGTGGTTGATATCGTTCATGTCGACTTCCGATCCATCTTCTTGAATAAGATCGATAAGCGAATCCAACAGATCGCTGCTAAATGCATCTCTAGGTCCAGTCCGCAAAGATCTTTCCGGGATTCGAGCATCGATGAGCCCTTGAAAAACCCTAAACAACCTCTCCGAACATACCTCCATCTCTTTCCTAAAACCTTGTAAATCAAGAAACCCGAGAGACGGAAAATAGTTTGCGAGGTTCGGTTTCCCCATGACTTCCGTTATACGAAACAAGGAGTCTCGTAGCTCCAGAGAGGCTCTCGGGTCGTAACTACCCAAGTCGGTCGAAAACACAACGTTTGAGATTACATTAAGCGATGTGACGAAGCAAGCACGAGCAATCTCAACGGCTTCTCCTTTTTCGCTGCTTTCGATTATGAATGTTATAAGTTCTTTCACTTTCTTCGACCATACGGTCTTCGTGGCTTTGAGACATTTTCTTGAGAACAGCTGAGTCTTCAATAACTTCCTCCATACCCTAGTGGGAACATAATCCATTTCTTAGTGGATTTATTAATCGAACCAAACCAAAACTAAACCGAAATTTATGTGCTGAACTAGCTAAACCGAAACCGAATCAAATCCCTAGTTAAGTTATCAATCCGAACCATATAAACTAAAATTCATCGTTCATATTAGATTAAACAATATTTATCTAAAATAACTGTTTTTTAATTTAGAATAATAATAAGTTGTTTACAATATAGTTAAGGTTATCTACATGACTACATCTAAAACCAAACGGATAATCGTTTACCCGACCGAAAAAACTCGAAATTGAATAAACCGGTCCGAGTTGAGCCAACTATATAGCCAAATTAATCATGTCTACCATATTCAAAACCAAACTATGTGAGATTCTAACTAACTAATTTATAATTTACCTCCAATGAGACGACGTGGCAGGTAGCCATGGGATGGAGACATCGTGGTGACCGATGGTTCGAACCATCTCGCGGAAGGTTGGTGCAGAGAAGATATGGTCAAGCGTTTTCAGAACCTCTCGTGCTGCCTCGGGTGAAGAAATGACCACTGTGGTTAAATGTCCATGTCCAAGACTCATGACTGGTCCATAAACTCTCGAGAGATAAGCAAGTGAACGGTGAGGAGCTTTTCCGATGATATGGAGAAGTCCGACGATGGGCCATCCCAGAGGTCCCGGCGGTCCGGGAGGTACCAGAGGCAGTGGGCTTGATGATTTCCGTCGTGATTTGACGGCGGTATAGAGAAGATATGTTAAAAGGAAGCTAAGTATCAAGAGCAGAGCTGGAACTATAATGTTTTTCATAGTCAGTTTCGTTGCATTTTCTTCTAACCACTATCTTTTACTTATTTATAGAAACTCTGTAACATAATCTATTTATGATTGTTAAAACTATTATCGTTATGGGTTTAGTTTGAGCAGCGGCTTCAATTTAAATAAATGCATTTGTTGACAAAAAGACAGACCGATAAATGCTTAGGTCTCAAACGTCATAAGGTACAATTTGTCCATCACTTTTAAGTATGTGATATGTTTTGATTTTTGTCAAACAGCAGTGCGTGTGATATGTTAAGTTATGGATAATACATGAATAATTGCGTTAATACTTGATAGAGATATTCATGACATGTATATAAAGTTTAACGTTAGCGTGTTTTTTTTTTATCGAAATGCCCTTTAACATAAAATAAATTTACGCAATAAAATCTGTAAGAACAAAAAAAACTGATCACTTTCGTGATGCCCACGCGTTGTTAGGGTTTGTCTTTTGTGTGGATCCATCATCCATGTAAATCAAATCGGAATAATTAGCTCTATTATTTAATTAAGAGTATATAGAAGCCAATTTGCTCTGTCTGTATTATTTGAAATTTATTAGGACTTACCAGAAGCAAATGTTTGATGCCATTATCATCGCGTTCCGACTCCTTTTCTTGAGCAATGTCCAAAAGAGAATCTAGCATATCACCGTTGTTGTTTCTCGAAGCATTTGATGATCTCTTTGAATCGATGAATCTTTGGAAAACCCTAAACAATTTGTTCATACATAGCCTCGCTTCTTTTCTAGTTCCTTGCAGATCAAGAAACCCAAGAAAAGGGAAAAACTCAGCAACATTAGGTTTTCTGGCGATCTCCATCATCCGAAGCACCACGTCGTGAAACTCTTGAGTTGTCTCGGAGAGTCGGAGTCATCAAAGTCAGCGAAGTTTGTGGAAAACAGAGCGTTGGAGATTATATTGAGTGATATGATGAATGATGCGCGAGCGATGTTGACAGCTTCGCTTCTTCATTGCCACCGGAAAAGGATTCTCGGGACGTGAAAAGGAAGAAGACGAAACAGAGTAAAAACAGAGACAAGGCTATTGCTAAGATATCTTCCATCTCACGTTTCGCTAAAACAGAATATTACTTAATGATTGGAAACGCTTCAAGGAGATCTGATACTGTATGATGAACTTATAAGGATTTTTGTGCGGACACATTTTGTTAAGATAACAATTTGAGGTGAAGAGGTGGAAGATATGCCAGGTGTCATTGTCCCTTCACCGATTCCAGTATTTTTGTCGTCTAGTGTTACGCGTGGAAGTCGAGCAACAAGAGATTCTTTATTAAATTCTTCTTTGTTTGATTTTATGAGACCAAGGAAAAAAAAAGAGTTGAACCATAAAAATAGAAAGGACATAGCATTCGGAAAGTTCTTAATTCTACTGGCGAATTTCTTATAAGTTATAACCGATAACATTTTGATGCATTCTAAACGAAACTAGCCACTTTTTTTATTCAAAATTCTGTCCTAAGGTCTTTTAATTTTAAAATTTATATGTATTTGGTTGGAAGAGTAACGATTCTATAAAACGTAAAATCATTAATCAACATTAAAATTTGATTTCAAGTTCAAGTTCCAGTTCAATATTATCAAAACAGCTTCTTTTTAACCACACAACTTGGAGTAAAAATTTGAATTACTTATGGCCAGTCTGTCGATGGTCAACGGTCAACGTCGCCTGAGTAGGAGATGTGAATTTGTGGTAAAGCACGTCTTAACTCTTTGAGATGTTTTTTTTTACCAAGTCACGTGGATCGAATCATCAAACGTTCGTTACTAATCAAGTAAAATTTTCTATTTGCCCAAACTGGCCTATGTATTTCTGCTCACGTTCCAATTTCAACCACATATTCTTGTGATGTTCCCAATCATACCCAGTTTATCATTTTTCTTAATTTTTGTTATCATTTTTAACGGCAGCGTAATCAAGGAATTCAAAAATATAGGACACACATCCTAATGATTTTTTTTGTGATGTAAATATGCACATACTAGATGAAATATTTTCAAGGAAAAAAGGATTGTATAAACACTATGTTTACACATTTTGTCACACACACTTTCCAACTTAAATCTAAATTAACGAAGTGAAAGTCAAACATACTAATACGTAGGATCACAACAATTTACCTCTTTTTACTTCTTTTTCTAAATAAACCTTGGGCCATATGAATTATCATCAGTATATAATTTAATAATTTATATTTGAATTTGTCATCGCTTTAATTTGAATCATGCAATCATTTATTTTATTTTTATGGATTTTGAGCAAAATTAGCGTTATTGAAATGAAATTATGTTGCATGATTCAATTGATTTGAAGTACCTGGTCCTCATTTGCTATTTACCCGAACCTTATTTTAGTGGATATAGTTTAGATAGTAATTTCACATACCCGAAATAGTAAGTCTTACCCGCCATAACTCTTTTTACCCATAATGCTCAGGTCAAAAATAAATAAGGGGCAGATTTGAGAAAATGGTAAAATATAAGGGACTAACAGTGAGTTGAGCAGAAGATGAATTAAATACAACCTCGATTCGAAAAGAACCGTTTCTCTCGCCTCGCATCCTCTTCCCATTATCTCACTCTCTCTCTCTCTCTCTCTGGCCTACCAAAAATACTTCAATGCGCTCTTAGTTTGTTCTGATTCTCCACTTGACCTATCTATCCCGTGAAGATAAACTGCTGCCGACGCTTCTCGCCGATTACCCAAACTTTCGATCTTGGTGTAGCGGTAAGGGTCCCGATTGCGTTTTTCTGTCGTTTTCTGACCCCATTTCTAGGGTTTCTTCGAGCTCCTGATCGCTAACCTTTGTTTTGGTTACAGGAAAATGGGTTTGATTTCCGGAATTTTGTTTGGGATTATCTTCGGCGTAGCTCTAATGGCTGGCTGGAGTCGTATGATGACGCACCGCACCTCCAAGCGAGTCGCCAAGGTTCGATTCAATTTCTTTTCACTCGTTTCACTAGGATTCTTGAAATCAATATGCTTATTATCAAATTGATTGAAATCAATGATTTGGTTTAAAAATTTGATGCATCGGGGATAGTTTAAGATGTCAAATCTGGGATTTAAAATCCTTCGTGATGGCTAGGTTGTTCGGTCATGGGATTAGCTGAAACGCGTCTGCTTTTGTTGTCCCAAATAATTCAGCTAAGCAAAATATTTCTGCTACTTCTAGTTGCTGACATTAATGTACCAATTTAGTGTGACTCTGTTGATCCTTCATACGTGTATCCTGCCACGAGTAGAGGTGTATCTTCTTGGCCTCCGATACTGTGTAATTGACTAGTTATAACCTTTTCTTCTGACAGGCAGTTGATATGAAACTTCTAGGCTCCCTTAGCAGAGAGGATTTGAAGAAAATTTGTGGTGATAACTTTCCACAATGGATATCCTTTCCAGCCTTTGAACAGGTTTCTGGTTTTGGAACTAGTGTTGTACAGTTTAAACACTCGGTCTTTATTTTTTTTCCTGAAAATGAACAAAAGTGTTGAACCTGAAAACTTCTTATGCTTTAATTTTTCAGGTCAAATGGCTGAATAAGCTACTGAGCAAGATGTGGCCATTTATTGCAGAGGTGAGATTATGATTTTCTTTTGATACCTTATTAAGCGCATTCTTTTCCCGTGTAGATGGTTGGAAGTTGCCTATAGATTACTAGAATTTTCACCCTGAATAACGGCAATTGAAGATATCATAAGAAGAGGACAGTCATTGTACAGTCATGTTATACTCGAAAGTTATTTTTTTGAAGAATCTGTTGGGATTTAGTTTATCCTGATTGGAGTCGTAGACGGCTAACTGTTTGGCTGGTACACAAGTCCAGTTCTAATTGACACGTAAGATAGGTCCAATTTGTTGGAATGCAAGAAAATACTATGCAGCTTGGCCATCAAAGAGTCTTAAGTTTCAGCTGTTCTGTTGATTAATTTCCAGGCAGCAACTATGGTGATACGGGATTCTGTTGAACCTTTGCTTGAAGATTACAGACCACCAGGAATTACTTCCCTGAAGTTCAGCAAATTGACTCTGGGTAACGTAGCACCAAAGATTGAAGGTAAAGTAATTGGAGAAGCTCATCTTTTGCTGATGAATAATTTTTCTCTTCCACTTTGTTCAACCTTGCATGCTCCTAATATGAGCATGGATGAGTTGCCTGCCAAATGCTAATCCGTGTTCTTTGGAATGACATAAAGCATTTGTCTACTAGTATAATTTTGATGGCACATGAATAGTTAATTGGCTGCAGGTATTCGTGTTCAAAGTTTCAAGGAAGGTCAAATCACAATGGATGTTGATCTTCGATGGGGTGGTGATCCAAATATCGTTTTAGGTGTTACAGCACTTGTTGCTTCCATACCCATTCAGGTTACTAGAAAGATATCTTAGTACTTCTTGTTAGGGTTGTTCATAACTAATATCTCCTTTTGCCTTGAGTTTGCTTCCCAGTCGGGATTGACTCTCTACAAACACTTGTTTCTGGCTGAAACAGTTGAAGGATCTTCAAGTTTTCACAGTTGCACGTGTTATCTTTCAACTTGCGGATGAGATTCCTTGCATATCTGCTGTTGTCGTTGCTCTACTTGCTGATGTATATTTTTCTCCCTTTAAAGATCCAGAGTCGGATGCATTTTTCTTTATCACCAGTCCTATATGGCAATGACAAACTTTTTATATGATCTCAATCAGCCAAAACCAAGAATTGATTACACTCTGAAGGCTGTCGGTGGAAGCTTGACGGCAATTCCTGGACTATCTGATATGATTGATGTAAGTTCTTCTCTTGGCAGGTGAAGCAGTTTCGAGAAATTTTATTTGTTTTCTCATTTGGTCTTATGCACAGCTTTATGCTTCTGTTTATTAGGACACCGTTGATACTATTGTCAATGACATGCTTCAGTGGCCTCATAGAATCGTTGTTCCCATCGGTGGTATTCCTGTTGATATCAGGTACTTCCTGTGTTCGGCTTGTTTCTTTTTTTCTTTTTCATTTTTTCATTTTGCTTCATATATAAATATTCCGACTGCCACTGCCAATCTTTTGCCATATCTCCACTTCTGATATAGCCGTAGGATGTACTTGGGGAGGTCATGATGCGTATTGAGAAAGGATTTATAGTTTGACGATTCTCTTTATATTTTCTCTCTGTCACAGTGATTTAGAGCTTAAGCCACAGGGAAAGCTTATAGTAACAGTGGTGAAAGCAACTAGCTTGAAGAATAAGGAATTGATTGGAAAATCTGACCCTTATGCCACCATCCACATTCGTCCTGTATTCAAGTATAAAACAAAGGCAATCGAGAACAACCTTAATCCTGTTTGGGACCAAACATTCGAATTGATTGCAGAGGACAAAGAAACCCAGTCGCTCACTATAGAGGTTTGCAATCTCAAACACTCATGCTTCATACCTGTTCAACTTTGTCATCGCAAGCATTAACTGTTCTCTTCGTTCTATTAAAACAGGTATTTGATAAAGACGTGGGCCAAGACGAGCGCCTTGGACTTGTGAAACTTCCCTTAAGCGTTTTGGAAGCCGAGGTTACAAAAGAAATGGAGCTAAATCTGTTGTCTTCACTTGATACTTTGAAAGTAAAAGATAAGAAAGATAGAGGAAGTATAACCCTTAAGGTAGATCTTCCCTTGGATAAACCGCAAAACTTTTTCCTTTTGGGCTGGTTCCTGAATTGGCTTGTTTAATTTGTGAAAGGTACATTATCATGAGTTCAACAAAGAGGAGCAAATGGCTGCATTAGAAGAGGAGAAGAAAATAATGGAAGAAAGAAAGAGACTGAAGGAAGCAGGTGTGATAGGTAGCACAATGGATGCAGTTGGGATGGTGGGAAGTGGGCTCGGTGCTGGTGTAGGACTGGTTGGGACCGGTATTGGTGCAGGAGTCGGTTTGGTTGGGACCGGAGTGAGCTCGGGTGTTGGGATGGTTGGTAGCGGCTTTGGAGCCGTCGGTAGCGGATTGAGCAAAGCAGGGAGATTCATGGGTCGAACCATTACTGGTCAGTCCAGTAAACGTAGTGGCTCCTCCACACCTGTGAATAGCGAGAACGATGGTTCGAAACAACAGTAAGTAAACTTTGTGTTTAAGCAAGATTTGTAACCATCGTTTTACTCCTCTAGTCATGCGATGCGTCTTTTTTTTTCTTACTATTTTCGCGGGTGTTTTTGTTTTTACTTTATTTGAAAAATACATATTTTGAATGTTATCTAAGATTCACCCTTTCAATTCTCATGAGCACAGCACAACACCAAGACTCGATAGATTGCAACAATCTTCTTTGTCCTCCCATTTTCGCTTTTTTTTTTTTTGTAGTAATGTTTTCTAGAACATAAAAGTCAGAAAAAGAAGAAAAAACAAATTTCGACTGAAAATTTAAGCCTCGTCATCGTATGTTCTTAGAATGCAACTATTTATTATTACCCAAGAATACAATAATAGAGGCAAGCAACACTACAGTACATACATAAAAGAATTACTTTTTGGTATCATACTCCTAAATTAAAAATCTCTATGATAAGCTGGTTTCTATTTACGATTTTAAACTATTACGAAAAAGTTATGTGTCGATTTAGTATATTAAACATGCCACAACATCATCTGCTAAGTTTATTAGCAGTATAAAAAATGTTTAATTAAAAGTAAATTATTCACTTAGGAGTATAAATAAATACAGTAAAACCTCTATAAATTAATAATGTTAGGACCATGATATTTTATTAATTTATCGTGATATTAATTTATTTATTAATTAATATTTATTAATTTATAGAGAAAAATTGTTTTCCGCATATAATTTTCTAAAACTTTATTTAGAATAATGTTATATTTTAAAATTTTAACAAATTTCATAATATAAATTATGATTAAAAATCATAACTATCACAATAAAATAATTTTTCACTAGATTGGATTGTCCATATAGAATATACATGTTCATAAGTTTAAAATTTATAAAAAAAAAAACTATGGCTACTATCAGTATTATTGATGATAAAATTGAAGATAATACTACAATACATTTACAAATATTTACATGTAAGAAAATCAATTATCACATCAAAAAATTATCATAAATTTTGAATGTATATAGTAAAACAGCAATAAGAGCTACTGATATAATAATTAGAGAGATGAGAACCAATGAGATTTCAACTTTAACTAAAAACAAACACATTAGTCATATTTTAGAATATTAAATTTACATATATTTGCATAAAATTATATAATTATTAATTTATGTTTTTGTTGAGATCATGTATTACATAAGGGTTTCAAAAAAAATTATTATCTTATTATCTTATCGAATTTGATGGATTTTTACATTAGCCCAACTTGGAACCAGCAAAATTTATTAATTTATAGTAACTATTAATTTATCGAGTATTAATTTATAGAGGTTTTAGTAGACTGTATCTATCACTATCACGCTTTCAGATATAACGTCGTTATGATAGCTCTCTTTGTCATATATATCATTTCAATACTATAAATCATTATGAAAAAATAGAGGCTCATCAAACAAAATTCTCTAACAATTGTAAGCTTTGAATGATTGGATTATTAGATCACTTTTAGAAAATAGATGATAATCCACATTTAATATTGTATAGCACTTTTCTTTGTAAAATAAAAGTTTTCTAAGAGAATAAGATAACTTTACTCCCTCTCTTTCTCTCTTTTATCTCTTTATCGCTCGTTCATTATTCCTCTTCAGAGACCAAATATGTACACCTCACTTTACTGATTCAAATAGCTATATAAACTAAATATATAATAATAAAATAAGTAGATATACTTATAGTTCTGAACAATAATGTATTAATAATTGTGGCTTGAAGCTAAATCTGTGTGCTTTACTAAAATCAAAGCTAAATAATGAGACTGGGACGAGAAAATTGGAAGACATGTTAACATGATATATCATATGACATGGATCCACGTCAGCCTACACTGTGGGAAGCTCTAATTGTTGGACGTAAGCCAAGTGGATAAAGTATCCCGACCACAAGACCGACATGATGATTTACTTATTTTGTTCAAAGAAAAAAATGCAATCATGAAAAATATGATCAATATAGGAAAGATGGTTATTTAATAAAAATTGATTTTGTTGGCAACCTTAGGTCGTAATAGGGAAAAGAAAAACAAATATCTAACTAAACTAAGGCGTCTCTATTATGTCTATTTTACTATGAATCTCTTCTAAGTTTTAACTAATCTTATAATATGAAAGCACAGGCAAATTCACGATAGTTTTTTTTCATAGAACCTATCAGAGGCAGCCTTTAGTTAAGCCACTAATCATATTTTAAATCAAATTTATTCCTCCGAGTTCCACCGTTGTAAGATGCTCGACCATCGCACCCAAACGCACCATATCCATAACTTCTTTTTTCGACCAAAAAAAATGCATAAAGTGGACTCAACGATGTTACGATGATTCAACTTCAGTTATTGAAATTGTTATAAACCACTAAAAAAACCACCTGACGCTAAAATTTGGCCAGGTGATTTAAGTATTTTCGTTAAGTATCGCCAACCCCACACAACGCGTGTAACCCACTTTAAACCAACAATAATTAGGCCAAGTGGCCAGCTTTTAATCACCCCTATTCGGATCTGACCCGCCCGACCCACAAAATGTATACACATTCGCAGATATAAAACATACGTATAAAACATACACTTAGGCACTTACACTCATGAGAATTGACCTTTGAAATTTTTCAAAAGACCATACGGTAAAAAATTAAAAAATTAAAAATCTTCTATATAAAGTTGATTTGAGTATGTAGTGTTGAAGAAACTCAGATTGGTGGATTTACCGGAGAAACCATGTAGTGTTGATTATAATGCGGCTTGATCCACCGGAGATTTGCCGGCTTGCTTGTCTCAACATGACATGTCGGTTATACTTTTGAACATGCTAATATTATTTGTTAAGTTTATTAACTTACAAAGCTGATTGATTGGAAGTAAATTTCTCAGCTAAGAATAAAAATAAACTATAGAATCACTATCACACTTTCAGATATAGTGTCGTTCTCGTAGCTTTCCCTGTCATATATAAATTATAATATTTGGATAGAGTATAACCTTCAGTGTTCCGGTCAAAATCCGGCAAACCACCTGAGTCATCCGCTCCCATAATATGTTATTGGTTAATATATTAATCACACCAACAAATTTTACTATCTACTAAGACTTTGTATTTGTTTTACAAAAGGTATCACTTTGTATTTTCAATGTAAATTTTGTATTTCTATTAAAAATTCAGTTTTAACTCTATCGTTTTAGTGTATTTATTTAGAAAGACAAATTTTGTTTAATATGTTGATAAGAGAGAAAATATTTTTTTTATTAGTTTTTTTAATTTGCGTGAAATGTGAGAAAAATGATACTTTTTAGAACATATATAAAGAGTAGTAGGAATATATATTTGTAAAACAGTGAACACTTGTTTAAATGTTTTAGGATAAAACTTATAAAATGCTACTTTTTGTCTATACACGAATAAATGATATATACTTCTTTTTTAAAAGCTTTGAAATTTGAATTATCACATGATCATTTTAGCTAAATATATCTATGATAATGTAATGATTTTAGTAAAATCATAACAATATATGGAGACAGGGACGAGAACGTTGGGATGACGTGTTAACAGGAGTCTGTGACTTGGATGCACGTAAGCCGGAACTGTGGGAAGTTCTAAACTGTGTACTGATTGGTTAATACGTAAGCTAAGTGGATAAAGTGTCCCGACCAAAAGACCGACATCATCTGTTTATTTATTCGTAAATAATTGCATTATGATTAAAGTCAAGCCAAAACATTTGTTTCAAACCTTCAAATTTTGTTTTTTCTAATTTAGCTTATAATTTTTTTTTTTATAAAACCAATTAGATTCCCATTTTTGTTTTTGTTTCAAACCTCTAAAATCTCAGATCCGGCTGGCATTATTTTATCAATATACGAATAATTATTTAAAGCAATTTGCTTTTGTCGATTGGGCAACTTAGGTCAAAATAGAGACACACAAAACAGCTCTAACTTAATGCATCTCCTGTTACTTTTTAACTTAGCTTATAATACGAATGCATCGGTTTCAATCAAAAAGTACATCATCACATTATATTTTTTTCAGACCTTTTACAAGACCTCGTGACTATAATTCTGATATGCACACTGTATACATTGTTAATACACAGTATATAAAAGGTGTATATTACTATATATATGGTCTCCTATGATTACTCGAGACTGTGAATATCTACTAGTTATAGTCAGAACGAGTAGTCGAGTACAATAGTATTTGCGTTTAATTTGTATATAACAATAAAAGGTCGAAATTGGGTAATCTGCTAACTAATGCAACAAAAAGTTTGGTTAAACTCGCTGTGATGATCAAGGTTCTCATATCCATCCTATCCTCTTATATTCTCAAGTTTTTAGCTAAGTCACAATAATTCGTATTGGAAATCGAAATTGATTTAATACTATAGACAACATTTGTAATCTATTAATCCAAAACCTTCGTGTTAGACCGTTTTAGTTTTACTCGATCATCGCTGCCAACCATATCCATAATCATTACACTGTCAGCCCATTTTATCTATTTTTAAGTTTTTTTTTTCTTTTACCAAAAAAAAAGTAGGATAAAGTGGGCTCGACAGTGTATGAATAAGATTCACGAAAATTAAAATATTGTCGTTTTTTATTCCATTCAGTTCCAAACAAAAATTATCACCATTTCAGAACAAAAAATCCACGTCACACCCTTGGCCAGGTGTTTTGACAACAACACGTTTAACTCGAACAATTAAGCCAAATGACCAACTTATAATCTTCTTTATCCGAATCGACCCGACCCGAACCGATCCGGGCGGGACCACAAGATATGTATTATCTGCAGATGTCAAAGATACGTATAGTACACTGCAGAATTTATATAATTGTTAGGCTCAGGAGAATTGACATTTGAATATTTCTAGAAACCATACGGTGAAAATAAAAATCTTCTATATAAAGTCGCGTTTGCGTATATGATAAACCGTAGAAGAAGATAATAATAACAATGGAACAAAAATAAAAGCAGCTTCCTTTTTTTTTTTATGAGTTTTTTATCGATTGATTAGTTAAAATTCTGGCATACCAAGTTTCTTCTTTCTCGATTCTCCGCGGCCATGCAATTGAGATTCGAGTTTAAGGTTTTCGTTTGATACGGAAAAGGTCTATCCATTTGTTTGTGTGATAATGGGCGCGAATATCTCAGGTGGTTTCCCGGAGTTTGACCGGAACGGTGAAGGTTACTCGAGGAAACCCAGATTGGTGGATTTACCGGAGAATTGTGTCGCGTTGATTATGATGCGGCTTGATCCACCGGAGATTTGCCGTCTTGCTCGTCTCAACAGGGTCTTCCGTCGCGCGTCGTCAGCTGATTTCATATGGGATTCGAAGTTGCTTTCGAATTATCGTGTTTTTGCACGGAAAGTGTTTGATGAAATTACTCTTAGGAAACTGATTAAGAAAGATGTTTATGCTAAGCTTTGCCGGCCCAATTTATTCGACGGTGGCACAAAGGTTGAAAGCTTTTTTTCCAGTTGCATCTCTCTCTCTCTCTCTCTCTTGAATCTTGAAAGGAAAAACAAAAGTTTCTGATTTTTCAGACTTGTATTCTTGAGCAGGAATTGTGGATAGATAAGAACACAGGCAAACTTTGTGTGTCGATTTCTTCAAAGGCACTAAGAATTACCGGAATTGATGATCGGAGATACTGGAGTTTGATCCCAACCGATGAATCCAGGTAATTCCAACTTTAACGATCAAAGGTGTGCTTTATGTTTGAAAAAAAAGTTTTTTTTTTGTTGATGATGAAATTTCTTCACTTCGACCATCTTCTTCTCTTGATTTGACTCTGTGTTGAGTATACCAAAAAAAGAAGAAAAAAGCGTTATTTTTCATTCGATTGATGATATTACGGTGACTAATATTCAGTTTGGTATTGGATACTTTTGTATGTTAGTTCAATGAGCTTAGACCCTAATCTTGAATTATATCTTCCAATATTTATATGCAGGTTTCAGTCAGTTGCATATGTTCAACAGGTATGGTGGTTTGAAGTAGGAGGAGAGTTCGAGATCCAGTTTCCACCTGGAATATACAGTCTCTTCTTTCGTATCCAGCTCGGGAAAACATCCAAGAGACTTGGACGTAGAATCTGCAACTCTGAACACATTCACGGATGGGACATAAAGCCTGTTAGGTTCCAGCTTGCAACTTCAGACAACCAACAAGCTGTTTCACTCTGTTATGTAGACAACAACCCTGGAACCTGGAGTCACTATCATGTCGGAGATTTCAAAGTGGAAGATCCAGATTTATTAACACGAATCAAATTCTCCATGACTCAAATCGATTGCACTCACACGAAAGGTGGGTTATGCATAGACTCTGTTCTTATATTACCTAAAAAATGTGCACAAGAGGCCATTGGATCAAAATAGTTTAGTAGATATAGTTTGAGATTTTTGTTGTAAATGGTGAGTGAATCTTCTACTGTGAAATATTCACTATACTGGCTTTTTCTTGATCTGGGCTGCATTCTCAGGATGAATCTCAGATCTGGAACTTGTGTACACATGGTTGGCTTGTCTCTAGTTTTGTCTGTAGTTACAAGATGGTCGTGATTGTAAATACAAATTTTTCTCCATGTAGAGATTATATATAATAGTTCCTTGTTTTTGCAGAGGCTACTCAAAACAGAACATTGAACATAGAATGCTTCCTTTTCTACAGTGTAGAAACAGAGCCTTGCTAAAAATTGAGAAACAAACACAAATTTCAGATCAAGAATATTGAGCAAGTATCATATTGAATCTTATTATAAGAGTTTTAATTATTCCTGCGTAGACAAAAGCAGCAAATTCATTCGAAGGAGCAAACAGAGACTCCTGAGATAACAAGAACGCAGCAGATTTACTAATGAATATGAAACAAATTATTCTGAAGGCCTAGAGAAGAAGCTTCTTCCTGCTTCAAGGTGTCTTGAACTTGGGGCGTGACGGAAGCAACTGTGTGGTTACAGAAGAAAAAAAATGGATAATTTTTATTGAAACCGGTTGAAAGATGTGAACTTGGAAATGGGCTTGTGGACAGGCAAAGAGACTTTACCTGATAACAAGAGATAAGCGAGGTGGTAAACCCGAGAGCGCCAGTGACACGAGGAGTAACCGTCTTTGGAGCTAATTGAAGGAGACCAATGGCTACAACAATGTCCATGCTTGACTTAATCAAAGCTAGAGTTCTGTCGTTTGATTTCTGAAGCTTAGCACGATACAGCTCATCCTGCGTTTTCACAAAGGGAATGACTTTTTTATAAAGACAGAAGACGCAACGATAAGAAGAGATTACAAAGGAGAGTTTTTTACATGATGCTTTTCATCATCTTTGAGTTCCTTTTCCATCTTCTTCATAGATGAAGAGAGCCTTCCAAGCTCAGTAATCTGATACACATGGGAAGACCAAGATCGGAATTTATGTTTATACGCGACAAATCAAAATGTCAAGAAAGAGGAGACTAAAAAACCTCCACTGCTGATGTACAAATGGATGATCCTAGCCAGCAGAAAAGTGATATACGTCCAATCAATTCAGTTCGTTCTTTGTTCTGCGATGCGATTGAACAAGAATCTTTAGTCACTTAGCAGAGCAAATGAAACTTCAATAGACCTATATGGATTGTTGCCTTGAACTTCTCTCACCTTATATATGCCGGATCTACCAAGCCAGACGATTTGATCAAAAAACAAGAAGGTAGACAAGAGCGCATTCTTCGACTGAAACAGTCAACCAACAAAAAAAGAAAAGTTAGAAATTGAATCAAAACAAGATATGAACGAATGTTGTAAGAATTCAAAATCTCTTTGGCACCTTCCCGAGTAAGACAAGAGGAAGCGGAGTTCCTTTAGGCACGGGGCTGATAAGGCCGTGAAAATCATTAACAAACTGCACATTGAAGCCATTTTCTAATCAGAAATCAAATCAGTTTCGATCCAAATATAAGAAGACAGTAACAATGAAGCCAATTTGAAATCCAAAAACAAATGTAGAAACCGAAGCAATCGGGCTTGACCTTGAAAAGACGGAAAACTTTTCTAGCCAAGCTGGTATTTTTGTCGACAGTTTGAGCAGTACCAGGTTGCCCACCGCTCAAGAATTTGGAACCATACTGTATAGCTCTGCATATCTTATCTCTAGCCTCAGCTTTGTTCAAGTAGAGGACTATAAGAGCAAGCTCGGCTCTCGACAAATCTAATGTAGTCATGTTCTCTCTGCAGAAAACACCAACAACACAGAGCCTAAGATTAAAAAAAAACTCAGACACAGATTCCATAACTTAAGAGAGACTTGTCTTTAACCCTTTTGTTTTTTATCTTCTGAATAAAACCCATAAAACGTTAGAGAGCTACAGAAAGATTCACTATTTCAATTCTTGCAATTCAGTAAATTTCAAGGCCATGTTTGTATTGATGGGAAACGCATAAAAATATTAGCTTTATCAAATTCAAGCCAAGAACATTAATTTTATCAGCAACCAAAAAGACGAAACACAGCAATACTATTAGCAAGTTGAGAAATGAAAATAACGTCAGATTCTAAGGCATGTGAAACTTTAGAATTCAAATCATTCGAAAACTCAAAAATTCCAGAAACTGGGATTCCAATTACCTTGTTGATCTCTATTAGGACCAAGGAGATTATACAACTGAGAGCACTTCAGCCTTCAAATACGCAAACCCAGAAAGATTAGAAATAGAAAATATCATAATTCAAAGAAAGGGGAATCCGAGATTCAGTGCCTTAGTATTTGGAACATCGTACCTAAGCTGTTCTTACTTATAATGTCATTTTCTTCCTCGTTTATGTCATTGACGATAGAACGATTACGGTAAAGGCGTGTTTGGTCATCTCTCTATCATTTCTTTCTTTATAAACAAACAGAACGCACCGTTTTATTAACGAACTAACATCCTGATCGCTTCAATTCTAACCGTCGATCTCTCGAAATTAAATTTTGTGGGACCTTCTTCGTGCTAAAACGTTCCGTGTACACCAACACTCCTATTACACTTGATTCTACCCCATATCATCTACAGTTACAAAGAGTATAATATACGCGCGTGCGACACACGGGGGCACACTTATCGAGGAAAGGAGAAAATTCATTCAAAACGGAACGTTTTGTAATGTTAATGGGCCAGGCCTTAAGTAGCCTTACTATCATTTTTAAGTTGGTTAAGGATGAAGTTAGCCTTGGGTCCAAACAGTCCTCGAGTAAGCTCTGAAGGTAGTAAATCGAATAACGGCCACAAAAAGCCGGAGAAGAAAATGGCGGTGGCTTCTCTGAGTGTTTGCTTCTCTGCTCGGCCAAATCTTCTTCTTTGCAGTTTCTCTCGACCAAGAATTTTTGCTAGTAAGTTGTCTTTAGCATATGTTTTGTGTTTATATACTGGTGTTGGATGAACAATGAGAATACCAAATTACGAATTCTGGATTTCTCTGATGTCAAGAGATAAAACAGTTACTTTTTTGATCCAATCAAGTTGAGTTTTCTCTAGTTACTTGATGGGTTTTGTATATTTTTGATAGTCGATCAAAACAGTGTTCTTGATATTTGAATTTTCACTGACCTGTTTTATTGATTGTGGAAACTTTTTGGTAGTGGCTGCAATGAGTGAGGATCCAATTCGTGAATGGATTCTTACAGAAGGAAAAGCGACTCAAATCACAAATATTACTTCTATTGGAGGTGGATGCATCAATCTTGCAAGCCGTTATCATACTGATGCTGCTTCTTTCTTCGTTAAAACAAACAGGTAAAATAAAATGTCACACTGTAATATTTACAATCAGACTTCTAATGTTTTTCTTTTTTGAAACACGGGTTTAGGAGTATCGGACCTGCGATGTTTGAAGGAGAGGCTCTTGGTCTTGAGGCTATGTATGAAACCAGGACAATCCGTGTGCCAAAGCCACACAAAGCAAGTGAAAAACTTTTTTTTTGAGTGTGTGTGTGTTAGCTCTGGTGCGGAGATGTATCTTTACATAGATTTTTGTTAAAAAATGTTAACAGGTTGGGGCATTGCCAACAGGTGGATCTTATATCATCATGGAATTTATAGAGTTTGGGTCATCAAGAGGCAATCAGGTGATGATGATGATGAATCTAACTATGAGAGCCAATGTTAAAAAAAAGCATTTAGTTTCATGGGTTCATGGTTCTTAAATCATCAGGCTGAATTAGGAAGGAAGCTAGCTGAGATGCATAAAGCCGGAAAATCCTCGAAAGGCTTTGGCTTTGAGGTTGACAACACTATTGGCAGGTGAGATATTTGAAATTCCAGTTGAAATCTAATTCTTTCTTTTGAGTTTCTGTTTTCATGAACTTAACGAGCCACCATTCCCCATGAATTTTAGTACCCCACAAATCAATAAGTGGTCATCGGATTGGATTGAGTTCTATGGTGAGAAGAGATTGGGATACCAGCTAAAGTTAGCTAGGGATCATTACGGTGACTCTGCAATTTACCAGAAAGGTTTTTCTTTTCTCTCTTCTCTGTCGTTATTAACTTTGTGAGAAGATATCGGTTTTGACATTTGGAAAGGAATTTTTGAACAGGCCATGAACTGATACAGAACATGGCACTTCTCTTTGAGGATGTTGTCATAGAACCTTGCTTGTTACATGGTGATCTCTGGAGCGGGAACATCGCATATGACAAGAACGGCGAGCCTGTCATTCTTGATCCTGCATGTTACTGTATAAAGCTTTTTCATTCATAAATTTTTCTTGATATACAGTATTAACTATATGTTTTGCAAGCACGGGTTTGATCTCGTTCCTCCATAGATGGGCATAACGAGGCGGATTTTGGAATGTCATGGTGCGCAGGATTTGGTGAATCTTTCTACAATGCCTATTTCAAGGTTCCACACACAAACACTCACTCTTGGTTATCTCTCTCTCAGTATCTGTATCAACCAAAAACCCCACTGTGATGGTTGTTTTTGTTTCTTTGAAGGTAATGCCAAAACAACCGGGATTTGAGAAGAGGAGGGATCTGTATTTGCTGTATCACTACTTGAATCATTACAACCTCTTTGGTTCGGGCTATCGATCATCTGCAATGTCGATCATCGATGATTATCTACGGATGCTCAAAGCTTAAAAATGTACCAACGTATAGAGTATTGATGTGATTATAAAAGTTTGAGAGATGAAATCAGAATACTTCATAATGATTTTAGGCATCATAACATACAAATTAGTAATAATGTACCAACTTATAAAGTGACTACAGAGTAAGGGAATATAAAATTATAAAACAAGAAGAGATTGATGTTAAATTAGAGACACTACACTCTAGTCAGATCCAGAATCCTCTCTCTCGTTACTAAGCCGTGGTGGTGGTGATAGGATCCCCAGCAGCTGCTAGGGTTTCCCAGAGCCATTCTGCACCTTCTTGCTCGTTGATAAGTTTGTCCAAAGCTGTCCTGCAACATCTTCTTGGTATGTTTACAGGTTCTGCTAAGAGAATGTTGCAACTTCCAGGTTTTCCCTCTTTGCAAGCTTCAAGAACCATGGAGAAATGCATGTTGTTTCCCGAGACAACAAACAAATTTAATGCTTCACTTTTATTTTGTAATACCCACCCAAAAATGCCAATTCTCATTCTTTCAACTCTCTCGACTTTAATTTCTTGAACCCCTGAAACCATATAATATCAACGGAATTAAGTAAAAGAGTGCGTGTCAAAAAAATAATAAAAAGGGAATACTACTGTATATATAATTATCACCTGCGCGGTCGAGCTTGATTCCGGCGGATTCAAAGTAACCTGGGATCTGATTCTTGTCACCATAAGCCCAGATTGTCACCTCACCATGATAACCCTTATTCGCAAGAGCTCTTCTGATATTCCTATAAACCGATTCAGGATTCAGACCTTTAGGGATTGGGCAATCCTCCGTGTCCCAGAACACGCATGTCTTCGCCTCTGCCATGTTTCACAAATAACCTCATTAAATATCATTTTCTTTTCAGCATGTTAAACCACACATTTGCATAGTTTATTTTTCTTCCTTCATACAAGAGAGAGAGAGAGAGTGTACCAGCGTATTTTCCGATCAAGGAAGTCATTGTTTCGACGGAGATGGAGAGAGAGAGACTTCACTCAACCAAAATGGTAAATTAGGGCTTCATCGATCTTCAGGCTGGTTTTTTTTTTTGGGCTACTAGAGTAATGGGCTTGGGCTCAAATCAGTGGCTCGTATATATTTTAGGAAATTGATTTTTTTTTTAAAGGCCTACTTAACATCAATGTTTGATATGGCCGAGTTGGTCTAAGGCGCCAATTAGAGCAAGACACCAGTTCTCTGTATCACTTTTGACGAAGGAACCCAAGCTCGTCTGTAATCCAGTGTTTTCAGAATAGAAGATATTTTGATGTAAACTTTGAAGACAATGGAACAATATCAAAGCAAACAATTCAACTTTTGCATAAAGAAGTTCAAAATCCAGACATCAACATAGTAATAACTTTACGATACTAACATCAAAGAGTTTGTATTAAAACAGATAACCAAAATTCATAACGCAATAAAGAAAAAAGGCTTGATGTGATTGAATGATTACTTCAAATCAATCTCTCACTTTTTCCTGAAAGAGCATCCTTCGGTGAGCCTAGCCTTTCCTCCTGTAGGTTGGCACAGAATGGTTTGGCAGTTTCCGCATACCACAACGGTCTGCGAGTGACTGAACACTGTAGTGCTGCAATGCCAAAAACAGAACCCATAAGTCTATGTAAATATGTCGGAAAGGGAAACGATTTGTATAAATTTTTAGTTGAGATCTTACATGTTAAAGCAGCCTTGGCACTTCACATCCTACAATACGTTTAACAAACACCCAAAACAATAATCAGAATCCACAAAGAGTAGATAAACCTCAAGCACTCAGTCACAATAAATGAGAGAATCAGATTTGAAACTGTATTTCACAATTCTAAACTGAGATATTTTTTTTTTTTTTAAAGATCTTCTAAAATAAGAAAAGGCATTATACCACATTATTGATGGCTAAAGACATTGATCGAACAGTATGATAAAATTTCACAGGTTCATGAGATAATCCAATTCAAAAACACAAAATTTACAAATCTCAGAAACGATTTTGCTTTCAAAGGGGTGTCTATAAGTAGGAAAATGAGTCGAATTCAATACCACGTTACAAATGGTTGAACAACAAGCGAATAGACTTTCAAACACTAAGTCAGGATTCTAGAAAAATTGAAAATCACACATTCTAAATTAACAACTCAAAAAACATAGAGCTTTCTAAAAGGGATCAGAAGAAGGAAGAAAGGTTACAAATCAGTACCATGAAGAAGGAATTGGGAGACTGAACAAGACGTTTGAGCTTGTGCTTCCTCTTCTCAAGCTCTGCTGGAGGGTTAAGGAGATCGATATCGTTTTGAAGAACCTGTTTCATATAAAAAAAAAAAATAGATTGCAGAAAAAGAAGAGTAACAAACAAGCTTAGCTTAGCTTAGATCAATAAAAAAGACGATTTGAATTATATGATGAATCGAGTTTTCCAATAACATTATGCGACGGATTAAAATCAAATGAGAAACTCGAAATTTCACTAACGCATCCATGGTTTTATAAATCAAACAATGAAATGGAATGGAGATGATGAAGATGATAGATAAAGTGCGAGAACTAACCATCTTCGCAAGAATCTGATAGGTGACGGCAAAGATAGCTGCAACGGCAACAATAAGCGAGAAAGATTTCTAGGGTTACTGCATAATGCCCTTATACTTACTCTACCTCCGTTCGCCTTTCCAAAACGACCTCGTTTCTCATATTATTTATCTTTGGGCTCTTTCAAGTTGAGCCCATTCTGTGATCCATCGTTGATGTTCTCTAGAAAGGTTTTAGTATATAATTTCAGGGAAAACAAAAATTACCACGATTGTGAGCTGTTCCAAAAAAAAAAAAAAGAATTACCACGATTGTGTAGTTTGGACACAACCCAACAACAGGTGTGATATAAATTCCACAAAGAATACTCGTATTGTTTTCGAAGATCATTTTCATTTTAACTGCTAGTAAGTAGTACGGGCACGAGCCGAAATGCTTACACTGTTTTTAGTTTTTACTATCACTCACACGTGGGAAACTAAAAATTACAATTTTTTCTTTTTTTTCTTTTGGTAAAAATTACCTTTTTCTTAGAAACATTAAAGAAAATATCGATTTTCATAACGGAATGACTGATGTCAAAAAAAAAAAAAAAAAAAAAAAAACGGAATGACTCACGCCTTCGCCAGATCAAGAAATTCAAATTACCAAGTGACTAAAATAAATTTACAAGGCGCAGAATGTTTTAATTCATTTCACCTCAAAAAGACGTTAAAGTTAAGAAAAATAAAACAACTAAATTATCCCAAAAATAATATACTAATCGTTAAACATAATAAGATGTAGCCGTATAGCATATTTAAGATCGTATGTTGCACCTCCAAACAACAACAAAAACTATTAACTAGTAAATTTTTTGGGGAAAAAAGAGATTAGCTTATAATATAGTTTGCCTGACCGATCCGTCGAAACTAGATTAGCTAATAAAAAGCTGTTGTCGAACTCATCCTTGGACAAAGTTGGTTTCACAGTCACAACCCAAGTTACTCTTAATTACCAAAGATCCGTCGCCTTTCTCATATTGTTGTTGAAACCTATATATATTCCCATAACCAAATGGATTATAAAACCATGGTTTATAATTTATCGTTAGGGAACTGAAATGTTGATTACCCGATCTGTAAGAAATGTCCAACATCGCAATCCATAGAATTATGGTGAGAGGAAAAAGCACTGGGACCAGCCGCAGTAGCCGAACTTAGCAATAGGTCTTGAAAGCCTTGAAAACCCTGACCTTCTGTCTCAAGCTGATTATGAACATATTCATTTTGATAAAAATGATCATGACAAGGCAATAATTAACACGAAATAAATACTTATTAAGACTCTAAGAGATAGTTCATTTGTAATTTGAAGGTCTACATATATTAAAAACCCTCAACCTTTAGCTTTTCGTTCATATCTCCGAGCTGCCTCTCCTGCAATTGCAAAGTCAAATTAACGAGATAGTACTAAACTGTATACATATATACAAATATAAACAGTATTGACTAGCTAGGCTATTAATAATAATACGATGACTAATTTTTTACATTCATAAATATGTGGATGTGACTTGCCTTTCTCCGAAGCTCTTCCATTTCTTCAGTAATAACATGCGTCTGCATATATGCACTTTAAATTTGCATTTCATATATTTTAAATGATGATTACAACGAAACAAGATTGGTCGATGTATACAAATTATCGTACCTTGCGTTTTCTGATCGCGGAAAGAGCTCCTTCAAGCTGTCTCTCGAGCGTCTGTAATTCTTGTACACTCAACTCTCCAAGATTTTCCCCAAGCAAATACCTTTTATTTTCAACGATTCAAAATATTTCTTAATTTTGGAAACTAGGCAACTAGCTAGGGAGATGTACAGAGTTATAGCTAGGTAAAAACAAACGGATTTAAGAGGAATATCAATATGATTAATTAAACCTATGAGTGCGAAGAAGGGACTCATATTTGGATTTGAGATTTGCCACCTCTTGACACAAGCTCTGCGTGCACCAAAGAAAAGAAGATATGTTAAATTAAAATATATCTTTGCTACTTAAAATGCTTATTTATATCGAGCATATAACTCAGGGAGTATTAATTTGGGCTTTGTAGACTTGGATAAAGAAAAAGAAAAAAAACTGACCTGTGTAGACTCTTCAAGCCTATTGTTGTCCAGAATATTGTTTTTACAGCGATAGTACCTTTCAAAGGTTTTGTCAATTCTACAGATTAAAAGGAAAAAGAAAAAGAAACCACATAAGATCATTAATTAGTTATCTATATAGAAGTAACAAGCTTAATTTGCTTAAATTCAAAACAGAATAAAGAAATATTATTCTCTTATGTCTAAAGGAAACCCTAATTACACATTTCTTCGGCAAAAATTAACCCGTAGCCAAATGTATTCAGAGTTTATATTATATAACCAAGTAATACTTGTTTTCCCAAAAAAAAAAATTTTGAATCGGAATAATAAAGGAAACCCATATATGTATAACCATACTATTTGCGTCATGGATCTACTAGATCAGTCCATGATATTGATCTCTAATTAGAATTAGAAAGACACAACCTTTTAAAGAAGACATAACTTATGGGATTTCTTGAAATCGTAAGGATAGGCATAGATAAAAGCTGATGATAACCTAAAATCAAGCATAATTTTTGTTTTCAGAAGTTTCATATATCGGATCTAAAAGCTAAAGCTGGCCCATGCATTTGATAGATCCGAGAGGTCGATCAGCGATGAAACTTGATTAGTTAGGATTTTTTTTTATATAAAAAAAAACACAACGTATCCACAGAGATGACAGATCTTTAGGTTCTTGAATCTAGAAAACAGGCAAAATCAAACATCTTTATCTAACTAAATTAAGCATCAAATTTTTTAAAGGAAACTTTTTTTCTTCATAAAATTCCGAATTAAGTATATTGATAAAATGGGTAAATACAGATACGTACCCGGCATTGCTGAACTCATAGAGCTTGCCACTGCTGGAGAAGATGATAAGAGCAACCTCTACATCACATAAAACAGAGAGTTCGTAGGCTTTCTTGAGCAAACCACTTTTTCTTTTGGAGAAGGTTACTTGTCTACTGATCTTGTTCTCTATCCTCTTCACTTCCACTCTCCCTCTTCCCATTTCTCTCTCTTCTTTCTACGTTTCTTGACTTTAACCCAAGGCTCAATATTTGGAAATTTACAGGTATTAATCCAAATATGGATCCAATACTCTAACTAGTTATAGTGGCCGGCTATACGTAGCGTTTTTGTTAAGTACCCTTTTTATTTCTAACTTTTTTTTTGTTCAAATTATCTAAACCGCATATATGGCGACAGCGTGTTTTTTCTTTTTTCCAAATTCCATATTTATTCAGGCATAAATGTTTTTCAAAACGTTACGAAGTTTCTATACCATATTACCATGCAAGATCAATTATTTATTTCTTCTTTCGTTTAGTATAGTATGCTAAATAGCAAGGAGCACATGCTGCACATGATAGCATTTGAAGTTTCAAATAGCATTTAACAGACATTACTTCGATCCAAATAAATTAATATTTGTTCATTTTGTTAATTGAAATTAATTAGTATGAACAAATTAAAAGATAACTTTCTGTTCATAGACGTGGTTCGATATACTAGGAATGGAAAATATGCAGGTAACAGTAGGACCACTGGAAAAATCATCATTGTTTCTTTTAATACTAACCTTAGTTGATAGTTGATACATTAATTCAAACCAACATTTTTCAAAGTTTGAGTTGAATTTTTCGTTCGGTGAGTATGATTTCGTCAAGGTCTGTGTCACTGTATATATGTATGGTAAAACACAATTGTTTTCCATTATATATAGGTTGTTGAACCGACGTGGAATGAATTATAACATGTTACATGTGAGAAATCAACACTAACTGATCCTTTAACAAACAAACAAAAAACTCAACACTATTTAATGATAACGTGTCTTACTTAGTATCCCGGAATTCATCAAAAAGGAAAAAAAAATGGGGAGAGGGGGTTAATTGTCGATCTACCTCATAACAAATGGAATGTATAAATTATATTGCATGTGTACTGTGAATTTTGGTTTAATTGTAATACTTCAGGAAGTTTTAAATGGCAGATACACCAACATTCAAAATTTGTTCTTTGGAAAAATTACAATCCAATGTAAAAAAGTAGGTACTAAGAAATTGTCCCTTAAGAGAAAACAAAAATACTAATTATGTTCTATTTTAATTTGAATAATGATATAGATACATGGTTCTGGGCCTTCTGGTATTTAAAAGGAAACATATGCCAAGGTTGTATGTGATCACTTTTACAAAACACAAAAAAAAAAAAGCTAAAAAAAACCACACTGACTTCCAAGAACTCCACAATTCGCACTAGAAAAGGCTTCCAAAAATAGCATCACTACTTGCACTGTATTTCTAATTTTAATCCACTATACCCAACAAACTCATTTGAGTAAGTGTCCAAATTATGTTTTGTGAATAATTTTACAAAAGCCCAGTAAAGTCTTAATGAAACTTGAAACTCGAAAGCAAGCCAGTCTTTTCGCTCTCCGTAACATTAAGATTGGTTCTTCAGATCTTTAAACCAAATTGATTTTTAGAATGGTATAATTTATCTCGGTTTAACTTGAATCGATCAAACCGGATAGGAGATTCCAAAATGAAATTGATAAAAGAGATCTGTGTATCTCTCGAGTAGAAGGCGTGAGGTTCTCTGCAAAAAGAAAAGCCACGAATCCTGGCGTTGATAGCGATTGGTTAATTGTCGGTGGATCATCGTTTTCCGTTAGATAGCAATCGTCTTCTTCGTACTCTCTTCTTCAATCTTCTTTTTCTTCCTCGCAAACCATTATCTACTACTATCGCACATTTTCTCGCTTTCGATTCCGAGTTTCCTATCCGTCGCGGGTTGTGCTTTAGTTGTCAGATCTCCGCCTATGATTTGTTAATTGGTAAAATGGCGTTTTAGTCTGTTACCTGGGAGGCCTTTGTGTCGCTGGATTCTTCTCAAATCTCACCTCATCTTTTATAGATTCTGAGTATGATTTGTTTGTCTCTCTCCTTCATTATTCGGTTGCTTCCGCGGTTCGTTGCTTGATTTAGGGTTTTCTTTTTTAAAAAATTGTTTTCGACAGAGATGGCGCTGAAGCGAGGGTTATCGGGAGTTCACCGGATTAGAGGAGGTGGTGGTGGATCTCGATCTGTGCTTGTGCTCCTCGTCTTTTTCTGTGTTTTCGCACCTCTTGTCTTCTTTGTTGGCCGAGGAGTATACATTGATTCCTCAAACGGTATGAACATTGCTTATCTTGTGTAAACTTATTTGAATTCATGTAGAGATCTAGAAATGTTATTAGGATTGAGAAGATAGAATGATTTAACCACTATTCTGTGTTCGGCCTTCACTATCTGCATTCGAGTTACATTTCCGTTAAATTATTCGCTTGGAGTGACACTGATGATCTTCCGACCATTGCTACTTTTTAGACTGATAAATTTGGTCCTTCTTTGTATAGTTAGAGGAATAGATGTTGACCTTTAATCTTAGCTATTAGTTTTTGTCGATTTTCTGATGTATATATATCATTATCTGCAATTTGTCTATCTGATGAAGTTACTTTCACTACTGCAGATTATTCAAATGCTTCTGTGAAGCAGGTGGGTTGAAGCTCTTTTAAAATTTTCTGCTTTTATGTATTAACAAAGTGAATTAAGGATGTTGTTTAATTGGACTGTTGCAGAATCTTGACTGGAGAGAACGCTTAGCGATGCAATCTTTTAGATCTCTTTTCTCAAAAGAGGCAAGTCTATTTCAGTGAAAATTTAGTTTGGTTTATTCTTTCTTCGTCAGTTCTTCTCAGATTGGCTCGTTTCTTACTAATTTTTCTAATCCAGGTACTAGATGTTATCACAACTAGCACAGCTGATTTGGGTCCTTTTAGCCTTGATTCGTTCAAGAAAAACAACTTGTCAGCATCATGGCGACGAACCGGAGTAGATACCTCCTTTAGAAATTCTGAGGTGTGGTTTACTTTGCAACGTGATTCGCCTGTTTTGATTTCTTTTCCAAATATCTACCCTCGATTATTTTGGCTCATAGTTTTGTTTTTTTATCGTTTGATCTACTTGAAGCTGAATCAATCAACTCTTGATGTCAAACCTAGTATCATGAATGCAAAACGCGACAGTACTTCGAAAGGTAGTGGCTTTTATTCAAGTTACATTCTAATTATTTCAACGTTTTCCATTTCTGATTCTTCCATATTATCTTGATTCAGATAGTAGCCATCAGAAAGTTGAGACACCTGCAAAATTTTACAGAAGGGTAACTTTATCTTATTCACTTGAGTTCAAAATCTGGATGTACCATATGTTTTTGGAGAATTTCTCATGCCTTGAGTATTTACCAAAATTTCCTTTCATTATCTTGAAAATTTTTCAGCAATTAAGAGAGAAAAGGCGTGAGATGCGAGCAAACGAGTTGGTCCAGCACAACGATGACACGGTTTTGAAGCTCGAAAATGCGGCCATCGAACGCTCTAAGTCTGTTGATTCTGCAGTCCTTGGAAAATACAGTATTTGGAGAAGAGAAAATGAGAATGATAACTCCGATTCAAATATACGGTTGATGCGGGATCAAGTAATTATGGCTAGAGTCTATAGTGGTATTGCAAAACTGAAAAACAAGGGTGATTTGTTACAAGAACTCCAGGCCCGACTTAAGGACAGCCAACGCGTTTTAGGGGAATCAACATCTGATGCTGATCTTCCTCGGAGGTAATTGCTCCTTTTGTTTTTCTTATTCTCCCAAAGATGCTTTCTACTATGCGCGTTATTTTCATTGTTCATGTACTTCATAATATAACGTTCTCTATAAATTACGTTTCATCCAGTGCACATGATAAACTCAGAGCCATGGGTCAAGTCTTGTCTAAAGCTAAGATGCAGTTATATGACTGCAAATTGGTTACTGGAAAGCTGAGAGCAATGCTTCAAACCGCCGATGAACAAGTCCGGAGCTTAAAGAAGCAGAGTACTTTTCTGGCTCAGTTAGCAGCAAAAACAATTCCAAATCCCATTCATTGCCTATCAATGCGGTTGACCATCGATTACTATCTTCTTTCTCCGGAGAAAAGAAAATTTCCTCGCAGTGAAAACCTAGAAAACCCAAATCTTTATCATTATGCCCTCTTTTCTGACAATGTATTAGCTGCATCAGTGGTTGTTAATTCAACCATAATGAACGCCAGGGTAAAACACTGACCCCTTATCACTTGATTTGTGCATTTGTATCTTGAATTTAATAATTTCAAACATGAATTGCAGAGTTGAAATTGAAAATGCTTTTTTTTTTCCCTTTTTTTCCCGCAGGATCCTTCGAAGCATGTGTTTCACCTTGTGACGGATAAACTCAATTTCGGAGCAATGAACATGTGGTTCCTCCTAAACCCACCTGGAAAGGCAACTATACACGTGGAAAACGTCGATGAGTTTAAGTGGCTCAATTCATCTTACTGCCCTGTTCTTCGTCAGCTTGAATCTGCAGCAATGAGAGAGTACTATTTCAAAGCAGATCATCCAACTTCAGGCTCCTCGAATCTCAAATACAGAAACCCAAAGTATCTGTCCATGTTGAATCACTTGAGATTCTACCTCCCTGAGGTTTATCCCAAGCTGAACAAAATCCTGTTCCTGGACGACGACATCATTGTTCAGAAAGACTTGACTCCACTCTGGGAAGTCAACTTGAACGGGAAAGTCAACGGTGCAGTCGAAACATGCGGGGAGAGTTTCCACAGGTTCGACAAGTATCTCAACTTTTCGAATCCTCACATCGCTAGGAACTTCAATCCAAACGCTTGTGGATGGGCTTATGGGATGAACATGTTCGACCTAAAGGAGTGGAAGAAGAGAGATATCACTGGTATTTACCATAAGTGGCAAAACATGGTAACTAACTCTTAACCCTTTGCACCAATAGTCTCTTTATGATGGTTTTTGCTGTACATCTATAGTTAGCTCATTAAGGTTATTGTTGTTTAGAATGAGAACAGGACACTATGGAAGCTAGGGACACTACCACCAGGATTAATAACATTTTACGGACTAACACATCCTCTAAACAAGGCCTGGCACGTGCTGGGACTTGGATACAACCCGAGTATTGACAAGAAAGACATAGAGAATGCAGCAGTGGTTCACTATAACGGGAACATGAAACCGTGGTTGGAGTTAGCTATGTCCAAGTATCGACCGTATTGGACCAAGTACATCAAGTTTGATCACCCATATCTTCGTCGATGCAACCTTCATGAATAAAAATCAAATCTTTGTTAGTTGATTTGAGGTAATTACTCCTAATCTTCTGCTGTTCCCATCGCATTCCTCTTTACTTCCACAAATTGTTAATTGTTTATTCATATCTTTGTTTAGCTATTCATTTTTTTCCCGGGTTAAAGACACTTTTGTTGTTTCTGAGTTTTTTCCTTCTGATAATATATTTGTTAATGGAGGTTCTGTTAAGGACCAGTGGTAAAAGGAAGCATTGTGTATTGGCTATTTAGTATTTATTTACTGTACAAATATCCCAAGTTAAAACATTTAATCGATTTAAAACCCTTTCATTTTTTAATTTTATTTAAATGTGAATATACAAATGAAGAAAACACGATCCAATCCAATGAAAAATGAAAGATATTTAAACCCGACTATTATATGGGCTTAAATCGGACGATAAAAAAATGGGCTTAAATCGGACCGACGCAATATTTCTGCTAATACAAAATTACAAATTACCCCTCCATAAGAGAGAAGAGAGAAACTCAAAGGGAGATCAAAACTTCAAGAGCAGAGAACAGAAATCCGCAAGTTCAAAACCCTAACCCCCAGACGAATCGATGGAGCGAGACGAAGAAACGAGTGGACCGATGATGGAGATGTGCACTAACGGAGGCGAAGAGACGTCTAATCGAAGACCCATTATAAGTGGTGAACCGCTTGACATCGAGGCTTACGCTGCGCTCTACAAAGGTCGCACGAAGATCATGCGGCTTCTCTTCATCGCTAACCATTGCGGAGGAAACCACACGATTCAGCTCGAAGCCTTGAGGATGGCTTACGACGAGATCAAGAAGGGAGAGAATACGCAGTTGTTCAGAGATGTCGTCAATAAGATTAACGGAAGGCTTGGGGATAAGTACGGGATGGATTCGACCTGGTGTGAAACCATTGATCGTCGTGCTGAACAGAAGAAAGGAAAGCTGGAGAATGAGCTCAGTTCATATCGGGTAAATTGGGCTCTTCTTTACCCAAGCGATTTATGACCTCATTTGTTTTAAATCGTTCATAGAAATCTGTATTCCTTTTCTCGTTTGCTTGATTCTGCCATTGCTTAACTACTGATTCATCTTCTATTTGATTATAAAACGATCAAGGAAAGCATCAGAATGGGTTAATTGTTATGACTCTTTACTGCTGATTTCGATGATGATGTTTCTCACTTAATCGATTAGAGAATGAAGTATGTAGTGTTGTTTATGTGCTACTTTGTGTCTTTGCGTAGCTCCTTTCTGGTAATTCGCTTGCTTGATTCTGTAATTGCATAAATGTTGATTCATATTCTTTATGTTATTATACAGACAAATCTGATCAAGGAAAGCATTAGAATGGGTTATAATGACTTTGGGGACTTCTACTATGCTTGTGGTTTGCTCGGAGATGCTTTCAAGAATTATATTCGAACACGAGACTACTGCACTACAGCAAAGCACATTATTCACATGTGTATGAATACGATTCTTGTCAGCATCGAGATGGGACAGTTCACTCATGTGTCTAGCTACGTTAACAAGGCAGAGCAGAATCCAGAAACCCTTGACCCTATTGTAGCTGCAAAACTCCGATGTGCTTCTGGATTGGCTCACTTGGAGCTGAAGAAGTATAAGCTTGCTGCTCGTAAGGTCTGTCATAATATCATATTGATCCTCATATCCTATCCAGTTTTGTATCTGAAATCTAATCGTTGAACTTGGGTATTGTCTTGTGCAGTTTTTAGATGTCAATCCCGAACTTGGAAATTCCTATAATGAGGTCATTGCTCCTCAAGATGTTGCCACCTATGGAGGACTTTGTGCCCTGGCTAGCTTTGACCGATCAGAATTAAAGGCATTTATCCCTTTTAGCTTGTTATCTTTTTATGTGAGTTTCTTTTTGTCTTCCCTTGGTCTATAACTCAGCAGTCTAATTGACAGGCAAAAGTTATTGATAATATCAACTTCCGAAATTTTTTGGAGCTAGTACCTGAAGTGAGGGAACTTATCAACGATTTTTATTCAAGGTAATATATTTCTTACAAAACTCTTGTGTTTTCATGTATATAACCGAGTTGCTGACCTTGAACCAAGGGTGATTAGAAAGAATACTCACTAAGAAAACATATACCCAACTACGTCCGTGGTGCTCAACAAGTCTGTTGAATCCAGTGTTTATTGTAGTCATTGACTCTGACCAACTCACTAAGTTGTTGGTTATGTTGTATTTTATTCTGTCTTGCTTATGAAGACTTACCATGCTTTTCTCCAGTTTCTTATTTATCTCAACATTGGATAAGACACTCAAAATCAACCTTTTTCGTCTGTATTCTCATTGAATCTCGTGTTTAACATTTCTTGTTGGCAGCCGCTATGCATCCTGCCTGGAATATCTAGGAAGTCTCCGAGCGAATTTGCTGCTGGACATCCATCTTCATGATCACGTTGACACATTGTATGATCAGATAAGGAAGAAGGCACTGATCCAGTACACGTTGCCGTTTGTGTCTGTTGATTTAAGCAGGATGGCTGATGCATTCAAGACCAGCGTCTCTGGTCTAGAGAAGGAACTCGAAGCTTTGATCACAGACAACCAGATACAGGTCCGTTCTGTTTCCAGCAATAATTTTGTTTCATTACTGTCATTTTCAAAACCTTGAAACCCTTTTTCCCATCCCGGACAGGCACGGATCGATTCACACAACAAAATCCTCTACGCAAGACACGCAGATCAGAGGAATGCAACTTTCCAAAAGGTACTTCAGATGGGAAACGAATTCGATAGAGATGTCAGGGCAATGCTTTTGAGAGCCAACCTTCTCAAACAAGAGTATCATGCCAGACTTGCCAGAAAACTTTGAATTGGACATCTGCTTGGCTAATCTGAGAGCTTCTTGGCGACCTATTCCATGATCATAAGATGTTAATGACAGATTGATTTGGTTTAGCTATTGGTTAGATATATGTCTAATCATCTCTGCTCTCTTGCTACTACTTTGTTTTCTTGACTTTTAGTTAAGGTTCTTTGAAGTATCATCTTTGGACTTTGAAGAAAATCGCAAGTGTGAATCTAAAAATGCATGAATCTCACATTGAAAGTGAAAGTGGTCAAATTTTAGAAACATCCAGGTACAGACTTGGTTTCGTGGGCGCGTGTGAATTATGAGAGATTGTGTACGCATGTAGGGCCACAAATCTCATCTCCCAACTAATACCAATTTCACTTTGTCAACTGAACTTTGTATATTATATGATGTCACTCTATAATTCAAGGGTGTTTTTAATTTACAAAGATAATCATCGAAACGGCAAGGCTCTTTTTCTATAAGTACAATCTCGAAAATTGCAAAACCAAGATTTGATGTCGGCAAAACGCATCATGTGGCCTTAGTGTGAACTTTTGATTTTCTAGCGTCAAAGAACTTTTGATATTTAATTTCGATAGCTACGTTTCATTCTCGTTAGTTGAAATTTATGAATTTTCTCACTGAAGGAGATAAGTCTTACCAAGAATTTGGTCATGGCTTGAGGGTACCAAAGTAATGTATTTGTAATCATCTGATTGTACCAATTCTCGTCTTATAAAATATCATCATAATCATAAGTAGTTCTTTTCTATGCATTCCTCTGAGTTGTTCTCTTTGTTTGTATGTATTTATTTACCTTAACTTTATTGTTTTTGTCCGTGGCAGAATATTCAAGGCTGTATTTCCAAGATTCGGACGAAACTAGAAATTGGGCAGATTGCTTTATGTAAGAACCTGTTGGTTTTCTATGGGTCGATGACATTTTGAGTAAGTAGAGGTATTATTCTAAGATGAGACGGTCCATTATTAATCAACTAATAAATGATTTTGCCTTTTTTAATGGGTCTTAGGTAGCATCGCAATAACTCTATATTAACTCGAAACTCACAAACCATAGAGTTATGATTCCGCCAAATTTGGAAGATGGGCCATTAAATTCACTCATTCCAGTACTCCATCAAGAACATGCGTCTTCTTTACATGTTTCTTCCTCTATGGACGCTTCTTATAGTTTTATAATTTTTATTGAAAACTCTAGACATATTATCTTTATAAAGTGTGATCAATACAATAGTCTTGTAATAATAGCTCACATTTATGTTATAACTTCTTGTTCACCATGGAATGAAAAAAAACCATACCAGCATACCTAGTACGATTTACGATGCAACAATATTCATCGTGAAGAAACATGTAGGAATTCATAAATTAACAAATAAACCGCTCAAGAAGAAAGAATCTCTATTTAAACAATTAAGTAGGCAAGAGCAGGGGCAAAACAGTAAGTTTGAGAGATTCGGCCTGGATTAGTCACCACTTAGAGTGGACTTTTATAGCAAAAAGGTTTATAACGTCAAAAGAGTCAAACCCAACTTTTCAATGGTTGTAAGGCTTTCCATGACTCCACATCTCTTCTTTTTCCCCTATTTATCCTTTTCTCTCTTATTATCTTTTTAAAAAATAATAATTATTTGAAAAATGAACAAACCTTTTCTATCTTCCATTTTCGTCGTTTCTGTCGTCTTTTCCATTTATTGTTATCTCTCTCCTCTCTTTCTCTCTCTCTCTCTCTCTCTCTCTCTCTCTCTCTCCTTTTTCATGGACATGCACCGAAGCGACAAATCTTTCTAACAGTTAGGGCTTTCTTCTCCACTTCATCCAATGGTGGATTTCTTCTAGTTCATAATTTTCCATCTTCATTTCTCAGTTTATTGGAAATCTCATGAGTTTGAACGGTTTTCTCGGCGACGGTTCTTCCGGAGATAGAGCCGCCGCGAAGCTAATCTCCGATGTTCCGTACAGTGACCACTTCCCTTTCTCCGCCGCAGCCACCATGTTCGGAACTTCCATTGCTCCGTCTCACCACAGCCTTATACCTCATTCTCGCCCCTTCTCCTCTCACGGTCTCTCCCTTGGTCTCGTAAGCTCACAATATCCCCTAATTGTTCTTATTTGATTTCTTCTTCTTCTTCTTCTTAGCTTACTTATAATATCTGGGTTTGGCAGCAAACAAATGGAGAAAACAACGGAGAAATCAGTAGAAACGGAGAGATTTTCGAGTCAAATGTAACTCGCAAGTGTAGAGGAGATGACGCAGAAAGCAGATCTGAGAGCGATAACGCTGAAGCTGTCTCCGGTGACGATTTAGAAACCGACGATAAACCTCCGAGGAAGAAGAAGAAACGTTACCATCGTCACACTCCTAAACAAATACAAGACCTCGAATCGTAATACTCTACAAAAATCCCCACACAAAAAAAAAAAAAAATCCCTAATCAATTCTTAGTTCTACGACGATTTGATATTCGATTTCAATCCTTGCATTTTAGGGTATTCAAAGAGTGTGCACATCCCGATGAGAAGCAGCGTCTCGATCTCAGCCGTCGTCTTAACTTAGATCCTCGTCAAGTCAAATTTTGGTTCCAGAATCGCCGTACTCAGATGAAGGTTTGTCTTCGAATCGCCGTCTTCTTCTTCTTCATTTCCCGGATTTTTTTTTTTTTTTTTTAAACTGATTTTTGATTTGTTTCCAGACTCAAATCGAACGCCATGAGAATGCTTTGTTGAGGCAAGAGAACGATAAGCTCAGAGCTGAGAATATGTCAGTACGTGAAGCTATGAGAAACCCTATGTGCGGCAATTGCGGCGGACCCGCCGTGCTCGGCGAGATCTCCATGGAAGAGCAACACCTTAGAATCGAAAACTCACGCCTCAAAGACGAATTAGACCGAGTCTGCGCCTTAACCGGTAAATTCCTTGGCCGGTCTATTCCATCAACCGCCGGCTCACATCATATACCGGACTCAGCACTCGTCCTCGGCGTTGGCGTCGGCTCCGGTGGCTGTAATGGTGGTGGTTTCACTCTCTCCCCTCCGTCGCTGCCTCAGGCTTCTCCCAGATTTGAGATTTCTAATGGTACCGGTTCTTGCTTGGCAACGGTTAACCGTCAACCACCGGTTAGCGTTAGTGACTTGGATCAGAGATCAAGGTATCTGGAGTTAGCTCTTGCGGCAATGGACGAGCTTGTGAAGATGTCTCAGAGACGCGAGCCGCTCTGGGTTCGAAGCTTGGAGACTGGGTTTGAAACACTTAACAAGGAAGAGTACGACACAAGTTTCAGTCGATGTGTTGGACCAAAACAAGATGGGTTTGTCTCAGAAGCTTCTAAAGAAACTGGAACGGTTATCATCAATAGCTTAGCCCTCGTTGAAACCTTGATGGACTCGGTTAGTTATTAAACACTTGATGAGTAGTGCTTAATCCAACAAAAAGGCCGAAAAAAATATAATCTTTTGATACATTAATGATCGTTTTTTGATAGGAACGATGGGCGGAAATGTTTCCGTGTATGATCTCAAGAACTTCAACCACTGAAATCATCTCTAGTGGCATGGGAGGGACACGAAATGGTGCACTTCACCTGGTACATTCTTTAAAGCCTTACCATTTTTACTTACACTAAAATTTCAAATTTATCAAATGGTTTTTTTTTACTCTCATTGTAGATGCACGCAGAGCTTCAATTGTTGTCTCCACTCGTCCCTGTTCGACAAGTTTCGTTCTTGCGGTTCTGTAAACAGCACGCAGAAGGTGTTTGGGCAGTCGTGGATGTCTCTATTGATTCCATCGTAAAAGGATCTTCTTCAAGCTGTAGAAGGTTACCATCTGGTTGCCTCGTACAAGACATGGCCAATGGCTACTCGAAGGTAACACCATTGGAATTAACACTAAATAATGATACTTTCTCAAGTTTTCAAAACTAAAGGTGTGTAATTAGAAAATACTTATGGTAAAGTTTTCACCTATAGAGGTTTTTCAAGTCCTGATTTACCCTAATTTAGTGTTGTATTTGGTCTCACACTTCTCTAGGTACCACAGGCAAGGCTCTTTGGTTTGTCCGGGAAATTATACTATCTTATACTAAAATAATAAAAGGTTTCTTATACATTGGGTTTATAACTTTACTTAGACTAATATATTATGCGGGTAAAAATGTCACTATTTAATTGATCAGAAGCATCTAAATATCTCCGAGTTCTGTGCCATTGGATCGTGCATAAAACCCAACGCTTTAAAAATCCTTTTTTTATGTAATTTATTTTTCATTTTTTCCACCCTACCACTGACCCAACTTTTACATTGACATGCATCACACGATGATAAAGTTTTATCACTTTTCTTCTCATTATATTTTTTGTTAAGAAATCTTCTAAACACTAGACCTAAATACCTAAAAAATGTTTGGGTTAAATAAAGCTAAGCATGATATAAGCAAATCGCAGGTAACGTGGATCGAGCACACAGAGTACGATGAAAACCGCATCCACCGTTTATACCGCCCGTTACTTAGCTGCGGCCTAGCGTTTGGCGCACAGCGATGGATGGCTGCGTTACAACGTCAATGTGAATGCCTCACCATTCTCATGTCCTCCACTGTTTCCCCTTCACGTAGCCCCACCCGTAAGCTTCCTTGTACTTTGATAGTTGACATCTATTCTTGTTGAAAATTAATTGTTTTGGTGAAAAAAAAAAATTGTTTTGGAATAATGGGCACAGCGATAAGCTGCAATGGTAGGAAGAGCATGCTAAAGCTAGCGAAGAGAATGACAGATAATTTCTGCGGAGGCGTTTGTGCATCGTCGTTACAGAAATGGAGCAAACTTAACGTCGGTAACGTCGACGAGGACGTAAGGATTATGACCAGGAAGAGCGTAAACGATCCCGGTGAACCGCCAGGAATCATTCTAAACGCTGCGACGTCGGTGTGGATGCCGGTTTCTCCACGGCGGCTGTTTGATTTCCTTGGGAATGAACGGCTTAGATCTGAATGGGATATCTTATCCAACGGTGGGCCCATGCAAGAGATGGCCCATATCGCTAAAGGCCATGACCATTCTAACTCCGTCTCCCTCCTCCGTGCCACCGTAAGCTTCTCTCTCTATATATATACACATACGTACTAGGCTAATTTTCCAAATTCGGTTTAGTTTGTTGCGGTTTTGGTTTAGTGAATTTATGATTTTAGTAGAATATAATTATTACAATCGAAATTATAAGGTTATTGAAAAATTGTCGGTTTGTTTTTTTTTCTCACCAATTTTTTTGCGGTTTGGTTTAAAACATAAAACCAGATTGATTTTTTTTTTTCTTTTTCATGGGATTATTATCAGAATCAGTTGGTTTGATTGAACCGGATTTTGGGGACATTTAATATTTATGTATAGCTGTGTGTGAAAAGGACTAGTTTTGCGTGACCCCAGGATGATGTGGTCATATGAATCTTGTCGCGTGTGATTGGAAAGGGACAAATCTGTAATTTGGAAGTATGGGGGGGAGAAAGTCAAATTAATAAGACATTTATGACCTTTTTCTTCTCTTTTTTGGCTCTGCTGTTTTTTTTTTTTGCTTTTGAACTTTATAAAAATCTCTCTATTTTACTTTGCATTATTGGTCTCTTTTTCTCCTTTTTACCCCTGTACTTCTGGCGTTGTGACGGTGACACTGTTGAAATGCACCATGGGTCATATCATAAATTTTATTGTTTATCTCTTTTGGCTTATAATATTTCTTTTTCCAATTTACCCCATAATTTAATTTATTATTAATAATTCTGCAGGCCATAAATGCGAATCAGAGCAGTATGCTGATATTACAGGAGACAAGCATAGACGCTGCAGGAGCAATTGTGGTGTACGCGCCCGTTGATATTCCCGCAATGCAAGCTGTGATGAACGGTGGTGATTCAGCTTACGTGGCATTGCTTCCCTCAGGATTCGCCATTCTCCCGAATGCTCCGCGGCGCTGCGCCGCAGAGGAACGTAACGGTGGGTGCATGGAGGAAGGAGGGTCGTTACTAACGGTGGCGTTTCAGATACTGGTGAATAGTTTGCCTACGGCTAAGCTCACGGTGGAATCTATAGAGACGGTTAATAATCTGATATCGTGCACCGTACAGAAGATCAAAACTGCTCTTCATTGTGACAGCACCTGATTGAGATCGGACGGTGTGGATTGAGTCAAGAACGAACCTCATTTGTCAAGAATCCTTGGTGTGATGGTTCGGGTATTGACTTGATAGAATTTGAATACCAAACAATGAACAAACAAAAATAGTTGTTATTTGGATGGTTTTATTTTGGATCATGTTGATGAAAATGTAATTTCTTTTGCTTTTCTCTTCTTGTATTGACTCGATTAAAATCTGAAAATCATACAATGCGAAACATCGAGTTTTTAAGGAAGTTCTGATTCTTTCATTTAGTATAATTAATAATTTCTCAGCATTCTTTTAAATGAGAAAAATTGGAACTCAAGGCAACCAGATGGTCAATATTTTTTGTGGTAAAGTAATGTGAAAGGAAGGGTGGACCATTTACTTTATGTTCAAGTTCATGTGCTATTTTCAGTAAGGTAGAAAAAAAAAAGAACAAACGAAGAATGAAACACGTGAGTGCATGAATATAGTTGGACTCACAGATATATCCATGCATGATACTCTGCACACAAAAATACAAAAAAAAAAAATATCTAAAGAATTCACACCTATTTTAATTGGTGTAGAGGAGATAATACTATAGATCCAATTAAGTCCGAATGCAATGTTACAAGTAAAAAATAAATGATCAAATGCAAGTATCACATGTAAAAACAAATGATTCATGTCTAGTAAAACTGTAATACTTTATATTGCTTACTTTCCGCAAAACTCAGTCACGCACATCTACACCACACGGCCCCTTTTAAACTAATGAGAGAATCTGTGCAAATTTTTACTACACATGATGTGTTAAAGACTCCACCAGAGTCAGTCAGTAGCGACACAAAAACAAAAAGAATCGGGCCGGATATATATCATCAACACTATATTTGGGCTATTAATTAGCTTTGTTTACTTAGTCAACCATAGGCTAAATTCTTATGGGCTATTACTGGACTTTTACTTAAGGCCATCAGTAACCAATATCTTATGGGCTAAGAACAAGTCTTTTTAATAAAGTTTTCCAAAATATTTTTGAAAATTCAATGACATTGATTATTTTCCAAACTTTTAAAACGTTTGGCAAAAAGGAATGTCCGTAAAAAGAGGAAAGTTTAGACATAATTATTTTAAATCAAGTTGCCCAAATTAATCAAAAGAAAATACAGTATTTTGGACTAGCAATAGATGTCATTAGTGATACTACAATGGCTAAATAAAAAATTACAAACGGCCGAAAGAAAGGGGTCAAAGTAACAGTCAAACTCTTATAATCCGCGCGCATCGATCCATCAGGATACTTTGGTCATTTTACTCGATTCCATGCTTGAAAAAAGGTTTCGATCACCACCGTTAGATTCACTAGAAGAGCTAATAATAAACGGTCAAGATCGTTATATGATCTCTGTACATTTGTTTTTAAAAAAAAAAACAGAAATTAAGGGTGTGAGTGAGAATGATTGGTCTTGGATTGTTTGACCATGGCGGATCTTAAACGAGAAATGCCACCTTGGTTTTTCTTCTTTTAGCTATATCCGCTCCGCCGTAGATATATAATTTCTATAAATATGTTTGCGTTTATATATATAGTCACCGTAAGGAAGAAAAATTATCCTCTTTTGTTTTTTTTGTTCTTTGGTGATTTGTTCGTTTTCTGGCAGAGGAGGGAAGAAGAAGGAGAGAGAACTTAGCGTCGTCGTCTCTGTCTCTCTCTTTCTCTCTTTCTCTTCTCGTGAAAGCTGAATCATCTTCGATTTTCTCGTAAGCCCATTTTGTATTTCGTCTGTTTTTCTGGGAAAATTCTGCTCTTTTTTTTGTGTGTGGGGAACGATGAATGTGATGCGTAGATTGACGAGTATTGCCTCTGGACGCAATTTCCTTTCTTCTGATAACGTAAGAAATTTTCCTACAGTTTTTTTTTTCCACTTTTTTTTTTTTCTATATTTGAGTTTGTTTAAAGTTTTTTTTTTTCAAACTTGCGTAGGTAGGAGAATCCGAGACGCCGAGATCGAAGTCTAACCAGAATCGGGAAGAAAAAGAAGCTACGGAAACGACGACGTACGCAAAAGATTCTGTTTTAGAGGAGAATACACGAGACTCTGTCTCTACGACAGAGAATTCTGATCAATTACCCAAGGAAATCCGCGAGATGGGAATCGGTGATGTCAAGGTTACCATTTTGGATCTCAGCATTCTGAAATTTCAATTGATGATGATGAATGATGAATGATGTTCACTTTTTTTCTGGGATTTTGATAGGATACGGACGGTGGAATTATCAAGGGAAATGGAACAGAATCTGGTCGGATTATTACCACCAAAAAGAAGGGTTTGAATGATCAAAGAGACAAGGTGATTCCAAATTTTGCTTGAATTCTCTGTAATATTCCTGAAAAAAGTTTTATGAAATCTGATTTTTTTTTTTTTTATTGGTTCTTATTCAGACAATCTCGTACAGAGCTGAGCATGTAATTGGCACTGGCTCATTCGGTGTTGTCTTTCAGGTAAAAACAAAACAATAAAACTAAAAAGTCTTAAGAGATTCAAATGTGATTGATGTTCATTTGCGGTTTTTTTTTTGTAATATAGGCGAAGTGCTTAGAGACAGAAGAAAAGGTAGCAATCAAGAAAGTGTTGCAAGACAAGAGATACAAAAACAGAGAACTTCAGATAATGCGAATGCTCAATCATCCTAATGTCGTTGAGCTCAAGCATTCTTTCTTCTCGACCACTGAGAAAGACGAGCTTTACCTTAACCTTGTTCTCGAGTATGTACCCGAGACTATTTACCGCGCATCCAGATCTTACACCAAGATGAATCATCATATGCCCTTGATTTATATCCAGCTCTATACCTATCAGGTATATAAAACAAAATAAATACTTGGGATCTCTTAACCATTTGTGAAAATCTATTCTCACTTTTGGGATTCTTGTTGAAATAACCAGATTTGCCGCGCAATGAATTATCTACATCGAGCTGTTGGAGTCTGTCACCGTGACATTAAACCCCAAAATCTTTTGGTATGCAATTTTTTTTTTAAAAAAAAAGCAGTTCTTAAGGGTAATAATACTTTTCTGATTTATTAATTCCTGAAATGCATTTCGCAGGTCAATAACGTTACGCATGAAGTAAAGATATGCGATTTTGGGAGCGCGAAAATGCTGGTAGGTTATACATATCTATAAATGGGTTTTGAGGTTTATTTAGATTTCATTGTCTGTTATAAGAAACCTGAGTTGTTATATGTCTTCTTGGTGTCAGATTCCAGGAGAACCCAATATATCTTACATATGCTCAAGATATTATAGAGCTCCAGAACTCATATTTGGAGCAACCGAGTACACAAATGCGATCGATATGTGGTCTGTAGGTTGTGTAATGGCCGAGCTTTTTCTTGGACATGTAAGAAATCTTCTTTTTCTGAGTTATTTTAACTTTTGATTTTGAGACTTTTTCTTTGAACCTCTCTCTTGCTTTAAATGTCTACAGCCTCTATTCCCTGGAGAGACCAGTGTTGATCAATTGGTGGAGATCATTAAGGTAAAAAGCAGATTGGCTCTTCTTTTTCCTTTTTTTTTTTCTGTTAGAAATTCTCAGAGTTGTGTTCTCCAATCTTCACTGTAAATTAGATTTTGGGGACACCAGCAAGAGAAGAGATAAAGAACATGAATCCTCGTTACAATGATTTTAAGTTCCCTCAGATAAAAGCTCAGCCGTGGCACAAGGTAATATATATGTACCTAAGAAATTTTAGAGAGATGTTAATGTTTTGTTTACAAATGAAATCTACAACTTTTTCTTTTCAAACTCAAAATCTTCCTGCTTTTTTTCCAGATTTTCCGGAGACAGGTATCTCCAGAAGCAATGGATCTTGCCTCCAGACTCCTCCAGTATTCACCAAACCTGAGATGCACAGCGGTAAGAAAGAACAACCTAGTTTTGATTTCTGACCTATGTTGGAGCAATAACATCATTAAAATGGCTGCTTTAACTCCTTTACTTAACTCTGGTTACAGCTTGAAGCATGTGCACACCCGTTCTTCGATGATCTGAGAGACCCAAGAGCATCTTTGCCTAACGGAAGAGCACTTCCTCCATTGTTTGATTTCACAGCTCAAGGTTTTGGCAACGACACTCTACTTTCTTTTATAAGTGCTTATCTTTCTATTCTTGAACTTACTTTCCTCTGAAAATTGCAACTGCTTCCTTGCAGAATTGTCTGGTGCATCTGTTGAATTGCGTCATCGCTTAATCCCTGAGCATGCAAGGAAATGACTACTTTGGCTAATGGCTGCTCCTTCTTTACACAGATGTTGATATATAAATCTTGTTGGATTTCGAGAGATTTCTTGTTCACACGTATAGCGTTGTTCTGGTTATGAAACCTCACTGACCTCTGCAACCACATGGACTAGCAGTTTGAAAGTGTATAATTGTAAGTTTGTAACTTTGTAGCTTCCATTGTTGCAGACAGAAATGCAGAATTTTCCGAGTTTCTCTTCTTATGCAAAATGTTACCAATAGTCTCCGCAAGAACAGTTTCCATCTTTAAAGTGATGAAAACAGTTAGAATCTCTTAAAATGATATGTCGAAGATATACTCTCGATATGTACTTCATTGCATTGTGGCAATCCCCACAGACGCGGAGGTTCTTGATGATCCGGATTGGACCTCCAGATGGTACAAAAATTAGACCAAACGCTACAGCTAACTTCTCACTATGGTAAGCCAAACCAAGCTCTTTGCCTTCCTTATCCAAGTCATGGAGGGCAAAACTCATATCCGGTAAATAACCAGCTTCTTTAATCAAAAGCATCATTTCATCAACCTTACAATATATCTCAACCATTCTCGGATGTCTTCTATCTTCAGACATAAAGCTATGAACTTTACCTTTACCTTCCACCCAACTGCAACCAGGCTCTTTGATTATATTACGAGATTTCATTAATCTACGAACATTTGCAGCTTCGTCTTGTCTCCCCGCTGCAGAATACATGTTTGATAAGAGAACATAAGGAACAGCATTGTTTGGTTCCAATTCCATGAGATTTTTCGCCGCTCTTTCCCCGTTTTCTATATTCCCATGTTTCGTACTTGCAGCCAAAATTGCTTTCCATACAGTTGCATCTGGTTTAACTTCCATTTGATTAAGCAATTCCTCTGCTTTGACGAAGTCACCAGATCTACCAAAGAGATCGATCATACATGCATAGTGTTCAGGTCCTGGTGTGATTCCATAAACTGTTCTCATCGAATCAAAGTAACGTTGAGCTTCTTCTATGAGACCAGCATGACTGCAGGCAAAGAGTAACCCGATAAAGGTAATGTAATCCGGTGTTATGCCACTGCCTATCATCAAACTGTATGATTGCAGCGAGTCCTTGGCTTTGCCGTTTTTCGCATAACCCATAATTAGAGCAGTCCATGTTATCAAATCCCTGATTCCCATAGAGTTGAATATCACAATTGCATCTTCTAAGCTTCCGCACTTTGTGTACATTGTCACAAGAGAGTTATCTACTGACAAAGATGATGGGATGCCAGATTTGATGTGATTCCCATGTACCTGTTGCCCAAACTCCAGAAGAGTTAACTCAGCCGAGGCGCTTAATACACTCGCTATAACAATCTGATCAGGAGAAACGCATCCAGCTCTCATGTCACAGAACAGCTTCAATGCTTCTTCATAAGATCCGTTATGTGTATTTCCCGTGATAAGAGCCGTCCAAGATATCACATCTTTCTCAATCATCCTTTCAAACACTTTCAACGCCGAGTCCATGATTCCTCTTTTAGCATACATATCCACAAGAGCGTTATTCACAAACTTGTCAGTTGCATATCCAGTTTTCACAATCAGACAATGTACAGAAGAAGCTATCTCCATTTCTATCCTAGACGAAGCAAAACAATTTAAAATGGAAGGAATTGTGAACTCGTCTATTTTCATATCTCGCTCATGCATTCTTCCAAATAAACAAAGAGCTTCTTCTTCGAGACCTTGTCTAACACACTCCACAATCATCGAGTTCAAAGAAACCACATCATCAACTTCCATACCTCTTAACAACACTCTTGCGGTGTCCAAGTCTCTGCATTTAGCATACATAGCAATCAATGCGCTCTGAACATAGATATTGGTCATGAAACCACTCCTAACTATGCAGCCGTGTACCTGAACTCCTACCCTGCGAGCAGAAACCGCAGCACAAGCAGTTAAAACACTAGGAAAAGTAAACTGATTCGATTGATTTCCTTCTCTTCTCATATCCCTAAAACACTCGATTGCCTTGTAAGCAAATCCATTTTTAGAGTACCCAGTGAGCATCGAAGTCCATGTGACATCATTTCTCTCACCTGGCATTGTCACAAAGAGGTATTCAGCTTCAGAGATGCGTTTGCATTGTGCATACATAGCGAGAAGGCCATTAACCACATTAACATCCCAATCAAACCCGGATTTTACCATACACCCATGAATCTGTTCACCTCTCAGAAGTAAAGCAAGCGAAGCACACATCTTAAGAACACTCCCCAGAGTGTACTCGTTAGGGTTTCTTCCATCAAACTGCATTTCCCAAAACAAACGGAAAGCTTCATCTTCGCTTCCGTACTTGCAATAACCAGAGATGAGAGCATTCCAGGAGATTGTATTCTTCACTGGGTTTCTAAGAAAAAGCTGTTTTGCATCAGCCAATCTCCCCGAACCGGAGTAAGCAACGATCATAGTGTTCCAAGTGAACTCATCCCTCTCAGGCATTCTATCGAACAACTGGCGGGCTTCGTCGACTCGACCGGATTTAGACAAAACTCCCAACTCCTGATTCGAGTGAAGCTTCGTTTGACTAGCATAGCTGTGAATGTAATAACCAGACGGTGTCAAAGGAAGACGCCTGTTTCGGAAATTCAGTCTGCGCATCACCACGTTTTTGTATACTCGCTATCGCAAACAAAACAAGACTTTTTAAAAAAATAAAAAAATAAGTGTTATTATTAATAACCTAATAATGTAAATTTTTTAATATTTTATGTCCCCTGATGATGATTAACAACTAAAATATTGGTAAACACATTTCAACACGATTACGGGTGGATTTATTTATTGATTTATTCACGAACATTAGTATTATTGAATATTGATGATAGTTTATAGATAAGACAAAACAAAAAAAGGCGACTGATCTATTCGTCAGCTAAGAAATTCACATGTTTTTTTTCAGCAAACCCTTTGAATTCGTTTTTTTCTTACAATTCGTTTTGCTCCATGACAATTTTTGTTGCTAATGTTGATCGACATTTGAATTAGGCACATATGCTCAAACAGCAGTTTGTAGTTCATGGCAAATATGAAAATGATATCAAAGTGCATACAAAACTATAAGAATTTCCAAATTTTATTTCAACTCCTTATTATTAATAATTTATTATTATAGTTTAAAGACAACAAAATTAAACTCAAATCTTGCAAGGAAAAGTGCAGAGGCAGCTCTCTACTTGTTCGTTTTGGAAGCACGCACCAGTTCCTTTCCATTTCTGCATACATAGATTGGTACATGCCGAAGCTTCACAGTTTCCTCTCATTAAAATATCACGACACATTTCTTGTCCTCGAGTCTCTTTCGTCACCATCCCTGATAAATATTTAAAATACAATTCAAAAAATTTGTAATATAAAGGTTCAAAATAAAATAAAAAATTGTAATATAGAAGGCATTGAAGAAAATTATTGAATTGAAAGGAACAACCTATAAAAATGTTAACGAAAAAACAAATTTAGTTTTTTGTGTGAATTAATTTAACATTCATTTTTTTATAAAAAAACTAGTTTTCTCATATGTTTAAAAATTATGGAATGCAAAACAAACCTAGAACAAGGACAATCATAAAGAAAGCAAGAACAATGGCTTTAGTCATTTTTGATATTATAGTCGAAAAATGAATTTTTAAAGTTAAACAGCAAATCGCAATGAGTGGAATGGTAATGTACTAATGTAGATGTTAATAATCATATTTATAAGAAATGTATACAAACCTTTTAAAATAATAGTATACTATATGAGCCAAAACTGTAAAAAAAAAACTAATAGCTAAATAGATGCTGGAAACAGAAAAAAATCACTAAAAAAATATAAATAGGAATGATATCTATAAAGGATCCTGTAAATCGGCCAGGAGATGGGAAAAATATAGTGAATACATTAAAAAAATTTAAAAGTAAAGAAAAAAATAATTAAAAAGGAGTAAGATGTAATTTCCGGTGGTAATTGTCTTGAGTCTTGACATCGATTTAATTTTGATATTATTTTGCAATTACTCTAACAATTATATAAAAGCCATTCTGACGGCTTGGAGATGGCTTCATAGACAATCCGTCGCAACGTCTAATAGATGCAGGTCCTGCAAACTTTGAAGCGTCCAAAGAATGCATCTCATTTTATTGTAAATTGGTTTACTTTTACAAATATATGTAAATTCAAAGGTTGCCTAAGATATATGCTCCATATCTCGCTAAGTGGATATGAATTAGTTTTTGTCTAAGATATATTCTCGTTGTTGTTTCCTTTGTTAGTCAACTAATTGACTATTCTGTTGTTTTTGTAACCCATTATTTCGTTTAATGAAAATCATTTGACAGAACCAAAAAAAAATTATCGATATTTGAATTAGGGCACATATGCTCAAGTAGCACTTTGTAGTTCATACAAATTTAAAAAGAAAAATGAAATCAGAATATAATTTTATTTAAACTATTACCATCTTATCATTACTAGTAGTTTTTTTTTCAACGATCATTACTATTCGTTATTACAGTTTTTAAATAACTAAAAAGTTAAATCTGGCAAGGAAAAGTGCAGAGACAGCTATAGACATGTACATTTTGGAAACACGCGCCGTTTCCCTTCCATTTCAAGGTACACAGATTGGTACACGCAGCAGGCTCGCAATCTGTTTTTATCAGAAGATCATATGGCACATTTCTTGTCCTTTTATCTCTTTCGTTATCATTCCTAATAAATTTTAAGAACATCAATTTCAGTTTTTGATTATATAAATAAGAGGGAAATGATAAAAACGATGAATTAAACGTAGAAACGTGGAGAAAAAATAACCAGCTGACGGTGGCTTAAGTGGAAGTCAACGTGATTATTTCATCTTTTAAATTAAAATATATAATATGTAAGTGAAGTAGTAAGTATAAAGCAAACCTAGAACGAGGATGATAAGGAATATACTAAAGACGGTGGCTTTAGTCATCTTTGATGTCAATCGGAATGAGATTTTCGAAATAAAAAGCAATGAGTGTAATGCTATGTACATGTAAATATCACATATTAAAATTATATAAGATGCCTACATATATAATTTAATATTATGTGATAAATGAGTTAGCAATACAAAATTAATACTTAGTTGATTAGTTAGAAAAAAAATCAATCAATAGTTAAATAAATGGTGGAAACAGATAAAACTCATAAATTTATAAGTTGGAAGGATATTTACAAAATCAAGTAAAAATGAAACAAATATTAACCCAATAAACAATAACTTTGCGTTCTTGTATATTTTTATTGATAAACTGTACTTTTTCGGTAAAGGATATATTGTACTTAACAAAATCCAATTGATTATCTTCTAATCCTGAAATTCAAGCAAAATATTTTTATATGGAATAAAATCTTTACAAAATTAGTTGTGTATACAGACATAAAACTAGTAAGATCTATGGACAACCATCATAACAATATCACATTAAAATCTCCATGCATAAAAAGAAAACATCGCTAGATATAGAGCCCATGGCATCAAGAAACCCCGATGAAAAAAAATCATGGTTCACATGACGTTAGGATATGATCAAGTGTAATGACTGAGTTATAATATTCAGAACGTAGAAAGAATCTCCATTAGGAATTGGCTTCTTTGCAAGGTATCCACCACCTGATTTGAGTTACGATCCACCCAAGCTATTTTGATCTCTTCATTCAAACATTCCACACCATTGTTTTGCTTCTTTGATGCATTTTGATATTCCAAAATTCAGAGCTTTGTCCTTCAAAATTTATTCTTCTCCATTCTCCAACCCTTACTGATCCATATGTTCTGCATTGCCATCAGGCCCATCACCAAGGCTTGGAATTCAAATTCCACAGAATTCAATTAGTTCCTTTTGCTTGACCTGACCCCAACTAAGTTCCTGTTTCGTTCCTTGTGATCCCATCAAAGTTACATTTAATCCATCCTTCATTTGGTTTTGACTATGTAATAATCATGTATTCCTTCTACTCTCTCTTCTTGCCGGTTGTTATTTATTTGTCAAAGAAAAAAAATTCTATAGTTATTTATTTATCTTTCGATTTAATTATTTTCTATTTTAAAATTTCATAAGAAATTGTTTTTATACAATGATCCCTGGTAAAAATATTTTTTAGTTCTGCCATTTTTTTTTGCCGTCTGACATCTTTTATTACAGATAGAAGAATAATACTAATTAAAGTCACAATATTAGAAAGAAAGGAAAAAAAAGGAATATTCATCTGATCGAACGTCAATGGGGACATTCTCTTGTCGTTTTCAATTTGCATTAGCTTCTGAGAAAGTGCTTCTCAAAACCTAGAATCATCCACCCCCAACATTCGGCAGAATTTCCGCGATTTCAAGCCCGATCCTTCGAGATTCGGACCATTCCTGATTAACCCGATTACCCAAGATCCTATCTTCGCATCTCCATTTCTCCGAAATTTTCTAAAAGTTGGTAGATTCCTAGATCAGATTCTGGATTTATTCATCTTGTTTGATGAATCCACCGATCCCCATCCCAGGCTCTTCTTCTCCGGCGATGGACGTTTCGCCGCTTCTAAGCCGGAACAGGCGTAACATCCCTCGCACGTCCCAGCCGCTTCGAGGCGCAGCGTCGAGACTTCTCCGCCGCGCTAGCAATCGCCGGATGATGCTTCGCGAGCCCTCCGTTCGAGTTCGTGAGGTGGCGGCTGAGCAGCTTGAGGAGCGGCAGAGTGAATGGGCTTACTCTAAACCGATCATAGCCCTCGATATACTCTGGAATTTCGTCTTTGTGATTGTGTCAATCGGGATTCTAGGGTTTAGCTCTGAAGAGAATCCTGATGTTCCTCTAAGGCTTTGGGTTATTGGGTATAATTTCCAGTGTTTGTTTCACGTTGGATGTGTAATTGCCGAGTATAAACGACGCCGAGAAGCTAATTCTCGTAGTGAAGATGATTCCTCCTCCAATCACGGATCTCTCAGCGGAAGCGAAGACGAATCTGATGGTTATGGCATCGACGAGACGGATGATGACCATCGAGCTAGGTCAGATTTCCATATTTCCCCCTTTTCTTCTTTAATCTATGAAACTTCAGTTTCGCTTTTCTTTTCGTGTTGGCACAGAATTTCAGTTTCATCGATGCTTCAGTTTCAGTGATAGACTCTTACGAGTCGCGTAGATTTAGACTTAAGGAATCTTAGGATCGTATACAAATGTTGAAGTGAATTTACTGTTTTCCTATTGATTTGTACTCTCAAAGATCCTCATGTTTTTTTCGCTATTCCAGTTTCGCCAAGCACCTCGAGTCTGCAAACACGATGTTCTCTTTTGTCTGGTGGATCATCGGGTTTTACTGGGTCACAGGTGATGCCGAGGCACTCGCTCAAGCGTCGCCTCAACTCTACTGGTTTGTAGCCGGAATATGACAGTTCTTGATTGTTCTTCCACTTATGCTTCAAAAGATTGTTTCTTTGATCAAATCATTGTTTCTTGTGTGTTTGCAGGCTCTGTGTTGCATTCCTTGCCTTTGATGTTATCTTCGTTGTCATTTGCGTCGCCGTTGCTAGTCTAATCGGTATTGCTGTTTGCTGCTGTTTACCTTGCATCATCGCGATCTTGTACGCATTAGCAGATCAGGTAAAAGAAACACTAAGAGAATGAAGACAAATAATTCAGTCACATGTTTCTTGATGTATCACATCCTAGTAAGTATTGTTGTTTCAGGAAGGTGCGCCTGATGAAGAGATAGAAAGGCTTTCAAAATTCAAGTTTCTCACTGTAAAGAATTCCGAGAAAGTGAATGGCGAAGTCCGGGAAACTCAAGGAGGGATAATGACAGAATTAGGTGTTGATTCTCAAACCGAACGCGTGATAGCTAGTGATGATGCTGTAAGTAACCAAACTCAAACCCTGTTTTTTTGGTTTACCACCGAGTTTTGGATATAAAGACACTGAAATGACTGGAGCAAAATCGATGATAACTGTTTGCAGGAATGTAGCATTTGTCTGTGTGCATATGAAGATGGGGTAGAGTTAAGGGAACTGCCTTGTAGACACCATTTCCACAGTTTATGTGTAGACAAATGGCTAAGGATCAACGCAACTTGCCCTCTCTGCAAATTCAATATTCTCAAAAATGGTGAACATAGTGGGAGTGAACAAGTGTGAGGAGAAAGAAGATTCGTTGTAAGAAGATTCGTTGCTCTCTGAGTTAATATATGCGAATGTGATGAGCTCATCATCATCATCGTCAATCACTACCTTAAACCTCGTTTATTCTTTGACCACTACAGAGGGACGAACAAGAGAAGACCTTTAAGTTTTGTTTTGAAAACGAAGCTGCACTTCTTCTTTTTGTTTCTTTTTTTGTTTACCTTTTTCTTACATATTGTAATTTGTAAATGCAATAAGTAAATTATAGTTCGGTTGAAAAATGTTTATTCAGCGAGTCAGAGGTGTGATGAGAACCGTTTGGGTTAGTAAGTCAACGGATAAATTATATCCAGAATTTCTAAATTACGATAGTAAAATTTACCAACCAACTTATATTGACTGGTGTGTGAGGTCATTGTGGTGTGGTGGATAAGAGGACGAGATCATTATGATTTAACATTCTTGCTGATTAGTTGAAAGTTAACTCGTTTATTATTGTAATCGTAACTAACGAGAGAGAAGCGTGTGGATTTGGTTAAGGCTGGAGCCGAATTTGTTGAAACTGGACTAAGCCCAGCTGCGCCCACAAACGTTTACCCGAAATGGTTGAAAAGTGAGAAATAGAGGAAAGTTCACTTCTTATTAAAGAAATACAAAATAAACGCTCAGATGCGCACCACATCATCTGTAAGAACAGACGGTCGTGATGAACCCAATCATCACAGGTGCTTTTATCCTCACAGCGAGTCAACGAGCAGAGAATCGAACCCGGCAAGCTTTGGGGTTCTTATCTCTTCTGTAACCAGCACGGACTAGTCACTTTTGTTAATTGGAACAATATGTAATACTTAATCAACTTATAATCTTAACACTTTTTGTCATCTATAATTCTTTTTTTTTGGTTAAGAAGAAAGAATAATGAACTTGCTCTGTTCCAGTCCAAATGGATTAATTATGCTTGGTTACCAATAAAGAAGAAAGAAATGCGTATATAATTTCAAATTCGTCCAACAGAAGAATTGTCAATCATCTGTACATCCGATTTAATTTTATGGATAAACTCATATCATAAACTATGCATAGTAATGAAAAAAAACATTCTCAAATGCTTAAAAATTATAATAACTTTAAAAAAACTGTCACTAGTATTAAAATAGTATTGAGATTAATTTTATATACTAGTCGGTTTATTATTTTACTCAATTTTGAAATTATATATCGCCACCGAATCACCGCGCAATCAGTTAACGTTAATTATTGTTTAAAGCTCTGTCGCACGACGAACAACATGTAGAGAACAAATTCTTAGATATCATCATCGAACAAAATTTGACTTTATTTTTTCAACCTTGTAATCAGTTTTGTTTCCAAACAATAAAATCAGCTTTTGAGTATATATAAAGTAAATTAACCAAACATCTTTTTATGTTCAAACAGTTTCGAATTCAGAGAATCCTTACAACAGAGACGAAGTGTAGTAATCTGTGCAGCCAAACACCAATCTATGTTGGCCGTTGAATCACACACCAAATCGGAACTCCGGTAACAATCCGGCCACCACCATATCCATCAATCGACAGGGGCTCCGATCTGGGTCTCCACAAACCAGTCTCCGCCGCTTGCGACGAGCACGCACCGTAATCATTCATCGCCGTCGTCGATTCTGTGGAATCGGGTTTAACCAAGATCGAAACGTTCACGATTCCACACTTATCCCCAAATTCATCTCTTAATCTATAGCTCAAGAAATTAAAGTGACCTTCAGGGGAATACCTTCCCATGAAATCCGTCGCTGGGATTTTAGCTTCCCCGATTTTCTTCACACGCCTAGAACCTGTTCGATAAAATACCTCAATGGAGATAAACTGTACACTAGAATTTATCGGAATCTCCGACTTAAAGTTCCATGTTGGATTGCTTCCTCCCGATTCGTCAGGATTAGAAGTTCGAGATTTCTCACCGATCCTTGCGACGGCGAAAGTTTTTCTCTTGACCGGTCTCCGGTTTACCTTAAGCCCCTCTGCAGATCTTATGTCAATCTCAAGAGTTTTTGTCATTGGTGTGGTGTACAAAGGAGCGATTCTACCTAAATCTAGATATATCATTTGGGGTTATTTTTTGTGTGTTAGTGTTGTGTACAAATGTGTACGTTAAGTTTGGTCTAATCATTAACTCAGAAGGAACGATCACGGTTATATATAGAGAGAGAGACAAGATTACTGATCATAGATACAAAGGTCGACGAAGGTGATGGGGAAGCTTGGGAAGAAGACGCGAGGTTTCTTCTTCTCTTTTTCCGCCAGCGCATTGTATTTAACAAAAACGATGTCGACAAAATAAAATAAAATAATAAAGATGTTATAAATAGAAGATCTTTTAAATTTAGATATGTTTCTTTTTTTCCTAAAAACTCAAATTAAAATAAAAATAAAATTCTCATATTCGTCAAAGTATAATAACTAGGTTTTATAAATATATATATTCGTTTTCAATATATATTTAAAACAAAAAAAGTAACTTTTTATATATTAATTTAGTGAGTTAGTGACATAAGAATACGAATTTATGTTGATTTTTTCTTTTTGTAAATCAACTTTTGTTGCGCTCGATTCCCATACAAATTTTTCTTTCATTTTTAGCCTAAAGAATATATACTGTATAATGTTTACTTGTTTAGTGGAATTCAATCTATATGTATTATACATTTTGCCATAAATTCATGGACGCCACTAAACGATAAGATGGAGAAAACTGACTTATCCGATCACAGAACAACAACATTAGGAGTTTTCGTAGACGATTGTTTAATAGCTAAACGAAATCGGAGAAAGTGGTATTAATTAAAAATTAAGAGTTTTGTACCACTTTGCGAGTTTTTGTACCACTTTGCTTTTGTCTCGTTTTGGCCTACACCGATACACATAGTAGTATAATAAATTTATTTACTTTCGTGATTTTATGACTTTTCGAATCTGGCGATAACTTTATTGATTATTTCCCTAAACATCGACCGAACGATAACTTCAATTATAACGATAAAAATGATTAAATGAATATTTATGTTCTTTTTAACAGCGACGTATAATAACCGACTTTGTTTAGCAAAAAAAAAAAAAAACAACCGACTGATTCCAACGGCGTGGAAAACGCGGCGGGCTCGTTTTCTGTCAAATAACGCGCGTTCAAACAGCTATGAAACAAGTGTACGTAAGGAAAATACTCGTACTTTTTCTTCTTTGGTTTCAACTTTCAAATATAATATTGATTTAGTAACTAATGTGCTCGCGTTTTCAATGAAAATACCTCTTTTTTTTTCTCACACTCTAGTTCGATATTTCTTAGCACATTCATGTATTTTTGTCGTCTAAAATACACTAAAATTGTGGTAACAGTAGCTAGAAATTTTTCTAACTCTAAGAGCATCTCCACTAGTGTAACTCATTTTGGGTCTCCTAAGATTTAATTAATATTTTTTTTTGAAGATGAAAATAGTTAAGAGACTCTTTTATTTATCTCCTCCATTAGTGTAACCCGAGCAAAAAAAAACGCAGAATAGATAAAAAGGATCGATGAAGAGAAGGCGAAGGTGGAGGCTTTGAGCTGTTTTGTTTCTCACTTGTCACCGCTATTGTTGAGATCTTTAATCCCTGGGTTTAATAGAAAACGCATCAGGATGTGATTGAAATTTAACCCAACAAAACAATAAAAAATAAAATTTTCAAAAGAGGAGATTGGGAATTTCGATCAAGTAGATGAAGATAAATTACCAGGAGTCGACGTAGGAGGAGAGAAAATCATCGGCCAAGAAGAAAAGTCATCATTACGAACAAGAGAAAAAGAGAGAGAGAGTCGGGTTTTTGGTCGAGAATGAGGAAATAATTTTCCTAATTAAAAAAATATCTTTAACAAATAAAACATGAAAAAAAAAGAACGAACCAATGAAGTTCTCCCACGTCACCGACGAGACCGTCTCCTGCGCTCCTTCCCTAAGACCATAAACATTGCAGAGACTCAATGAAGTCTCTTAAGTAGTATTTTAATAATATATGTTAGCTGAATATCCATATAAGAGACATATTGTTTTTGATCAAATATTGTAGAGACCCTTTGGAGTTGTTTTAAAAAAAAAACAGTTTACTCAGAAAAAGATAATTATTTCATTACAAAGATTTAGAGAAGAACATAAAAAGAATTAAAACATAAATTTTGTTACAAACTTCAGTTGACATTTAGTAATGTCCAAATTTTTGCCAGATATGCTCTATTAAATCGGCTTTCAGTTTCTCATGTTGTCGTCTATCACGAAGTTTTGTTCTTGCAAACATATTATTCTCAAGATTTGAAGTATCTGTTTCATATGCGAGATCTACAATTGCACTTCCGCTTCCTTCTCCGTGATGGAATTCTGAAACATTTGAGAGTGTGTATCCATCTCTTTCATCTTCTACGATCATATTGTGGAGTATGATACAAGCTCTCATAATCTTTCCTATTTTTGCCTTATCCCAAAACAGAGCTGGATTTTTGATAATGGCAAACCGGGATTGCAAGACACCAAAAGCACGTTCGACATCTTTTCGAGCAGCTTCCTGTTTTTCTGCAAATAAACATGCTTTCGGGTCTTGTGGTATAGGACTAGATTGGATAAATGTCGCTCATTTCGGATAAATACCATTTGTCAGATAGTTTGCCAAATCATACTCCCTTCTGTTGACAGAAAATTTCACTTGTGGAGCTTTTCCCTGAATTATATCATCAAACACAGGTGAGCGATCAAAGACATTTATATCGTTTAAGGTACATGGAGGTCCAAAAAACGCATGCCATATCCACAGGTCATATGATGCTACAGCCTCTAAAACGATTGTCGGTTTGTCCGAACCACGTGAATATTGCCCTTTCCACGCGGTAGGGCAATTCTTCCACTCCCAGTGCATACAGTCGATGCTTCCTACCATTCCGGGAAATTCGCGGTACTCTCCATAATCAAGTAACCGTTGAAGATCCTCTGGTGTTGGTCTTCTTAAGTATTCATCACCAAATAAATTTATGATTGCGTCGACAAAATTTTCCAAACAGTTCCGAGCAGTAGTAGCACCAATGCGAAGGTATTCATCAACTGAATCAGCAGCCGTTCCGTATGCCAGAAGACGAATTGCTGATGTACATTTCTGAAGTCCGAAGAGACAAGGCCTTCCGGGAGCGTCTTTCTTCTGCCGAAAGTATCGAACTTCATTATTTAGTCGATCAATAATCTTCATGAACAATGACTTATTCATCCTAAACCGGCGGCGGAATAGATAATCCGGAAATATAGCCTCTTCACTAAAGTAATCATTCCATAAACGTATATGGCCTTCTTCCCAGTTTCTTTCAATGAAATCTCTTTTTTCCTTGAATTGGTTGCCTCTTGCTGTTGTCCGTAGTCGATGAACATATTCTGAAGAGTGTGAACAGTGTGATTATAAAATTGATCAAATAATTGATCACCTTGATGATCAAGATATTCATCAATTGATTCATCATCATAATTATTCGAAGATGAAGCCATGGTTTTTTTAATAGAAAGTGGATATCATTTAAAAAGAAAAAGAAGAAGTACAAGAGGAAGCCTTGTAAGAGAAAGAGAGAATTGCTTGATTGAGAGAAACAATTGCTTGATTGAGAGAAAAAAGAAGAAGTACAAGGAAAGCGTTGTGGTCTCAAAATGTTATACAAATAATATATAGAAGAGTCTACTTTGCATTTTGTGGTCTCAAAATAAATCAGAATACATGTGGTCTCAAAATACACCATATTGTACAATCATAACAAATATCTTCTATGTGTTGTTGTTTTCTTGTGACTTCTATTCTTGTGACTTCTATTCTTGTGACTTCTATTGTTGTCTTCTGCCCATTCAGAATACATGTGACTTCTATTGTTGTCTTCTGCCCACTTGTTAGTCAAACCTGAAACAAGCAAAGACAAGCAAAGAACGTTACCTTTTGCATGACCAAACCATGAATATCTCGCGTTTGATTACAGACTTTGCCTCAGTTAAGAACTAAACCTTTTGCATGACCAAACCATGAACCAGATGAGATCAAAACGCTAATGAAAAAAAAACCGAAAGTTTATCATAGAATCACACATGGTCTACATAAAGAAAACCAGATACTTCAAAACAAAGATCGCTTAACATAGAATCAAACTACATAGCAACATCTTAACCTAATACATCAAAACGAAGCAAAACCTAATACATCTAAACAAAGCCAAACCTAATACATCAAAACAAAGCCAAACGTAATACATAAAAACCATAATGACTAAGTTGACAACATCTCCTTAAGAAGCTTCTGCTTAAGTGCTTCTTCCACCTCATTCAGAGCATCTGTTTTTGCAAGGACTCTGTCAAGAACACTCATCCTAGTAAGCCTCTCCCTTGTTGTTAATTCCTTATCTTTGACATCCAACACTTTTTGAAAGTCTACAATAGCTTGAGCAACATTGTTTACTTCAGTAGAACATTTTTTTCCTTTGGCTTTTGCAGCCTTCACGCCTATAGGCCGAGAGCATGAACCATCATTTTCGACAGTCTCCATGGCTTCAGTTTCCATCACATCGGTTCTTCTCTTTTTGCTCGCTTCATTGCCTTTTGTGGTGGAAAAATCACACCACTTTTGGTCATTCCGCAGTTCCTTCCAGGCGTATTCAAGGTTAAATTTCTTCTTGTGGTTTGTGAAGAAAATCTGGTGAGCAATCTTCAGGACGTCGTTCTCCTTCATGCCGCTGGTCTACTCCCTTGTTGCAGAGTCATATGCACCAGAGAACTTACACACAAGATCATTGATCTTGTGCCACCTCTGCTTGCACTGGCTTGCTGTTCTTGGTACACGACCCTCTGCATTTGGATTTCCATCATAATAGTCCGATACCCTCTGCCAGAAAGCACCACTCTTCTGTTCATTGCCAACTACAGAATCTTTACTGGTATTTAACCAGGAACTGATCAGCAACACATCGTCGCTTGGGTGCCAAGCAGCTCTCTCCTTTCGCTCTTGAGGTGTAGTCTGCGTGCTGAAGCTTGGAAATGGTTCGAGTGAAGCAAAGGAATCAGTAAGGGGAGTGTCTTGTTGACTATTCAACAAGTCCACAAAGTTAGTGGGTTGAGCATATGGATATGCCGAAGACATGAATGTTAGTGAAGAAATGAAAAGGTTGTGAAGAAAGGTAGAAAAATGGAATGAAAAGGTTGTTAAGAAATGTAGAAAAATGGAATGAAAAGGTTGTGAAGAAAGGTAGGCAAAAGGAATGAAGAGGTTGTGAAAAGCAGATGAAGGATCGGGTTTTAAAAACCAGAAAAATGGAAAGAAGGCATTGATGAGACATAAGCACCAACTATCAAAGTCAGAAAACTCTCTAAACCTTAAAAGCAATAAACTCTGTAAACCTTAAAAGCAATAAACACCAACTACCATCGATGAGACATTAAAGCAATCAAGACCTCAAACTTAAACCTTAAAACTCCAACTACCATCGATGAGAAACAGTCAAGCCTAAGTAAATCCAGCCATTAATATTATTACCAACTACAAATCTCCCTAAAATGAACAAGCCTTTATTACATTACCAACTACAAAGTTCCATTTTTATGCTAAAGACAATTAATATGGTTTGAAGATTGCTTACCAGGAATTACTTCTGTCTTCTGCTTTAATGCTCAAGGATTGCTTCACCTGTCTCGCCAATTTAGATATATAGCCTTTAAGCTGCATTGAAAGAAAATCAGAAACCAAGTTTAGTTCCAAATAATGTACCCGATTGATGCATATCCTAAACCAGAGAAGGTTAACAAACAAACAACCAATCTGAATCAAATAAAACAATCCCAATCTCAAACATTGTCTTATTGTCACTTACACAAACACAACACCATATTTCTACAACACCGATTAAGTAAGAGAATGGTATATATCTAACAAACAATTGAATTCATAAGAGATGAACCCTAAACCATCGATCAGAACCCTATAGTATACCCTATACCAAACCCACTAATCGAAACCACGAATCAAATCACCTCACATCAAATAATCAAACTGTTTCGATCCTGAAATCGAAAACCCTAAATTATCAAACCGAGTGAAACCCATAAATCAAATAATCATATAATTCAATCTCTAACCAATTCAGAAGAAGAATCGAAAACCCGAACAGATGAAGATAGAATCGAAAACCCGAACAGATCAATCAGAACGGATTGATTTCGCAAAAAAAAACCAAGAGAAACAGGGAAAAGAAGATGGCTTATCTCCGCGTCTCGATCCTCTAGTGTTGGCCTTCGAACGATGTCGACGAAGTCGGAGAGATTCGCCACCAAAATCTCGACGTCGCCAAGTTTTTCACGGAGAAAACGAGGAGAAGTGTGTCGGGGAAAAGAGGAAGGGAAAGAAAAATTTTTTTTCCCCAATTTTATTTGCCAATCACAACAAAGCACGTGTCTCTCAATACCGTCTCCAACAGTTTCATTTTAAGCGACGTTGCACAAAATTGAGAGACGCGTATTTGTTAAAAAATTGTTTTTAATAACAAGAGACATCATAGAGACGAGCGATGTTCATGCTTTAAGGAGCGGTCCGTCAAAAATATTGGGTTTTTTATTTAAATTTAATTGTTTTATCTATGAAACTGTGCTGAAAAATGGATAAAAGCCCCTGATGGGCTAAGATCTTGTTAAATTAGTCACGTTTACACATAAATCGAGACGGTCAATTTCTTTATGCAAAAAGTATCTCAAATTTGTTTGTATATTGTTACGAAGTGGTCAAACTTTGCAGTGGATAGGTGTATCAGTACGATTGGACTAGGGCTCTAGTTACAGATAAAATGATTATTTTGTAAATTATTATTTTAGAAAATATTTCACGTTATAGTTTTAACTAATATTATGAATTTTCCATTTTGATCTCGTATTATAGTGTATAAATTTGAAAATTTATTATGCTCCTCCATAGCCTTGATATATTGTTGTGAACAGATTCATATATATATATATATATATATATAATCTAACTATTAGTTATTTAAGACTTAATCACGATAATTAATTAACATCAGAACACTTTTCTTGATGTTTCTTTTTTTGTTAAATAATTTTTCTTGATGTTCAAAAACAAACAATGTGATATTTTATCTGCAGAAATGTCCTTCGGAAAAAGTTTATTGTGAACTGAAACGAAATTAGCATTTCACCAACTTGATCAAGAATCATTCAACTCATTTGAATACTTTTCGTGACTTTAAGTAGATGGAAATTTTTGTTTCCTGAAAGTTAGAACATACTTAGAAATTATAGATATGTATTGATAATTTACTTCCGGATTATTACTTTATGAGCGGGATGAAAACTCATAGAAAAATCATCTTTGTAGGAAATTGACTCGGCGCATGGCGTACACTACTATATACTCTATCTACTTGTATGCCTGTATAATTGTAGCATTCTTTAGACCTTTCAGGTTTTAAAATAATAACTTACAAACCTTAATCTTCAAAAAAAGAGTGAAAAAGAGAGAGAGAGAGAGAGAGAGAGAAAAAAAAAAGACAGTGAAGAAATATCAGATTTTTTTTGTGAAGAAATATCGGATTCTAATTTTATTCTTATAATCTTATGACCCATACATAAGAACCTGACCAGAACTGTGAACCAGGTAATTTTAGTCTAATATGATAATATCTAATCAGATACGGACCAGAAAATAATCAGCTTTTCCATAGAAAAATGTAAATTAAAATTAAACGTAACTAAATGTAAATTAAAATTAAATGCATTGATGGAAGTGAGAGAATCGTGATACGCAGAGATACGATATATTCAGGGCAAGAAGGGACGTCACATATATATGACATATGATATGAGCTGGTGGAAAACTTGCGAACCATTGCTGCAGAAGAGCAAAAGCCAAAAGGAGGTCAGAATCACGAGAGATCTAGATTGTGGTTTGCCACGACAACCGAAGCAGCTTCCTCTTTTCGACGAGACCAGTTGAAGTTGAGATGACGGATATAGATTGATCCCAGTTCTTTAACGGTCGGAGATTGCATCTGTTGCTAACACGACTCCATAAAAGTAAAACCCATTTAAACTTGCAATCAAAGAGGAGATAGTTTCTACTTAAATCTAAACTTACTAATCAATTTCATAGTGGTTAATTAATTATTTTCTAATTAAAATGGAATTTATTATTGTATAATAAATCTTTTTTATTTAGAAAAAACATACTTTCGAGTTTCCCACGTAACAGAAATTTAATATTTCTTTTTTTTTTAAGAAGAAATTTAACTTTAATTTAACTTTTCTTTTTGGTAAGTATTAGAAATTTCACTTGGGCATGTAATCATTCAAAACTAGCTAGTTTCCATTGCACTTGTTTTTTTTTTGTTGCCTTTCTGGTCACATTTTATACATTTGCAAATACTATATATATATATATATATATCAGTGGTGTGGAAAAACACATGTAACTGCTTTCAAATTTTCTATTTTCTGCGTCACGAATACAAATGGTCTTCTCATAACATGAGAAGCTACACTTTTATGGCCATTCGATTTGGAGGAAGCAGAACTTAACGTCCCACAATCACACTGGAAAGCCACACACGAATCATGATCATATATTCATATAAATGCTTGATGTTCCTATTTATATATCTATATAATATATGTGCATGTATATATACACAGTGTAAGATTGGTAGTACATATGTAGCTGAAATCGATTTGTGTTTCTAATTAAAGCGCGTATCTGTGTGAGTGTGATCTATATCTATATGTACAGTATTCGTAATTATAAATAGATAATCAAAAACTAATATGTGTAAAACTTGAGATAGAATTGCCATGATATGTTAGAACCTGTTTTGTTGTTATTTCCCAAGTTTCTGTTGTGCTGACCAATCAAACTGTTGATAACTTTATATCAAAGCTACGATGTTTAATCTTATTGCTTCTGTTGGATGCATCATGCATGCATGCATCACATGGTGGGTCGTCATTACGTGACGTCAACAGAGTTGTGGAAATAAAATTCCCATCCTGATAAACTAATTATTTATCATAGTGCGATGTAACAACTTTATATACTTGCGTGTAAGACGACAAAAAAGAAAACATAAAGATACTTGCGTTACTAACATATTTTTTTGTTAAAGTACTAACATATTTGTAATTTGCGTGTAAAACATTTCGGGACTGAATTTATTTTCAAATATTTCCATCGGAAAACCATGATGGCTATCAATTATAAATTATAATTAACGACTTATAGTTAGATTTGTAAATTCGTAAGGTGTTTACTTGTCAATGTTATTTATAATTATAATTATAGTTATAATTGTAGTTTACTTAGCATGCTCGTATGCTACCTGATTAATCTAGAGAATGTGCTATTTTTTTAATTTTTTTAATTTTGCGGAGTCCGTAGACTTGACTCCATTACTATAAAGTCGCCCATCGAAACCACTTTAAGTGTTTCTGACAACGCATTTAATACTGTTTCTACATATACGGCAAAATCGAAATCATTTTTTTGACAAGAAATCGAAATCTTGTTTTAAAAGAAAAAAGATGGAAAAATGTAGTGGCTGGAACTAGGAAAACCAATAATTCGATAAAGACAGTGAAATCCAGACAAACACATAGTTAGGTTTCTGTAACAATATGGGAGAATATTCACAACAAAAATTAAGATTACTCATTACTAGTATATACTCTTTTGTTTCAAGTAATCAATACTGGTTTTGGTTTCAGACTCTCTCGATTAACAAAAGACTCGCTCAAACTATATAAACATCATCTAAAACTTTTATATGTATACGACTTTTCGATATATTACTTTGATGTGTTAAATCACTTTACAATTTTTTTAGAGATCCCTAATTTAGATTAAATTTAATTTTTGTATATATTTCTTTTTTTAAATGTGGAATGCACCACTTGCATATAAAAAGACGGCCAAGAGTATACGTGTCATTAATTTGTAGTTAAATATATCACGTTAACGCATTGATAGTTTCTCTCTTTTATACAACTTTATTATACTAAAGTTGTAAAACTTAGCCAATTTAGTCTATTTAAGGGCCTGAAATAAATGCTGAATAATAAAACTCATGAAATGATATGTCAGCATCATTTTTCGCATTTTTAAGCTTATAGTTTGGCATATTCCTCCAAATTATTTCACCGGTTAGAGCCTATAAATTAGTAGATCTTTTGTTGCCTAATCACTTCATGATTCTATCAATATGTTTTTATAAGAAGGAAAGTTAGGTGAATGTATTTATTAGTAATTGCGGGATGACATTTTGTGACTGACGTTGCATATATATCCGAAATGCTATCATTGAAAGAAGTTGACCTATAAATACCTAAACGGAAAGTCCTTCTAATATTAGTTTAAATTTCCATGAACTTCCACATCTCTGCTTTATATCTCGTGATTTTCTGTTTTGTCCCTATCTGTCATACAATGCAGAGTCATGTGCGTTACACGCTCAACTTGACGTCACGGATACATCTTGCCTTAAATTCCACTAAATAAAATATGATTTTTCTACAACTGACACAATTAGATTACAGAATTGTTGAGATTTAAGAATATAAAACAGAGAAGTACTAAACGTATCGTTTTGGAAAGTGTTGGATCCCAAAACACAGAGGAGAATGCCGAACGTCAGTTACATATGTCCCGTGATTGGCCGGAGATAGCTTCTTCTTCTTCACGCCATTGATTTTGGATCCAGGTTTCTGATTACGATTGTTGAGAGGTTGTAGACTCGCGTCATTAGTATTTCATAGCTTCTCTAAGAGCCTCATTGTAAAGCTAATTACTATTATAATTAACCACAATCTCATTTAACCAAATTAGATTATCAACAAGACAAAGCAATGTCCAGTAGTAATCAATTGAACCATGTGGAAAAAGCAACATCAACTCTCTCAGCCATAATGTAGAGAATCTTGGAGCAAAGATAGCAATATTGTAAATTCATACTAAAACGATAGCAATTAGAGATCTATTATGGAAATTTGGGACAAGAGTAGAGGAAAGATCTATTATCTTGAGTTTCTCTCAGTTCACGCATCTCTGAGCCTGCTACACCATACAAACAGCTTAATTTTGTAACATTACCGTTGTATATTGTATTAACAACAACAGTTTACTTCTTAGTTCTTACTTCAACAATGTAGATGAAGCATTGTTGAGCCCATAGTGGGCTTATAAACAGAGTCGAGTATGCTTGCTATAGGCTCAGATAATATGCCTGTATGTAGACTTTGTTTATTCCTCTATAAAACATCTGGTTTGTTCAAATTGGGGACTTTGTAAGATTTTCCCTGCATCTCCACATGAATTTGCCGTGTCTATGATAATGTTTGATGTTCATTAATCGAAAGAGAGCAAAATAATTTAACCCATGTTCTTAATCTAATTACTTGTGTCCATTTCTTTAGTGGATCCTACTTGTGTCCTTGATGCTTCCACAAGCTAGAGAATCCAAATGTCAAAGCAATAATCTCCTGAGGCGTAAATCCAGTTCCATGATGCTCTTCCATATATCTCTATCCCTTACCTCCAGCACAATTAGCAATCAAGCCAGACCCCATTCGAAAGCACTGCACTTACTACTGAGAAGACTAACAAGACTAGATTTCTTCAGAGAATTCAAAGATCTCACCATGTCATACATACTCTACTCAGTGGGGATGCAATTTCTTCTTAGTGGGAAATGTAGAGTCGTATAAAGTGATTGAAAACATAGACAAGTAGTAATAATATAACTTTATTATAAATCTCAAGAGTGAAGACTAATCTGTGTACAGAATCTTGTTTTATTGAATAGAAATATAAAGAATCAACAAAAGATCTGATTTTTAAAGATCTTTCGAGTGTCGAAGCTTAAAGCTTGGAGATGATAGAATGGTAAAAAGTAGCACGTGCTAGGTAAGTAACTTTCATGGTGTCCTTCATCTTGAACTCAACACTCACCACCGTCAGATTCCTCCCACTCCTCACCACTGATCCCTCCACCACTAATTCACTCTGCAAAATCTCACACAATATAAAGGCTTCTCTGACTTGAAAATCTAATTAAAAGAGACGAGAATGTTGTGGCTTACCGAAACAGGAGCAGCAGAGAGATAAGACATACTCAATTCACCGAGGAACAGCTGTTTGTCTTCGGACACGACGGTTTTAGCACAAGCCATCGATAATCTCTCTGCAATTGATGCCACTGATCCTCCATGTAACCCATTAAAGTAATTCTATTCATGAAAACAGGAACTTTTAAAAAAATTAAAGATCGGAACTTTATATGATTTTGAATGAAAGTAAAAGACAGGGAGAAGATTTACGGCAAGGGCTGGCGTGACGATGACGGAACACGAGATACGGCCGCGTGCGAGAGAGAGAGCTCTGATATTGCTTTGAAATAAGACGGAGAAAGAGTCCAAGGAGGTGAAATCGTCGAGCGATGAGTCTTGGTAAGTGATTGATTTAAAGAAATCTGCGACCTTCAAGACATTGTTGGGATCGATTTCTTTCGATACCGTCGTCGTCTCGGACGAAACCGGAGAAGAAGAAGAAGAAGAAGAAGAAGAAGAAGAAGAAGAAGAAGACGACATTGTTGGTTTCTGTGGTTCTCTACTCCAAGTTTCACGGAATTATCCCCAATTCGATTTTAACCTACTCTGATTTTCAAATTGATTTTTATAAAATGTTGACTTTTTCTTTTCTAGTATTATTTCTTTGTTAATATTTTCTATAATGGGAAGATTTTTTTTTTTTTTGACAAACCTATTTATGGAAAGTTAAAACCGATAAGGCAATAATTAAAGTAGAAAATACTTCTGTGGCTAGCGGAAGGTTACAAGGCGTATCTAAATGTTACTCAATAGAGAAAACTTTGTAGTTTTTTTTTTTTTCTTTTCTATTTCTAGTTGTTTAATTTTGTTTACTGATATCTAATATTTTTGTTAAGTAGTTAAATTGTTCATCTATGCTTTTAATTAAGGATTGCACAACTAGAACACATTGCAAATGAACAATATGATTTACTTAAATTGAAAGCTGTAGATGTGTTAAATATACAATAGAAAATTGGATTCTAAGATAATTCACATGTTCGATACTAATTAGCCTGTATAATGAACGCTGTCATGTTGACTAATCAAAATTTACCACCCGAGAATGCTTTCAATTTATTTTCCAAAATATGAACTGTATATATTGAGAAAGAGAAACACAGTTGCAAACGACGAAAAGAAGAAAAGATACAGAATCTGGACGTAGTCACATAGATAACATTTTTGGTACAACAGTGAAAAAATAAAAAGAGTGCAATAAGAAATGAGATAGCAGACTAAAGTACGAGTTAAGTAGGTGGTAGATTAATCTAACCCGATTGACACGCATATTAGTATGATACAACGTTTCAATATCAAACTTTACGAACCTAAAGTTTACCAGCAAGCATATATGCCTTGTAAGAAACATCCTTGACTTGTTTGTGATCACCCCAAGCTTCCTTAATCTCATTAATAATACAAGGAGTTAGAAGCTCTACTCCTTTCTCCTTAGCCTTCAGTAGCGGCTGCCATGATTTCAAAAACCCTATAAACCCATCAAGCGAAAGCTTATGTGGAATCTCATGAGCTTTAGGGCTTCCTTGAGTCCCCAATCCTACATTTTTAAAAGGAAACTCTATTGTTTTATAACCCTCAAAGGCCAAATTCATTGTCGGGTTTCTGTAAGGTATTGTTGAATCCACCAGACGTTTCATGATGTAATCAACCTTTGGGGTGACGATGAGGTCGTTGTAGACCCAAACCGCGATTATACCTCCTTGTTTACGAAGAACACGTCTCACTATGGAATAAAACCTTTTAAGGTCAAAGTAGTGAAGAGATTGAGCAGCTACAATGAGATCTATGGAGTTTTCTCCACCGAGCTTAGCCACTAGATCGTCGTCGGACATTGATGCTGGAGTGTGAATGTATGTGACTTTTGAGTGCGCCTTTGCAAGTTCGATCTGTTTTTCATTTATATCAGTTGCCACCACCTTTTGGTAGTATTGTGCGACCTATTTACACATTTGTAATTGAGCTCACGATTAGTTCATAAAATTGCAACTAGTATATTATTTTGGAAGAAATAATTCCAAAATAATGCGGCAAAAGCTTCGAGATAAATATTATATTGGTTTGTTGACTCTAAATTTCCAATTATACAAAATAACTATAGCTTTTTAGATTCGCTAAACCTGGATATACACCAAAACAAGATAAAAAGATGAAAAACTTTGTTTGTATTTTATTTATGGTGAATTTAAAGAATAAAAAACATAAGAAGTTATTTGAAATTATGTGTTAAGCAACTACACTTAGTAAAACTTAAACTGCTTGTAGAAATCTTAAGAACCTGAGTAGTAATGATAAAATTATAAAACAAAAAATAGATGATAAAAATAAGTAGACTGTTAACATAATTTTACGCTCGGTAACAAAAGAAGATGAAAGTATGTTATTAATTTAGTAGATGAAAAAATAAGCCTTACACCAATAGCAGCCTGACCGTTGCCGGTCCCAACATCCCAAGCCATCTTATGGTCGCTAGTTTGACCGGCCAACACTGTATACCACACTGTCGGATATTTCGGCCTTGCGTTCAAGTAATCATTAGCTTGGTGTTTCGTCAAAGCAGCCATTTGGGCCATTTTTGCTTTCTTCTTTCTCTCTTTTGTTTTTTTTTTTCCTTTCTTTCTCGTTGCTTTTGGTTATAAGATTGCAACTTCATATGTTAATATAGAGTCTCGATCGAATTGTTGGAAGAAAGACAAAATCGAATCTCATCATACTTCACTACCTGTACCTCTCGACTATCAATTAGGAATTAGTTTTATTTATTCTTTAAAGATAAGGATTCTAGATAATGAAAATTGATTCTCATTGATTCATCACTATCAAAGTATTGAAAATCTTTGTTAAATACATCCATAATAATTTTTTTTTATATATTAATTAATATAACTATGTTTTGGACCCCAAAAAATAACATAGGTTTTAATTGTGGATTTAGTGCAAAAGGTTGCTAACTTTATCCCAGAGGTTTGATTTATTAGTTTGATATAAAAAAGATTTATTAGTTTGATTTTTCACCACAAAAAACAGTTTCTATAACGATGAAAATAATAGGCCATAAAATTGGATCTGATTGTATGGCTATTGTTAACTTTTTATTTGACTCTAAGGTTTTGTTGATAGATTTTAAATTACAATTTGGTGTCCGGCAAGTTAACCTGATATAGATATGTTGCACGGTATATAGCCGTAGGTATCGTTGTTCTAATTGTAAATTTGGTTTGAAATGGACCATAGAGTTATATCATCTCGATCGATCGAACTGGATACAAGTTAGAGCATGTAACCTCTAAGGGAGGGGTTCACCAGAATATAATAATTTTCTTTTTTGATTTTAGTTTTTTTTTTTTTAATTCGAAAATTATAATTTTCGACCAATCAAAATGTTCTATTTCGGGATGATACCGTCTCTTCAGGTTCGTCGGGATGATACTGTCTCTTCAGTATTAAGCTCTTTTGTCTTAAAAACTGAGCCATAAACCCCTCTTGATTCTCTGATGTACATGCTCTTATAGATCCAAACGTTCAAAAAAAAGTTATAGATCCTAATACTAAAATAAAATACAAATGTTACAAAATGGAAGTAAAGACACATATTATCAGTATTTTTGGTTGCCAACTTGTCACTTCAACATACTAGCGGTAACCTTTTTTTTTGTCAAAATAAAAATTCTCCTAAACTTTAAAATTTGGATATCTCATTTTTTTTGGTGCCGAAAGTCGCATTTATGCGGCAATCCACTATAAAGAAAATGTTTTAGAAACTCATTCTAGAGAGAGAATTCTAGAAAGAGGTTTTATTAGAAAATCTGAGATGATTTCTTACAAGGAGGTGCACACATATTTATAGGTGGGAGATAGTGCGTGCTGACATAAGCGCTTACATCACTTATACGATTACATCATCGCATACATCACACTTACATCATTATTTATATTACATGGTTTTAAGCACACTCATAATTAAACATAATTAAGTACCTTAAAGATAAGTACTTTAGTGATCGATCTCGAACTCGATGATATGTTTGTCGCAGCATCCATAGTATTCTCCTGTGCACTCATATTCTGGTGTAGGCTCTTCGTAGTCAGTCTGTGACTCTTCATTGATTTCAATGTTGAACATTTTTCCAATTTCATCGATATTCATCGCGTCATCCGGTAGCTGAGCGTCCTGAAAATATTCTGGTGGACAGTCTTGGAACATTGGTTCCTTCTCCTTCTTGATCTCCTTAGTAACTGGTATGTCTTCTATGTTTCGTTTAGACATGGAAAACATAACGTCTTCGTCTAGACTCATCTGGTAATCGATCGGATAGTACGACCAGTTTGGAATGAAAGGAATTGGGAAGGTCTGTCTGGCATTGTTGAGACGGAATGCATGTGTTTGAAAGTCTTCGTAGGCTTTAACGTCATTGAGGTTGAAATCTGGACGAACTCCTCTATGATAGTCATTTTGATGGATAAGAGTGGGTAATGCATGAATTTTGCTGGATTTGGAGTTGATCTGAACAGGACGATGGAAGAAGTAGATCGTGTGAGGATTGAAGAACGGATTGAGACCTCCTTGTCTCTTTAGTTTCTTGAATGGTAGGCCTGTTGCTTTTGCCGATTTTCGTAGTTTCCCGCTCCAAACAATCAGTGGTGTGAACCATGTTAAGAATGTGGAGAAGCAATTTCTTCGGTTTTGTACAGCGTTGACGTGCTGGTAAAGCCATTGGATATCAAAGGTGATTCCGATGGTGTAGACTGAGCAGAGGTACCAGAGGAAACACAGAACTTCTTCCGGTATTGATGTATTCTCGATCCTGTAGAGATGTGCGAACGGGTGATCAGGGTGAATACCCATTGGTGCAATAAAGTGGCAGTTGATTCCGTATTTGGACAGGATGATGGATTGGTATTTGAAAATCCTGTGTCGAAGATGCTCATGTAAAGTCCTCTTGTCGATGAGCTGGTGAGCGTCGAGAGGCATGTTTGCGTCGAAGTCATAGTATTGATTTTCTGAACTTGAGGAACCTGAGGCATATGCCATCATATGAACTTCTTTAGGAGGGTTTCGGCTGAGCATGTCGGCAATAGTGTTCTTTGCACCCTTTAAATAGAAGGATTCGAAGTCGTACTTCGAAAACCATTCGCTCCAGCGCAATAATTGTTGATGTGGGACCATCTTCTGCTTGAATTGTAACATCTTTGGGAAAGAAGACATATCCATTTCGATGCGAAATTAATGTCCTATCAGATGAAACTCGAATTTCTCGATAGCCTTCTTGACCGCTAGGATTTCTTTGAATGTAGAGTGATAATGCATCTCGGAATCTTTAAAGCGTCCGCTTTTGTATCCACAGATTTGACGTTTACCATTTATTTCTTCGAATAAAATGGCTCCCCAATATTTGTCACTTGCGTCAGTCTGCAGTATTCGTAGGCCTGTAGAGGGAATCTTTAAAGGTGGTAGCTTCTGTATCTCCCTTTTTAGGCTTTTGACTGCTTCGGTTTGTTTGGTAGCCCACGTGGGTGGATTCTTTGTCAACATCTTCTGGAGTTGTCTAGTTATTTGCGAAAGTTGTGGAATAAAGTCGCTGATGTAATTAATTACCCCAAGGAATTGTTGGACTTGTCTCCGCGTGAGATTTTCGTCGGGAAAATCAAGGAGTGCTGTAGCTAAATGGGCTTGCGGTGTGAATCTTCCTTCTGTGATTTGCATTCCAAGGAAGTCGATGTTGGGCTGGGCTTTTATCATTTTTCGGGCCGAGAGCATAATTCCATATTCTTCAACTATGCCTTGAAATTGTCGGAGAGACCGAATATGCTCTTCTTCGCTTGTCGAGAATAACAGAATATCGTCGATGTATATTAAAGCCGTGTGGAGAAGAGGCTTAAATATACGAAGCATCGCTTGCTGAAATAGCGATGGCGCTGTCTTTAATCCGAAAGGTAGAACATTCCATTGGAGATGTCTGTTGGGTAGGCAGAAAGCTGTTTTGTATCTTTCATCAGGACGAACACCAAGTTGCCAGAAACCAGACTTTAAATCAAACTTGGAGAATATGGTGGCTCTTTGTAGGTGTTGAAGGAGTGCCTTCTTGTTTGGTATAGGAAATTTGACGTCTTGTAGATATTGGTTCAGTGGTTTGTAATCAATTACCAGTCTGAGTTTTCCTCTTGCTTGTTCTGTCCGGTTGTTCACATAGAATGCTTTACATGCCCAAGGTGAATTTGTTGATGAGACAACTCCTTGTTTTACTAGTTGGTCACATTCTTCATTTGCTTGTGTCAATAATGTTGGTGGCATGCCTGCGTGACTTGCTTTTGTCGGAGTGGTATGGACATTCTCCTTGAAAGGTAGAGAGACGAAGAATTCTGAATTCAGCCATAACGGTTTGTCACATTTTTGAAGAAAGTCTGTGTGAGAGTCTGCACATGAGACTATTGCGATCTCTTCTTTGATTTTCTCGAAATCTTGAGCTATGACTCCTTCGACCGTGAATAGACGTGGGATTGTTGTGAAAGCTTTGTAGAAAGCCTTCCATCTCATTCCTCGTGTCTCAATAGATACGTCAAAATTCTTCTTGAGGGTGTGATAGGAATCCCATCCTAATATCAAATCTTTTCCTGGTGCTGAGGATCCAAGCACTTCTGTTGTAATTTGACAGCCTGGGAAAAGTTCGATCGTCACCGGTTTGGACTTGAGTTTGACCGTCAACGAACCCGAATTTGCCACTTGAAATTCTTGTTGATATGGTAGCCACATAGAAGTCGGGAGAATTTTTGGGTTCATTATCGTCGTATATGCTCCTGTGTCGATGAACGCAATTGCATGAACTGGCTTCTCCTTTTGTGATGGATCAAAGTTCGTAACTGGCAGATGTGGTGTTTGAATTTCTTCTTTTTGCGGCATACGAGTGATTTTGAAACAGCAGTCGTTATTGACTTCTTCTTCTTCTGAGGAGGAGTCGGATGAGTAGTCATAATCCGAGTATCCACATATCGCATCTTGTTCATCACTATCATAGGATAATACTGATTCCAGATCGTGCTTGTCGAAATCTAGGTCTGGTGCGATCTTTGAGATTGAGCTGAATAGGTACTGCTTCCTTTTCTTTGAATTGTTTAGGCAGTTTTTTGCAAAGTGGCCTTCTTTGCGACATAGGAAACACTTTGTTGTTTTCTTGAAGCTTCGTTTCTTTCTGAAAAATCGCTTGCGTGTGAATTTGTAGAAAAGCTTGTGAGATGTTTTTCTGAATCTCCGTGATTTGCTACGATCTTCACACGAACATGTTTTCTTGGATTTTGAACATTTGATGGATAGGTCTGGTCTTGCACAGATCCTGGATAGTTGCTTTGATTTATCCATGAATTCCATCCAAAACTCCTTTTGCTTGCAGAGTTTGTCCAGTGTACGGAAGACATATTGCTGTATTTGGCCAATGGAAATATCTTCCACTGTCTGGCCCTGATCTCTGATGTATAGCTTCGTTTGTTGACTGAGGTAATCATCAATCGAAGAGAGATGCACTTGCTTAAGGCTTGGATTGTTGAGACCATTAAAAGCGTAATAACGTCGCGTCTGTCGCTCAAAATGCTTAGCTAGGTCTCTTTTCTTCAATGAGCAGCATTTTGCAGTAAAGAATTCTTCTTGAAGCTGTTCTTTCAAATGTGTGGGTGTACCGATAAATTCTCTATGAATTTCTCCGAGAAGTAGCGGTATTGTCGTTTGATAGACTTGCTGCTGTCTGTATTCACCAAGTGAATTCCACCATTCTTTGAGTGCTCTCGATAGTCGGGCTGTAAACTGCTGAATCACAAGCTCTAAGGGAGACGTGATTGCTTCAGAATTCATCCATGCATGAAATTCATCGAGACAATCATTCCATTTTTCGAAAGGAATGTCATCAAACGTGAAGACCATGAATTTAGAGGCAAATGGTTTTGTTGGTATTTCTTGCTGCCTGGGAGGCCTGTACTCCATATCTTCATCGCTTGAATAGATTTCATGAATATCAGGTTCTCGTTTTGGAGCCGATGTTTCGCCTCTTTCGTCGCCTATGGCAAATTGGTTTGGGAGAGATTCTTCATCCGAAGTTGATTCGGAACTGTTAGAATTAGTCTCTGAATAATGACCGATATTTGCAAGTGGTGTTGCAATTTGAGAAGGTTGTGTATGCGGCATCTCCGTGGCTGTTTGAGCAGTAGAAGTCTGTCCAATAGTATCTAACAGACTAGCCATAGAGAATTCAATTATACCAATTTCTTTTCCTTTTCCTTTTGAATCTTCCACTGATTCATGGCTTGACGAAGAAGTAAGAGTTGGTCGTTTGGTAGGATTGACCATAAATTCGGAATCCTTCTGTCGTCTTGGTTTTGATTTTGACGCCTTTGGCTTGCTAGCTGAGGACATGCCATATCTCGACGTAAAGGCTTCGTCAGATGATAGGAATCCGGGGGCCGGTGTTCTTGGCCTTTGATTCATATAGCCAGAGAGAAATCCTGGGGAGTAGGTGCCTTGGTACGTAGGCATTCCACCAAAAGGATAAGAACTCGCAGGATTCTGATTGTAAATAATACTCTCGAGGCTTCTTTGAAGATCTTTTAGCTGGGCTTTGAGACTGGCTGTCTCTGCTTCTTTATGACGGAATTGTGCTGTATTCACCATCATGTTTTGTGCCATAGCCATCATTTCTTGATGAAGATTGTTAAGCCGGCCATGGATCTCTGTTATCGAGCTCTGAAGGCTAGTTTGCCTTTTGATGTAATTTTCCGTTAGCTGATCAACCTTGTAATTTATTGTTTTGAGAAGTTGATTTTGAGCGATGGCATTCTCAGTTTGCCAGTTGAGGACCTTTTCTCCTTGGCTTAGTTGATCTGGTCCAGAAGAGTTGATTGCTCGAGTGAGTATCTTCGGGCTATGTGCGATGTTGTCCTTGGTAAAGTCGCTTGAAGGAGGGAAGTCTTCGGTGTTGATCATCATGATTTGATTTTCATCTTTCTTTTCCGAATATTGGACTATAAAGTCGTATCGCCCGTTACCTTCACCAAGAGGACCGACGGTGGGATCTCCTTCTAGATATCTTTTGTAGAGTGGATCTTTTTTCTTTCTTCTCCTTGTGCGAATCTCGTCATCAGATTCGTACATGGCTTCTTCACATGCTGAGCAGGAACAGATATCGAAAAACTGATGTCCGTCTTCATCCTTGAAAGGATATAAAACCGATCCGTCTTGTCCAAAAGAGATTGGTTTGGGATTTTGTTCTTTCGCTGGACTATAGAATTCACGTTCGTCAATTTGGATAGCAAATTGAGTGAACAGTTGTTTGCGGAATGAGGATGATCTTGGTTTCTCGAACTTGATTTCGGTTGTTCCATCATTTCGTGAATGAAAGCTGACTTCAGAGGATTGAATCGGTGTTTGAACCGCTTGGTGCAGCTTCTCGTAGCTGGTGATCCATGATTCTGGTAATCGGCGGAGCAGCTCTTCGCGAGATATTTGACGAGGGATCTGGATGGAGTTTGGTGCTTGAGATGCTGAAGTGACTTCTAGGTAAAGTGCTTCATCAGAAGAGGGTAGTACGAGATCTAAAGCATGATCTTGTATTCGATAGACTATCTGATGATGAAGGGTTGCCACGACACTTTTTTCTTGCATAGGAGCTCCGGTGAGCTGAAGTTGGACCTTGAATGTCTTCAGAAGATTTGGATCTTGTAGCGAGACATTAAAGTTTGGAAACAGTGTAACGAATACTGTTCCGGCGTTTAATGTTGTTTGGACTGTTCCGATGCAAGCTTGTTGGTAGGATCTTAGTCTTGAATCGACTAAGGCGATTCTTGCTACAACAGGTAGACCTTTTCGAGCATGTAAGGTCAAACCGATTCGGACTACACCAAAGTGTAGGTGAGTGTACCCTTCAACATACTAGCGGTAACCTTTTTTTTGTCAAAATAAAAATTCTCCTAAACTTTAAAATTTGGATATCTCATTTTTTTTGGTGCCGAAAGTCGCATTTATGCGGCAATCCACTATAAAAAAAATGTTTTAGAATTATTCTCAACGAATAGGTTCAACAACGAGCGCATAAGGGAATAGTCACTCACTCACTTGGTCCTACAGAGTAGAGAAATGGAGTATAATTTGTAACTAGAGAAATCCTTTGAACATTTATGCTAATTTAGAAGCCACATGATCATAAGTAAAAACTTTAAAAAAATCATTAATTAAGTAAATAACACGATGAAAATAGTATTACACGTGGACCTCGTGGAACAGCGTCGGATAGTCTTTCTGAGATAACCATTTGAAGTCCACTTAAAGGCAAAGCCCAAAAGCTAATTATTAACAATACTTCTTTAAGCCCCTCATATTTTCCAATACACCAAAATCATACCCAAAACTATTTAACAGTGACTAATGGCCCAACGAGAAGCTTGGCTTCGCCGGCGATCATTGATGCCGGCGGACGTGAATCTCGTCTCTCCTTGTTACCAATATTAATCTTTTAATTGTATTTTCGATATTATTTCTCGCCTCTTTGTTTTTAGCTCGTATGTCGTCAATTCCGGGAAAGTATGATCATGTCAAGGGTTGCGCATTTTGTTGAGTTTTATTTTGAGCCACTCATTTGAATATTTGATATCTTCCTTCTAGACTAGGGAAGAACATCAGTTTCTGAGTTACGTGGCCTTCATTGGATCACACACTTCGTTATAAATTCCAAATGTTCAAACTTTTTTTTTTGTAAGTAAATAAAATGGCAGAGGATACACCAAGGTATGTCTCAATCAACCCTTGGTTCTTGATTTCACCTAATCTTAGTGATTTTTGGGTTATGATTTATCAGATTCTATATGGGGTTTTGTAGATATGCTGTAGTTACTGGAGCAAACAGAGGAATAGGGTTGGAGATATGCAGGCAATTAGTGAGCAATGGGATTAGGGTTGTTTTGACCTCTAGAGATGAGAAAAGGGGACTTGAAGCTGTTGAGACACTGAAGAAAGAGCTTGAGGTTTCTGATCAAAGCCTTGTCTTTCATCGACTTGATGTCTCTGATCTTGCTAGCATCGCATCTCTTGCTGGGTTTGTGAAAACCCAATTTGGGAAACTCGATATCTTGGTACGATTAGTGACTGTCTTTGATTAGTTTACTCTGAAAAAGGTCTTCAATTTTACAACTTTAAATCTGATTATAAAAGGCATGCAACATCTGACTAGAAAGCTAGTGTCTTTTGTGATTAATTTGCTCCTATCAGACGAGTTTAATCTAATAATTCTGAAACAATCAGGGACATAATGGAGCCTCTTAGGTTGGTCTAGCTAGCTCCTGAACTGTACCGCGCCTTTTTGTGTAATGTTGGGTGATCCTTTGATTGCTTTTACAGGTCAATAATGCAGGAATTGGTGGTATAATCACTGATGTTGATGCTCTAAGATCAGGGACAGGGAAAGTAAGAATCTTTGTGCTTAGTTTGCAATTGATCTCATGATTTATTAATATCGAAAGATCTCTGTCAAGTCGAATGCTATTTTCGACGTGGCAGGAAGGTTTCAAGTGGGAGGAAGTCATCACAGAGACTTATGAGCTGGCCGAAGAATGCATCAAAATTAACTATTATGGACCAAAGAGGATGTGCGAGGCATTTATTCCGCTTTTGCAGTTATCTGATTCTCCAAGAATCGTCAATGTATCATCCTCCATGGGTAAACTAAAGGTAAAATTCAAGCTCGATATCAAGAATGCCTGAGATCTTTGGCAGACAAACTCTGTTTTTTTCATTTGCAATTGATAAATGTTCACCAGAATTTACTAAACGAATGGGCAAAAGGAATCCTGAGCGACGCAGAGAATCTCACCGAGGAAAGAATCGACCAAGTGATTAACCAGCTTCTCAACGATTTCAAAGAAGGTACAGTTAAGACAAAAAGCTGGACAAAGTTTATGTCCGCATACGTGGTTTCGAAGGCCGGGTTGAACGGTTATACGAGGATCCTGGCGAAGAAACATCCCGAGTTTCGCGTAAACTCGGTTTGTCCTGGATTTGTTAAGACGGATATGAATTTCAATACTGGAGTCTTGTCTGTGGAAGAGGGAGCATCAAGTCCTGTGAGGTTGGCTTTGCTTCCGCATCAAGATTCTCCTTCTGGTTGTTTCTTTGATCGCAAGCAAGTGTCAGAGTTCTGAAATCTGTGTGTAGTGTGAGCATAGTATAATATGCCAAAATATCACTGATGTAACGAGAACTATCGTTTCAGTCAATAGAACCTCTCAAATAAATGATAATATCAAAACATACTGACTCTCTAGTGTTAAAGGTTAAGGTTATAGAGACGAGAGCTAGGTTAAATAGGAGTTTAGAAGATCCACATAAACAATTCTTGCATCTAAACAATACTCATAAACTTGAATAAGTACTTTACAAACATAGAATAAAATTTTGATGGGTAGTTTTTGTGTTCTTTTGACAATTTGAGATTATATTTTCACAAAGAAATTATTGTTTTTCCTCCCCGTATAGGACCTATCTTAAGACTCATCTTCTCCACCTACTTCAGGGCCTGCATCAGAAGCTTTTTCTTCTGAGGGGTTTGCTTCATTACCGTTGGGTTCGATTTTGTCTTCCACAGGTGTGCGTCGTTGGTTAGCAGCAGCTTGGAGGACGTGATTGTAATTACCTTTCTCGAGGAAGAGCTGACTGAAATGGACCTTACAGTAAAGGATGCCATTGAGAGCAGCATATGAAGAGTGTGTTAATGGACAACCACTGTGTGCACATCTAAAGCAAGTCTTGTGGTAAGATTCTCCTTCCATTGTCATCTTCTCTAGAGGATAAACAGTTTTCTTACAAGCTGCACATTTGTCTTGCGTTCCGCTGAAGAACGAAGATAACTTGCTCGGAGCCCTTGTCTAGATTTTTACAGAAAATCAGATTAAAAAAATGATGATGAACAACCAAAAAACGAGGAATGTTTGATAGATTACGTGCATATATATACCATTTCATTTGGTTTCTCGGTCTTTCCGGCTGTAATAATTAAGCGAAAGTAGCCAAGATTGTTAGCCTTTCAAAAAAGAGGTTAAAAAGAAGAAAGCAAAAAGATAAGTGTGAGAAAACAGAGGATTTTGTTAACCTGTCTGAAAATTCTTGCTGAAATTTCCAGATTCTTTGAAGAGCTGTTCGAAATGGGGCTTGCAATACAAAACTCCATCCATGGATGAGTAGTTGCTTATCTGCGAAAGAGAAGAAAGATTCATTCTTTTTGTTACCATACAAAACAGAGGAACAACGCATGAGGAAGGAGAAGAACAGAGGAAGGAGACAGATACCACGAGAGTGCCGTTGCAATGGCTGCACCTGAAGCATGACTTGTGATAAGGCATTCCTTCCAATGTCATCAAATCCATAACGTAAACCGTCTTGTCACACGCCTTGCATTTGTCTAATGTCCCTGTAAACGCCATTGCTATATCTTCTTCTTCTTCCTTTGATCTCAGATCACAAAAGAGTCGCAAGAAAAGAATCAAAGATTGTTTTTTTTTTTTATCAATCTACGAGCTCTATGCCTTTATTATATCAAAATTTAGAAAGGATTGAGGTTTTGAGGTAATTTTTGGTTCTGATGGTTGAGATTCGAATGAGGAGAACCCTTTAAAATACTTTTGCTACTATAATCTAATTCTGGGTAATTCATTTTATTTCTGACCCTTATTTTTTTTGGGTTTGCATTCTGAATTATATCGAGTAAATCAAGGGACACACGAAAATGCGCTATTTGTCTTGCACTCTTGCGGATAAAAAAAGACACACGCAAAATCCAGATTTGGTGCACAGCTTATATATAGTTAGCTTTCCGATTTTGAGATATTATTTCATCATGTACACAAATGTGAAGATCTTTATGCAAATTCGGCAAGACTTGGCTTATATGACCTGTAACCATGATTTGTTATGTAACTAGAAGAAGAAAAAAAGAAGAAGAAGAAAGGTAGACATCAGTTATCAAAACCTAGATTGAGAAACTGAAAAGCGCAATATACCAGGGAAAATTATATGGGAAAAAGGAAAAAAAAACATTGAACAATGAAAAAATCGTCGTTATTTCGAGAAAAATCCGATATACTTATAGTCTGTAAAGATTAGAGAGACATAAAAGGTGTATTTAACTTAACTATTGAGAAAAGACTCAAATTCAGAAAGAAATCAGAGTTCTAAGTTACTACTGTAAAGTATAGAAAGATCAAGGGTCATTTATGTAAATAATTGATAAAGGAGTTTTTTTTTTTTTTTCGACATTGATAAAGGAGTTAAGAGTCTGAAAGTAGAGGAAAGAAAATCCATTGACGCCCTAACAAGGACGCCGGAGAGCGTATTCGTCACTTTGTATTGCTTTCTTCTGTAAACAAAACCACACAAAATTTCCTGAGAAATCCCATTTTTTTTGCTACTCTCTCTCAGTTTCTCCGTTTGCGCTTTCTCTTCTCCGGTTTACGAATAATCAAATCGGAACTCTCGATTCGCTTTCTTCTCCGTTCTTTGGCCGACCGGTTTGTGGTTTATTTGAACATTCCGATCTTTCCCTGAGTTCCACGATCAGTTTCTTAAAACCCTAGTTTTTGAACGAACATTCTCTCTCTCTCTCTCTCTCTCTCTCTCTCTCTCTCTTTTACTTCGGATAATCGCAGACTCTTCGCTCCTAGGTTTCTAGATTACGGCGGTTTTCTTTTTCATTCTAGTGGTTTTGAGTTTTGTAAAAGGTATTCGGTAGATTTAGGTTTTGTAGAGATCGAGAGAGATGAACAACAGAGGAAGATATCCACCTGGACTTGGAACGGGTCGTGGAGCGGCGCCGAATCCCGATTATCAGTCGTATCGGCAGCAACCTCAAGCTCAGCATCACGTTCAACGCGGTCAACCGCAGAACCCTCAGCAGTTTCAGCTGCAGCAACAGCAGCAACAACAATGGTCAAGACGCGCTCAGCTTCCTGGAAACGCCAATGAGGTCCAGAAGACGTCTCAGCCCGTAGCTACCAGCGATCCTAAGTAAGTTCTCGTTTCCTCTCCCTGTGCTGTGTAGACCTTTGATACGTCTGGGAGATGAGAAAGGTTGTTTTGAATGATTTGATTTGTGTTAAGATATCGTGTAATGTGATTTGTTTTGAGGTGAAACTTATATTATCTCTTTTGTGCTAATTGTGACTCTGTATTCTCTGTTACTCTCAGTGGCCAGGATTGGAAGGCAACGTTAAGGCTCCCACCTCCCGATACTCGTTATCAGACAGCGGTATGGCTTCCTTGATTACCTTCTTCTGAGATTTTTTCTATTGGATTTATGAATCTTGAGGATTGTAGTTCATTTTCAGCATCATGTACCAAAGGCTTGATAGACTGATGGTCTTCCTTATGTTTATGTCAACATTCTGTTGATGTTAAGAAGGTCTTATTTGAACATTTGTCTTCAATATTGCCTGCAGGATGTGACAGCTACAAAAGGAAATGAATTCGAAGATTACTTTCTGAAAAGAGATCTGCTCAAGGGAATTTATGAAAAGGGTTTTGAAAAGCCATCTCCTATTCAAGAAGAGAGCATTCCAATTGCTTTAACTGGTAGTGATATTCTTGCTAGAGCCAAAAACGGCACTGGAAAGACTGGAGCCTTCTGCATTCCCGTCCTCGAGAAAATCGATCCAAAGAACAATGTTATTCAAGGTATGGTATGCTGCTTTCCTTTTTGAAATCTTCTTTGTTTGAGGCCTTTTCTCTCTACCGCTTTATCCTTGTTGAGTTACTGACTGCGTTTTTCTTTGCACCACTTTTTCTATCTTTTTATACAGCCATGATTCTAGTCCCAACACGAGAGCTGGCCCTACAGACATCACAGGTTTGCAAGGAGCTTTCTAAATATCTGAATATCCAAGTTATGGTCACCACTGGCGGTACCAGTCTGAGAGATGATATCATGCGATTACACCAACCTGTACATCTGCTGGTTGGAACTCCTGGAAGAATATTGGATCTTACAAAAAAGGGAGTGTGTGTTTTGAAAGACTGTACAATGCTTGTAATGGATGAGGTGAGCTCCTGATAGCCTTTCCTAATATCTAGATCTTAACTTTCTATCTTCGTTTTGTGATATGGCTCATAAGTATATTTTCTTCGTGACTTATTGCTTAAAACCGATGAAGGAGAAACTAAAAGGAATTTTCCTAACTTTTCCTTTGGTTTTCTCTGTTGAAGATACAGAAAAATTGACTGTATCCTACTCTAAATATATATGCGTAGTTATACTTACGAGTGTTAACAGTCATATCATTGGTCACTAACTGTAGTGAATTTGAAATTTCTTTCTTCCAAATTATATCTACCTGATGTTGATTTTGTTTTATTAGTGTCTTAAGCTTGAAAGTTTCTGACTCCTTACAAACTTTTTTACCAGGCCGACAAGCTTTTGTCTGCAGAATTCCAACCTTCTCTAGAGGAATTGATACAGTTTCTGCCACAAAATCGTCAATTTTTGATGTTTTCCGCTACATTTCCTGTAACTGTGAAGGCTTTTAAGGATCGACATCTCCGGAAGCCCTACGTTATCAATCTCATGGATCAACTCACGCTTATGGGTATCACGCAGTTTTACGCTTTTGTCGAAGAGAGACAGAAGGTTCACTGCCTCAACACACTTTTCTCTAAGGTCAGATGTCTCAAATAATCTTGTAACTACGTAATCATATGCCTACCCGATTTGGTTGATCTAAACGAGTTATCTTTATTAATCACAGCTGCAAATCAACCAATCGATAATCTTTTGCAACTCTGTCAATCGCGTGGAACTGTTGGCTAAGAAAATTACAGAACTTGGTTATTCATGCTTCTACATTCATGCGAAGATGGTTCAAGATCATAGGAACAGAGTGTTCCATGAGTTCCGCAATGGTGCTTGCAGAAATCTCGTTTGCACTGGTATGCTTTGTGTTCTTTGAGCATGTACTTTGACCAATGATCATGTGTAGATGATGATGATGATGTTGTCTTGTTGAAAAATGACGTGCAGATCTGTTCACTCGTGGAATTGACATTCAAGCTGTGAATGTAGTGATTAACTTTGATTTTCCTAGGACTTCCGAATCATACCTACACAGGGTAGGTCGAAACAAAACCTCTTCTTGATCTAGGTTCTCTAAGTACAACCTCGTTTTTTCTTAATTCATGCTGTGAAATGTTCAGGTGGGTCGATCAGGACGGTTTGGACACCTTGGGTTGGCTGTGAATTTGGTAACATATGAGGACCGTTTCAAAATGTATGCCACTCCTTTACACTATTCTTACCGGGTTTTTCATTTTTGTTTTGTTTTAGCTTTCTCAGTCATTCATCATGTTTTGAAAACAGGTATCAGACTGAGCAAGAACTTGGCACTGAAATCAAACCAATTCCTTCTCTTATCGATCAAGCAATCTACTGCCAGTAAACTTGTAACCGCACAAGAAATGTTTCCACCCGACGAGACACAGTGTCGATGAAAATGGTGAGGCAAATCTTTCTCTTAGCTTTTTGTCAAAACAACATTGATTGCATCTTAACAGCAATGTGCCCTACTGTTCAGGTGTTTCTCAAGCTAGGAGGAGATGAGGGAACTGATATTTGGCGGTTCATGTATAGACTCGTTGCAGAGACGAACCAGAGTGGTTTGGTTCGGTTTCGTTTCTAATCTCTCTCTAGACTTTATTTCGTGGTTCCATGAAACCTTTTACGTTGCACTTATCTTTGACCGGTACTTCGTAATAAACCGACTAATAATGAAGATACAACAGATGACTCTCCTCCTTTTATTTTTTCGTTGGGTTTTATTTCAATGACTATGGGTTTTTAGCCCATTTAGGGATCTCCGTATCATTAAAGTTGCACTTCTTGATTTTTTTTCTTTTACAAAGAGTTATTTATATTTTAGAAAAGACATTCATCCATTCACACCTACATTATATTAATTTAGCTTGATTGGATAATTAAATCTGGAATCACATTTAAGTTAGCCGAATCTTTCTAGCTTGATTGGATAATTTATCGGGAATCACTTTAAATCAAATTAATTTTTTTATCATACAATGATTTACTTATGAATTTTTTATCATACAATGATTTCCACTGTTATTCGGTAATCTTTTACTCTTCTTTTCTTTAGTGTTACTGTTATCCATTGAGAATCTAGTTTTAAAGATTTTTGTAGACTTGGTTATTTAAAATATTCAGATTTCTGTGGAGATCTCTCATTATTTGATGAATAGATATGTCGCATTTAATTCTTACATGGAAATAACATATATATTTAAAACAAAATTTATTAAAAGAAATTGATAAATTACGGCTTTGACTTGTAGCTGACCACATTTATTGATATTAAATGGACCCCACCGTATTGTCTGCAAGGTCATGACCGAACAGTATCTTCTCTTTCTTTGACTCTTTGTGATCCCTAAGCCTATACACATGACGTGTCGGCTTTTTACTGGCGTATTTTTTGACTCTTGTAAAATTTTTGTAAGAAAACTACAAGTAATAGTAAAATTCGAGTAAAAAGCTCAGCACAGAAAACTTCGACAAAAATGACGCACAGAATAGAAAAGAAAATATATGTATAAGTGGTCATTGGTCATTTATTATTTCATAATGAACATTATTTAATATTACATTAAAACGTGTTTGTCGCATCAAACTTCTTTTCCTTCGGCTACAAGAAGTCACTGTCGTCTCCATTACTTCCACTTCTGCTCCTTTCTTTATTAACTTCTTCAGTTTTTTTTTCTAAGATAATTAAAAATAAATGTTTCTGTCTGTTTTTTTATTTCCCGGCTAAAGAAGGATGTCACGTATTATCCGCCTTCAATGCTCTTTTATTTCCTGTTTCTTGCAATTTGAAAACCTGAGAACCCTAGCCCACTTATTTACTTTGCCTTAGCTGTTTACGACAACCAAAAATGAGGGCAATATCAATTCCATTTACACCTTCTAAATTGAATTAAAACCTCTTTTTACAAAAAACATTATTTATTTTTCTTTCGCCATTGCAATGAATATTATCTCAAAGCTCTCACATATGATTTCCATAATCTCGTCGTAAACCCTTTTTATGTGCATCTATAAGAGAAAAAAATTTTATTTGCAATCATGATTTCTTTTGTTTTTGAACGACCTGTTGTTGCTGTCACTAACATTTAATATCATATCATAAATGTCGTACGAATTTTGTGTGTAATAAATGCCCAGGGCCGGCTCGAAGCTCGCTGATCGTCCTTTTTCGTTTCTCTATTCCACACACAATCGTATTTATTTCAGTTTTCTTGTTGCTCTTTCTTCTGTGTATATACAGTTTTATATTATATATAAATGTGTATATATAGAATTATAGATCTCTTAATTCATTGCCTCCTTCCTTTGGCTTTTTATTTCATCTTTACGACATTAAAACTAGACCAGACCAAAACATTAAATAATCTTACCCTTTTCTCAAAAATTCTCTCTTTTGATCCTATCTTCTCCTTTTTTTCACTTTGAGGTTTGTCTGTCTCTTCTATGATGAGTCTAAAAGTCTTACTATCCGTTCATTAGTTTTCCCTCTCTGTGTTTCTTCTTCTTTAGCCTGAAGAATTTAAACAAGGGTTTTCCGTTTTTTGTTAGCGTGGTGAGCAAAATGGGAAGAACCCCTTGCTGTGACAAGAAAGGCCTGAAGAAAGGTCCATGGACTCCTGAAGAAGATGAGATTTTGGTTGAATATATAAAGAAAAACGGCCATGGAAGCTGGAGAACACTTCCAAAGAACGCTGGTAAAACTCAGATTCCTTCCTCTTTCGACTCTTGTTTGATTCTTGTGAGAGATTTTAAACAAAAGTTTCCATCCTTTTACGTCAACGTCCTAACTACTAGAGTCCTTGAGAGTTGTAATGGACAAAAAAGTTTTCATCTTTATAAGATTCTTTTGGCTTTGGAAAAAAAAAACAGGTTTACTTCGCTGTGGAAAAAGTTGTAGACTAAGATGGACAAATTATCTAAGACCAGACATAAAGCGAGGTCCTTTCACTCCTGAGGAAGAGAAACTCGTTGTCCAACTTCACGCCATTCTAGGCAACAGGTCTTTTGATTGCTTTTACAATGTCTACGTTCCGTTATCAAGTTCTGTATTTTGTTGTTTGAATGCTCTGTTTTTGGGTCAGGTGGGCTGCTATTGCTGCTCAGCTTCCAGGGAGAACAGACAACGAGATCAAGAACTTGTGGAACACTCACTTGAAGAAACGCCTTTTAAGTATGGGTCTTGATCCCAAAACCCATGAGCCATTACCTTCTCATGGGTTTGCCAAACAAGCTCCAGCTTCACCAACAACTCGCCACATGGCTCAATGGGAAAGTGCTAGGCTTGAAGCTGAAGCAAGGCTTTCTAGAGAGTCAATGCTCTTTACTCCTTCTGGTGGAGGAGGAGCAAAAGCTGAATGTGATCACTTCTTACGCATTTGGAACTCTGAGATTGGTGAATCTTTCAGAAACCTTGCTCCATTTGATGACTCGACTACTAGTCAAAGCCCTTGTTCTCGGACAACATCTTCCTTATCTGCACTTCTAAAGAGCTCAGAACATTCTTGTAGTGGTAAAGAGATTGTTATGGAGTTTCATGGTTCTGACTCTTCTCCATGTTCGAATAATCTGGAAGATAATTCATCAGACTCTGCTCTTCAACTTCTGCTTGATTTCCCAATAAGTGATGATGATATGAGCTTCTTGGAAGAGAACATTGGCAGCTACACAGAGTCTCATGTTGGTGTTGTGTCCATGGTTTCTAAATTCTGATCTTATGGACAACGTATTCAAGAAAAATATTCAAACTTTGGGTTTAATTTTGGTCATGTATTCTGGTTTGAAGTGATCAGAAGTAGAAATAGTATCTATGTAAATCAGCATTAGTTAGTTTAAGAGCTTGAAAAAATCCCTCTTGACTCTTCTTAATAGTTATGAATCCTCTCTTTATGATTTGATGATGCTTCAGAAGAACAATGAACAAATTTTTAACTCGGATGTTTTTTTCGCAATCAGTTTTCAAACAAGACTACAAGCCATTTAGGGAAAAGAGAGACTGTTTAAACTTTACAGCTGAAAACTATTGGAAGCGTCCACAAGTTGCCATTGAGACAATCCCAGTAGCTCTGCATTTAGATGCTGTTATTTTTATGATTTGACAATGCTTTAGAAAATTGCGTAAAGTAAAACAAATGGACAAATATTTCACTCTGTTGTTTTTACACACAAGATCAGTACACAAACAAGATTACAAATCATCGAAGACATAAGAGAGATTGTTTTACACTTTACAGTTGAAAACTCTTGAAATTCGATTTGCAAATTCAAGATTAGAAACATCCACAAGTAGCCTTTGGGACAATTCCAGTGGCTCTGTATTTAGCAGCCGTTTCTTCTGCTTTAAGAATGTCTTCTCCACGCTTCGCTTCAATCATTGCTCTCCTCTCTTCGGCTTCCTTGTGAATCGCCGCAACCTTATTCTTCATCTTCTCTGCATACTCTGCTTTCTTCTTCTCTAGTTGCTCCTGCATACCAAACACGTTTCAGAACACATTTTCAATCCTCGATCACATTTAAACAGTTTCGCATCTCTATCTTGCTTAGGTTTGTTATACCTCGATTTTCTTGAGTTGAGCTTCGACTGCTGCCTTCTTGCTGTTTTCCCAAGCAAGAACATCAGAGATCTTTTTCTCAGCTCTGTTCCATGTCAATTGTTAGCAAAATCAGACAGAGAACCTAAAAAACCCAAAACCAGTTATAAACATCACTTACTTGTTCTCTGCTTTGCTCTTTTCGCTATCTTCCCATGCTTTGACAAAAGACATTTTCTTCTCCTTTGACAAATCAGCTAGCTTAACATCTAATACCAAACAAATGGAGCTCAGTAATTTCCATAAACATTACAAACAGAAAGTACTAAGCATAGTTTTGTTTTAAGCTCACCTCGATCGAGCGAACCAGACGAAGATTTCTTCGTTTCAGGCTCGACAGGTTCTGTAAGAAACTCATTCGATTAGCATAAACAGCGAAAATCCCAATACTTAGACAAATAGGGGATCACAAGCAGAACATACAGAGCATATATATATATTTCAGATTTCTTGATCGTGTAATAAAGCTACGATTTTTCGGTTATTAATGGCATATACATAGCACAGATAACTGTATGACAACAAAACAAAATCACCCATTTCATGAAAATTCCTTCCATATTTCTAGAAAGGCGTTTCATTACATTAATTGCCATGAGCCCATAATAAATCTCGAGATTTTAATCGAAACCAATTCGAATTATATCGTCAAATTTTACGTTTTGAACGTTTTTATTCTCTGGGGAAACTCAATCCCAATAACCCTCTGCAATTTAGCTCTTAAACCAATCAAACATAATTAAAAACCATAGAACAAAGTTAGCCCCAAAACCCACAATTTCTGATCAAATCAGAAGGTTATCAGAGAAAACGTAAAGAGAGATAGAACGTACTCTCGACAACAGCAAGGGCTTTGGAGTCATCAGAATTCTGCTCCGGAGGTGGGTTTTGAATTTTCTCCTCCGTAACGTCTTTTGCGATCTCCGTCGGAACAATAGCTGAACCCGGGGCCGGAGCCGGCGCCGGAGCCGGAGATTCTGTGTCTGGCGTTATCTTCTGTTCCTCCACCATTGTCTCTCAGCCGAAGAAACAACAGACGGGTAACAGAGAGCTAAAAAAAAAAAGACAAATTAATCGAGATATTTCCTAGAATAGAAAGAAGTTTATACTTTATGATACCGTGGAGCGTATTAACCGCGTTTTTCGTTTAAAATTCTCATTTTATTATCCGCTGATCATTAAAAGTCATCAGATCTTACGGCTGTAAAGCCAATTATCCGTTGTGGTTCACGCGAACTGCGATGCAGGTGACCGTAAAAGTAAACTTGCCCAATGCCGACAGACAGGTAAAACTGTTAAACAATGCCACGTAATAAACAAATGTTATTATTCATTCTTTTGAATAAAAAAAAATACAGACTGTTTTGTGAATAATTAATATTTTTAACAAATAATATATTCTGGACGAAAGCGTGACGTGGTGGAAGGACACGCTGGAGACAGATAGATACAAAGGGGATGTCTTTCTTAGTTGTCGTGACCCCACGCATTATATTGGCGCGTGGACTTTATCCTTTTCTTTTGAGCTCGATTGAAAGAGCGCGTGTGTACCAAATAGATGGGCTTTTTATCTGTTGGGCCGATTTCAACATTCTTAAGAGTATTCGTCTTTACTCTCTTGGATAATAATAATAGATCATACAGCTACTTGACAAGATTTGTTAACCAACAAACAACGGAGGCAGATACGTCAGATAAATAAACAAAGACAGATAAATAACCATATATAAATGATCCCTAAAACTGAAATTTGATACAATGATGACCAAAGATGTCTTGAAAGTTTAGTTGACAGAATACAAACATCAACAAAGAAAATAGATAGATAGAGACAAAACTTGTTTTTTACTTAGCTAAGCTGGGCAACAGATCTGCCTTTTTAATTCAATAACTAATTGGAGAGGTCAAAGCATGCACTCCGTCAGATTTCGCCAACGATGACCATCCTTGTGCTTCTTTGATGCCTAAAAACCATTAAAAATGTAGTTGTTTAACCACTCTCCAAGCAAATTCAATAATAAATCGGTTTTATAGTGTACATAATCATAGAAGAAACCAGAAGAAAGTGGATATCAAGCCATTATATGTCTTGTAATTACCTTTTGAGCTCCTCTAAGAACTAGATTGTATTGGAACAAAGCTTGGAACATAACTGAGGAGAATTGGGAGAGGAGCTCTCTGTGTAGGTTTTGCACCTTGATGATCCACTTCAATGTATTTATCCTCTCCCACAATGTGAATGATATTCTCGGAGACCCTAGGTCTATTACAAGACAACACAACTTTCTTCTCCTGGTCGACCAAGAAACTCATCTTATTCCTAAACCGACATTGATAACGGAGATCCGTTCCAGACAATGTTAGGAACTTGGTCCAAGACAAGTACTTGCTCCATGACAAGTCTTCGGTGCTCTCAGCCCTTGTTGCGATCCATAGATCCGTTTCCAACGCGTCATCACCACGTCTAGACAAAAGACAAAGTCGTTGCTCATCTCTAGTCGCTGATAAAGCCACATGAGCATAAAGACGAGGATCACCAGACGGAAGAGAGAGATCTCGGAACCATTCTGTTGAAAAGTCATAACTATGCAAGACAGCACTTTCCCCGTTTATACTAAGTGCAAACCAGTAAGCAAGCCCCTTCACATGTATGCCACGACCCCGACACGGTGGATTTGCCCAGCCAAAACCATAAGACGGCCACGAGCCAGAGGAGAAATCATAGACTTCGAAATCCGTTTTAAAAAATCCCATCCTATTATAACCAAATGATTGATCCAACCTCAAGACTCTGTAACGAGAGCGTTCGTAATCGTAACCTAGAGCATAGAAATGGCTTGAAGCAAGTTCTGGGTTTGATCCATTTGGTTTCACCTGAACAAGGGTTGCAAGCAACGAGTCTATTGTCCTCGGTGGAGCATAGCAATAAGCTATCACAGTGAAACACATCGCGTATGGACTTGTTCAGAAGAATCAAAGATAGGGTCTTTGAGGCTGAATCGACCTGTTACCTTTGTAGTTGGAGCAACATTGTCGTGGATTCCACGGAGATCAACGCTCAGTGAGTAAACCCTACCATCAATAAGCAAAATTTCCAGAGGCTGACTCGGTCCATTAGCAGAATGCTTCTTCAAAAAGCTCGCGTCTTTGATCAGAGCGTTCCATCCTTTGGATGTCAATCGGAATCGCGCCAGAGATGCTGCCGGAACCCTAGACAGTATCTCCACCACCAACTCCTCCGGGATATCTTTCTTCATCGCAGACTTGAGCTTTCAGAGAAGTTAGGGTTTTACGAGTCGGAGACGAGGAGGTTTAACATCTCTGATCTCACATGCTTCTATTGTGGGCTTCGTCTTGGGCTTGTGGGGCCTATTACTGGACAAATGGCCTCCGTTTTTCTCCCCAAATGTTTACATTTGTTCTAACTTTTTGAATCTGTGAACATGAATGAGATCGAGGGAACTTATAGATACAATGGCTTTTTATAAACTTCTTGTCCTAACTTTTTTGGTCCTTTCCAATTTTTTTCTTCCTCAACCCATCTAGTTCAATAATTGGTATATTTTTTCGCCGTTCGTCTAGTAAAGTAAGTAAGTAACCTTATCAAACATTATAAATTAATTTTTATTTCGAGTGAAGAATGAAAGAAGCTCTAGGGAAAGGCCTAGGCAGAGTTTTAGCTGTACATCTATCGTATACCTCCTTATACTTCTTTGTCTTTAATGATTTAGAATCGAGTATTTTTTCAGTGGTAAGTACTTTTATATAAGAGTTCAAGTAGTTACTTTTACATAATTCAAAACAGGATAATCAAAGACTTTTAACAAAAATACATTAATTTAATGGCCTTATAGTGGACAAATGAAATTAGGTGCCGGAATGTGCCGAATTCTTAAGTAATGTGCCTATGAGTCCGACACTTAATGAGGTTATATATAGGGCTTATATATATATACGCTACTAAAATTGCGATTGGAGACGTTCACTCGTAGTTGTAGCTAAATAGAATATTGACTTCTAATAACGAACCACGTTAATCTATAGCTCATAGAATATGTTTTCTTAGAGAAGGGCTGAAGGGCATATATCTGTTAGGAGATGAGTTTTACATTAGTTTTACTTATAATCTCCAATTGTAGAATTTAAACTACGGTTCTTAAAAAATCCAAAGACACATATTTGTTATAGCTAGACAATGCATGGAAGCCTCTAGAGTGGGAGTCTAGTCATTATATAAAAACAATAGATTAGAGTTTTATTAATTGGGTAACCTAAAATATTGTAGAGTTGAAGAAACGTTCGTTAACCAACCAAACCCCGAATTAAATAAAAAATCAAAAGCCTCGACTATAATATTTATCTCCTTAGTCTCTTGTCTCGTTGGTCTTTTCCCGAATCTCCATTTGATATACTCTCTTTATTTAGTTCTCTGTTATACAAAGATTGATCAACAGATTCGTGCATCAACAGAAAGAAAAAGGCATGAAGATGAATAGCAACGATGAACAACATAGAACGGTGTCGTTTTATCGAAAAAACATCGTGAAAGCTACTGTTTTCGTCGTAGTTTCTCTGTTCATATCAGCTGCTCTCTTGAATATTAAGGGCTATCTCGATTTTGTGAGTTTTTAAATCAAAATGTGTATAATTTAATATTTTTTTCAGTACAAGAATAGGTAGTTAAAGTTACCACTTTTTTTTTTTTTGGGTTTTCTTCCATATAACCCAAATAACCAAATTTGAATTCGAGTTTTAACTCTTTGTCCTTTGTTTTTGTTTTTGTTTTTTTTTCAGAATGCTTTTGCAGGTTTCAAACTGATGATGACACAGAAAAAAGAACCAAAATTCCCAGACCGATGCGACGTCGTAGAGAAACAATCACATCAAGTTCCTCTCGCTCAGAATCGGGCATCGAGAGTAAATCCCAGCCGTTTAAAACCATCCACGTGTCCTTCTTACTTTCGTTGGATTCACGAGGATCTACGGCCGTGGAAAGAAACGGGGATAACCAGAGATATGATTGAGAAAGCAAGCAGGACGGCGCATTTTAGACTGGTGATCCACAACGGCAAGGCGTACGTTAAGAGATACAGAAAATCGATTCAAACCAGAGATGATTTTACTCTGTGGGGCATCGTACAGCTGTTACGGTGGTACCCCGGGAGATTACCGGATCTGGAGCTAATGTTCGACGCAGACGATCGTCCCGTCGTCCGATCTGATGACTTTAGAGGTCAAAACAAAAAAGTAGCACCTCCACTTTTCCGTTACTGCTCCGATGATGCCAGCTTGGATATCGTCTTCCCTGATTGGTCCTTCTGGGGCTGGTAAGCTGCAACCTCCTTACTAGATAATGGGCTTATTAGTAGGCCTTTTTTGTTTAATATGAGCTTTTAAATGGGCCAGGGCTGAAGTGAATATAAAGCCATGGGGTAAATCGCTGGAGGCAATAAAACAAGGGAATAATATGACGCAATGGAAGGACCGCGTGGCGTACGCTTATTGGAGAGGCAACCCATATGTGGACCCCGCAAGAGGAGATCTTCTCAAGTGTAATGTTTCTGAACATCAAGGCTGGAATACTCGCCTTTATATTCAGGTTTCCCAAATTTCACTTTCCTTTTTTGGAACATCTCCCAAATTTCACTTTCCAAAAAAATACACATGTGAGTAGTACTACAGATTTGTGATCATTGATTACCTGATTTTGAAAAATGGTTGCAAAGGATTGGGATAACGAAACAAAAGAAGGATTCAAGAACTCAAATCTAGAGAACCAATGCACCCACAGGTAAAAAAAATAAAATTATATAGTTAAATTCAAGTGATTTTTTATTTTAGTTTATGTAAATATTCGATTTATGGGTACGTAACAATTAAAACAGATACAAGATATACATAGAAGGATGGGCATGGTCGGTTAGTGAGAAATATATAATGGCGTGCGATTCGATGACATTATACGTAAAACCAAGATTCTACGATTTCTACATAAGAGGAATGATGCCATTGCAACACTATTGGCCCATCAGAGACGACTCCAAGTGTACGTCTCTCAAATTCGCCGTACATTGGGGCAATACCCACGTGGACAAGGTCATCTAAACTAAAGATTAATATATCTCATCACATTTGACCTCGAACTTTGTTTTGTATTAGAGTTTATATAACCTTGATTAATTTTTGTTGTACATGTAGGCGCGTGAGATCGGAGAGGTAGGAAGTAGATTTATAAGAGAGGAGGTGAACATGAAGTATGTGTATGACTACATGTTTCATTTGCTCAGTGAGTATGCGAAGCTCTTGAAATTTAAGCCGGAGATTCCTTTGAATGCTGAGGAGATCACGCCGGATAGTATGGGATGTCCCGCGACTGGACGGTGGAGAGATTTCATGGCGGAGTCTATGGTAATGTCTCCAAGTGAAGAGTTTCCATGTGAGATGCTTCCTCCTTATGACCTTCTAGCTTTAAAAGAGGTCCTTGAGCGCAAAGCTAATTTAACACGTCAAGTTGAGTTGTGGGAAGACCAATACTTTCATGATTTGACCAACAAACCTTAGTTTTTTTTTTTTTTTTTTTTTTGTCAATAGTCCAGAGAAAAATATTAGAGCTATAATTTGTAATTGTTGCTATAACCTTACGTCGCAAGTTTGTAGATCACAAGAAGAAAAATTCTACCATGCGTATTGCGTAAGTAGTGTATAAAGTCTTTCAGATAACGAGGGGTTGACAATCTTAATTAAGCTTTATAATACGGATTCCCTACCTTAATCACCAAATTAAACACGGCCGGTGACAATAATTACTGTACTTTTTTGCATAGGAATTTTTAAATTTGCTTTCAATAATCGTAAATCTAATAACTCGTAGTATCAATGAGTAAAAGTCTGATATAGAAAGACGATTTTATAGAAAAATGCTACGTTGTTTTCAAGAGAATATATAACGTTCGAAAATAGGAATTACCGAATTAATGCTCACTAAAAAAAAAAAAAATTAATGCTCACTAACTTAATTAGGTGAGACGCAACGTAGAGGCAGGCTAGAAGAGTTTGACTTACTAGACATCGCTTTGATTTTCCTTGAAGAATCTTATAACATATGCTTAAACTTATTGTGTGTATATCGAACTTATAGAATTATAAACCAAACCCCAAAACCATTAATTAATTTATTTTCAACTTCATAAGAGACTCCTCAGAAGTGAGCTCTGGTTAACAAGACCCTAGACTTCTTTGTTCTTCTCTAGCTCTCCCTTTCTCTCTCTAAATCTTGTGTTTTGTCCGATGGGGGAGAGCATACACGTGGCTCGATCCAAAGGAGATCAACATCAGAAACAACAGAACCCAGTTGTGAGTTTATGCTCTAATCTAGCAAAGACATGGGTCACCACCACTATCTTCCTCTTCATCTTCTTCATCATCGTCCTTGGTGCTTCACTTTGCTGGTTGAATATGGTATACATTTTTGCAACTCTTTGTTGGATGAATATGGTATATACATATAACATAATTCATTTTCATAAAATGTTAAAAACTGCCTTTGAGAGAAATTAATGTTAAGATAAGTGACTATGTCAGATCTGAAAGTAGTGAATTGCAAATACAATTAGAAAGGAAAAAGAAGAAGATATATATATATATATATATGAATGAGTGAAAAAGATATTACGGTTAATTAGTCCAGAAAAAAATTGAGCAAATAGAAACACACAACCTAAACAAGAGTTAGTTAATTCTTAGTGAACTGTTTCTTCTTACCATATCTATTTTGCTGTTAGTGAACTGTTTAAGGTAGAATTTACAGCAATGGTTTTCCTATGGATCTTAATATTTTCATTATTTTGTTATGCTTTTGTTATATAGTTTGTATTAGGTGGGAGTAGAATCCAAGTGTCACCAATATTCACAACAAAATTCAAGAACACAACTATCCCCAAGATCGCCATCAATATCCCATTAAACTGTACACTCCTCAACAACAACATGACACAAACATGTCCTTTAAACTATCCAACCAAGTTGGAACCAGAAATCTCTTCCTCGGAGACTTGTCCTGACTACTTCAGGTGGATCCAACAAGACCTAAAGATATGGCAAGAGACAGGGATCACAAGAGAAACACTAGAGAGAGCAAAACCTAATGCTCATTTCAGGCTAGTGATAAAGTCAGGGAGATTGTATGTTCATCAATACGATAAAGCATTTCAGACAAGAGATGTGTTCACAATTTGGGGAATACTCCAGCTTCTAAGAATGTATCCTGGTCAAGTCCCTGATCTTGAGCTTCTTTTCCTCTGCCATGATAAACCCGGCATCTGGAAAAGAGACTTTAGACAAGACAACAATGCCACGTGGCCTCCTCCACCGCTGTTCCATTACTGTGGTCACCGTGATGCATACGACATCGTCTTTCCTGATTGGAGCTTTTGGGGCTGGTACGTAAGTGTTTTATCAGAACCAGACCGAATATTTTTGGAACCAGGTCTAAACAATTTGAGAATTTTTACTAATATTTTTTAATATTCTATATTAAGTAAAAATTTTGGAAAAGAAAAACAATGAAGTAATGGCAACAACAAAAGTCAAAACAATTTTTTTTTTAATACTAATCATAATTACATATTGGTAGGCCAAAATGTATAAAATGAAAGTAAAGGTTAGTATTGTTATTGTAGGCCGGAGGTGAACATAAAGGAGTGGAACAAGTTGTCGGAGGCGATAAAAGAAGGGAACAAAAAGGTGAAATGGGAAGATAGGGTTCCGTACGCTTATTGGAAAGGAAATCCGATGGTTTCTATTTCAAGGAGAAACTTCATGAAATGTAACTTTTCGGACAAGTATGATCCCATGGTTCGTCTGTATGTCCAGGTATATATATATATAAATCTTTACTGATCATCGAGTTTGGAATTTTTTATTCAAACAAACGTGTTGTCGTCGTCCATGCATTGCCTGATCGTTCGAGTACTATTTCAGGACTGGAGAAGAGAGGTTAGGGCAGGGTTCAGAGGATCAAACCTAGAAGATCAATGCACTCACAGGTGTGCAAAAAATACTGAATTTTTTTTTACTTTTGACTGATCTTAGATTACATAATAATACTCTTTGAGATTTGGAATTTGTCAATTAAGGTACAAAATATATATAGAAGGGAATGCATGGTCGGTGAGTGAGAAATACATATTAGCATGTGATAGCATGACTCTACTGATTAAACCAGAGTTTTATGATTTCTTCGTAAGAAGTATGATTCCAATGGAGCATTACTGGCCCATTAGGCCTCACCATTGTGGTGACCTCAAATTTGCTGTTGAATGGGGTAACAAAAACACCGACAAGGTAAACTAAACAAAGTATATATAGCATTCAAAATCCAATTTGCATCTAACAGTTCCGTATATTGAATTCTCTTTTTTTCCACTGATGATTTCATCATCTGTATCTTTATATATAGGCACAAGTCATAGGGAGACAAGGAAGTGAGTATATGATGAAGAATCTAGAGATGAAGTATGTGTATGATTACATGTTGTATGTGTTGCAAGGCTATGGGAAACTGATGAAGTTGGATGTGACTGTGCCTGAAAATGCGACTGAAGTGTGTTCAGAGACGATGGCTTGTCCCATCACTGACGGTGGACTGATCAGACAGTGCATGGACGACTCGTTGGTTATGTCTCCGAGCGTCAAGCCTGCTTGTGATTTGCCGCAGCCTTATGGAGATGATGAGCTCAAAAGTTTCCTTGAGAAACAAGAACGTGGGGAGAGAGAGGTTGAGACATTGACCGATGAGTACTGGGAGGTCGAAAACAAGAATTCTTCATTGTAGAAAGTAAGTATAACTTAATTATTAGGAGTTATATATAACTTAATTCAGTTTTAACAATTTTCGAACTTCAAAGTTAAAGAAACACTGAATAAAGGCCCCTGAGAGAAAGTAAATTCATATTACATCATCCCCACTCCCAATCAGAATTGTTGGCAACTAATGTCTTTATTTAATACCAAAATTAATGATTGGCGACACGATTAATAACAGATAAGCGCGTTGTATAACCTTAATTAAACACGGTCAACGTTTATGTACACCACACATTTTCCTCCGAAAAAACATTTGCCAAGTTGCCTTGTAAGACAAGTCTCCACGATCTCACAAAGTGTAGAAGAAAGTTTCAAAACCTCTGACTCTGTGTTTCCTGATGAGAAAAACTAATCGATTTCTTTTGAGTAAAATCAAATGAGTAATCTAAAACTTGGCGTTGAAGTCATAAGCGCGAGGCTCAAACCTAGAGAGGATAGTACTCACGGGGATGGCTATGGCGGTGTGAACGCCTTCGTGGAGCTACGATTCGACGAGGAGAAAGTCAAAACCTCGAATAAGTATGACGATTCGAGTCCAGTTTGGAACGAGAAGTTCTTCTTCAACATATCTGATACAGAGAATTTATCGAATCTGGTCCTTGAGGCGTACGTTTACAATAAAACCAGCAACATAACGAAATCGTGTCTAGGTAAGATTCGAATCTTCGGAACTGCATTTGTGCCCTACTCTGAAGCTGTCGGATTGAATTACCCTCTTGAGAAAGAGAAATGGAGCGTCTTCTCTTTCGCAGCCGCCATTACAGGTGAGCTCGCTCTGAAGGTGTTTGTAACCGATAACCCCTCTCACAAGGTATCTGATGGGATCCTGACAAAGAAGATTACTTCTGACACACGGCAAAAACTCCACAACATCCACACAACGAAGAAGAGTAAACCTAGCCTACGAAGAAACCAGCAGCCAACTCAACCGCAACCGCAACCGCTTCAACCGAACTTGCCTCAGCCGCAACCGCCTCAACCGCAAATACCTCAGCCCCCGCCGGTTATGGAAGCTCCTCGATTTCAAGCGGGAAGGTTTGGTCCGAATTCACCTGATTATTCAATCAAAGAGACGAATCCGATTCTCGGAGGAGGCAAACGAGCGAGAACCAGCACCGCTCATGATCTCGTCGAGCCAATGGAATTTCTCTTCGTAAAAATCGTGAAAGCTCGTGATCTTCCAAACATGGACCCAACCGGAAGTCTAGACCCGTACGTCCACGTCAAAGTCGGAAACTTTACGGCTAAAACGAAACATTTCGAGAAGAATAAAAACCCGATTTGGAACGAAGTCTTCGCTTTCTCCAAATCCGATCAACAATCAAACTTTCTCGAAGTTATCGTGATGGACAAAGATATGATCAAAGACGATTGCGTCGGTTTAATCCGGTTCGATCTCAATGAGATACCGACACGTGTCGCGCCCGACAGTCCTTTAGCTCCAGAATGGTACAGAGTCAACGTCGAGAAAGGAGGCGAGATTATGTTGTCTGTTTGGTTCGGTACTCAAGCCGACGAAGCGTTCTCAGACGCGACATACTCAGACGCTTTAAACGCTGTTAACAAATCGAGTGTGCGTTCCAAAATCTATCATTCTCCGAGACTATGGTACCTCCGTGTTAACGTCATCGAGGCACAAGACTTGGTTATTGTACCAGACCGGACTCGGTTTCCGAATCCATATGTCAAAATCCAGTTAAGTAACCAAATGGTTCGAACCAAACCGAGCCAATCGCTGAATCCGAGATGGAACGAAGAGTTTACGCTTGTCGCAGCTGAACCGTTTGAAGATCTGGTAATCTCGATCGAAGACCGGGTCGCGGTTAACCGAGAGGAAACTCTGGGAACGGTTAAGATACCGATCGATACAATCGATAGACGGGTTGATGATAACCGAACAGTGCCTAACCGTTGGTTTAGTCTTGCGTTTGAGAACCAGAGGAGAGTCAGATTCGCGACGACGAGGCTTCTTCTGAATGTTTGTTTAGAAGGAGGCTATCACGTTCTTGATGAATCTACTTACTACAGCAGCGATTTCAGACCGTCGATGAAAGAGCTGTGGAATCGTCAGCAACCGTCGATTGGTGTTCTTGAATTAGGGATTTTAGGAGTTGAAGGGTTGAATCTGAGCCAAGATGGTAAGAAAGAGACCATGGATGCTTACTGTGTGGCTAAGTATGGAACCAAATGGGTCAGGACTCGGACCGTTACGAACTGTTTAAACCCACGGTTCAACGAGCAGTACACATGGGAGGTTTATGAGCCAGCGACTGTGATCACAATCGGCGTTTTTGATAACAATCAGATCAATGGTGTTAACGGTGAGAACAGAGACGGCAAGATTGGGAAAGTCAGAGTTAGAATCTCGACTCTAGAATCCGGAAGAATCTACACTAATTCGTATCCTCTTCTCGTTCTAAGACCTTCAGGTGTAAAGAAAATGGGTGAGTTACATTTGGCGATTCGGTTTTCTTGCACGTCCATGTTTCAGATGTTGGTTCAGTACTGGAAACCGCTTTTACCGAAAATGCATTACGCGAGACCGTTGAAAGTCGTGCAGCAGGAGATTCTCCGGCAACACGCGGTTAACTTAGTGGCGGTTCGGTTAAGCAGAGCCGAGCCGCCGCTGAGGAAAGAAGTGATAGAATACATTTCGGATTCATCATCGCATTTCTGGAGCATGAGGAAAAGCCGAGCGAATCTCTTCAGGTTGAGATCGGTTTTCTCCGGTTTACTTGGTACTGGAGAATGGTTTCAAGATATCTGTAGGTGGAAGAAACCGGTAGCGTCTACAGCTGTTCATGTATTCTACTTGGCGTTTGTGTGTTTGCCGGAGATGATTCTTCCGGTGATGTCTCTTTGCTTGTTCATGCTTGGGGTTTGGAACTACAGATTGCGCCCTAGACAACCTCCACACATGGACACAAGACTTTCATTTGCAGACAATATTCATCCTGAAGAGCTTAACGAAGAGTTCGATACATTTCCTTTTTCATCTCAAGATCCGGGAATTGTAAAATTGCGGTACGAGCGGTTGAGGAGTATTGCGAGTAGAGCTCAAACGGTTGTGGGAGATATAGCGGGTCAAGGAGAGAGAGTTCAGGCTCTGTTAAGCTGGAGAGATCCAAGAGCTACTTCGATCTTCATGGTGCTTTGTTTGGTTTCTTCTGTGGTTTTGTATGTTGTGCCGTTTAAGGTTTTCGTTCTTGTCGCAGGATTATACGTCATGAGACATCCAAGATTCAGGCGAAAGACACCTCCTGGTCCGGTTAACTTCTTTAGAAGACTTCCTGCAAAAACAGATTGTATGTTGTAGATTGCAAAAACATCCCTATATGTGACACAAAACGGAAATTTTCGCAATTCTTCACAAAGTCAAGAAACCAAATTGATTAATCAAAAGCTTGAAAACACGCAGGAATTCTAAACTTCACTACTACTAGTCTTTTCTTTTCTAAACAAAGACATTTTTCTCAGAGAGGTTAGCTTCAAGTCTTTTTCTGCTTCTCCTAGAATCAATGCTCAGATATATACATGAATCATCCGCGCATTAGATCAATGTCGATATGGGCGTGGTGCAAATCCATTGATCTTGGACCGGTTGACCAAATGCCTACGGGACTCTGAACAAGGTTCTGGCTTTGCTGAGGAACAGGAGGAGACGTTGCTGCTATGTTCTCGTTGTTCTCCAAAGCTTCAGTGTCTTGGACATCTTCAGAAGTTTCATCTCGTTTTTTAAGCTTCGCTTTTGGGATCGCCCAAATGAAGCTCCCAACGATAACCTATTAAGGAGGCAAACACAAGTTTTTTTTAAAAAAATATGATCTCTAAAGAATATGATTCTTACAAGCAGCTCACCTGAACTGGGCTTGCTGCAATTAGAGGCCCTCCAATTCCACCACCAATGACACGACCATCGGGGCTAGCAAGTGAGACCGCTAGATTTCCAGTGCGGTTTGGATAGTCATTGTCAGTAGCGTTCAGATAAGAAGTTGAGAGAGATATGAGCTCGAAACGACCCTAGAGATTACAGAGTATATACACACCAACATGAGTAATGTTTTTGTCTTCTAAAGCATAGTAAATTGAGGAAGATAATATTAGACCTCGTAAGTAATAGCCCCATGGGATGGTGATGGCTGAAGAAGAGTTGCAGTGGAGACTGCGCCACTAGCGGATAAGACACAAATCGCTCTTGGACCTTGCTGGGAAAAAGATATAACCTTTGATGCAATGTCCTGAAAATAACACAAGAATGTGTGGATTAAAGATTATTTCAAGAAGCCTAAAAGAACATAATTTGGTCATGAGGAGACTTGAGAAGACATACTTCACCAACGGAAACTACGATTACGTGCGGTGTGAAGCTCATCCCCGACGATGAAGGCATCAAATCACCTTACAAAAAGAGAAAAAATGGAAACCCGTTTTCAGAGAAATCACAAGTTTTTTGTAATGGGAAAAAAAATCACAACTTCAGGACACAAATTTAGTATGCATAGCTTCAGAGAAAAGCCCTGTAATAAAAGATTATATTTTGAATACCAACTTTCATACTTGACGTTAAAAAATTCCAAAGCTTTAATTAGTCCTTAAAAGAGCATATAACAGCTGTAATTACCTCCATAACTTCCCACCAATTTTAAAACTGATGTCTCATAAACTACATATATATAATCAACTTCCCACAATTTTCGAAACCTATGTCCTCATATACTATATATCCATTGAATTAAGCTCATACCTTTCCACAACTTTCAGAGACAATTTTCTATAATTTCAAGAGAGAGAGAGAGAGAGGGAACTTTACCAATGGAAGCAAGCCTTTGCTTCTTGCCGGAGCCAGGGGGTCTTCCACGGCCACGTTTGTTAGAGTTTGGGGACATAGTGGAGACTGAAGGAGACAATGCCAACGAAACAGAACCGTCTTGTCCGTATTTTCGAGGCCTTCCTCTCTTCCGCTTCACAGACGTCTCACCCGAGGAAGGAGGAGGAGCCGCCGCTGAAGAATCGGCCGGAGAAGACTCAATTGGTAAAGGAGGAGACACGAATCCAGAGGAGCCGCCTCCTGGGTTCGGGTTCGGGTTTGGGTTTGTGTTTGACCCGAACGGAGAGTTGGAATTGGAGAAGTGGTGAAACCCTTGTGATCCGTGAAACGTCGGTTGAGTTTGTGGAGGAGGAGGACCCGAACCAGGCATTCCTCTCTGGATATAGTAAGAACCCGACCCGGATAACGCCATTGCTTCTCTTCGATCCATAGCTTCCGGCTTTAACTTTTAAGCTTTTTTCAGGAAAAGGGATGCAATTTTCGTTGGGGACCCTAAAAGGTTCGAACTTTGTGGCTAATGGCTACAAAAGGGGTAGAGAGAAATCAGATTATATTTCTTTTGAAAGGATAATTGGATAAGAACAAAATCAGAATCTAAAGGGTCGATAAGACTTAAAAAAAAGATATAAACTTGGAGAGTAAGGTAACATGCAAGCGAAATTTTCTCAAAGCTAATCACAAACACAATATTTCATATCACCTAATTGGTTTTTATGTAGCTTTAGTATCAAGCTATACAGAAGAAATTAGATCCAGAAGGGAAAACGAAAAAAGCTTTTCTTTTCTTCTACTTTTCTCTCCTTCATTCTCTCACCAGAAACAAGAGATGAGATATGAAGCTTTCTCCTCCATCAACAATGGTGAACCCTTTTCATTCTTTCTCTCTCTTTCCCCCTTGTTCCTCTGTGTTGCTTTTTTGCTTTACTTGGTGACAGAGGGAAACAGAAAAAAACAAAAAACTATCAATCAGATCCCTCCCCAAGGAGTTGAAAAGCATTTACTGTGGATAACACAATGAGATGATTTTCTTTGGAAATTCAAATTCGAAAATTATAATCCATGTCTCTGACTTTGACTGTAAGCTCTCTCGCTCTATAGACTTCTTTCTAGCATCTAGCAAATTATAGGTGTGTGGCTTATTCCAACGCTGTAGATTTAGGCGCGTGTGTCAAACGAAACATGAGATGAGAGAGTGAAGCTCACGCTTGAGAAATAGAGAGTGAGAGAAGATGATGTGATCTAGTCAAGACTTGTTCCTCTCTGGCCTCCACTTCTTAGCTAATTGATGATGATAAAACCTGGCAAAGCTTTCAAATTTATCAAGCTGTCTTTTTTTCCTTTCTCAAAGATCTAATCTTTAGATTCGAACTATATTAGTTTAGTAAACATTGTTGTAACCATACGTCCATTAAGAAATATATAATCATAAATAGCCTTTTGTGGATCTCTACAATGTAAGTGATTATTGTTCTTGTCCCTATTCTATTCACCTTAAATCTCCAATCTTTCTCTTAAAATAAACCGTGTGATTAATTGAGACCCGAGAATCTATCAGACAATGTAGAATCTGAACTTCAGAACTCATGAGAAGATCAACAATCAAAATAGGGTCCGCAACCTAACTGGAAAATCTTGACCTATAACATTAGAGTGATGAGTCATAAATACAAGCTTTATAGCATTAAAAGGAACAACAATTTAATGATGTAATATTGTTTGAGCAAAGAAAACACTACGAGGAACTCTAAGAAAGCTACAAAGATGCACTCGGAGGAACATCTTCGAACAAATAGGATCATCTTTTACCCTTGATTTAAACTCCTATAAATTTCTGCAAATTCTCATTACTTTTCGAAGGTAAATACCATCGTTTTTATATTAAGACTCGTCTGTATTTCGACTTCAGACACGTAATAGAATCAACTTTTGTTTCCAACGTTCTTTTTAGATGTAAATCAATCGAATTATACTTATGTACAGAGAAGATGTAAAGATAGAGAAAACACACAAGATCTACACAAAAACCATTTTTTTTTTGTCGGCTATCCATCTACTAAACTACATCTTGAGATTTCGGAAAGTTAACTCCACCGATTCTATCTAACTTATATGGGAGAATATAATACTACGTACTCGAATTTTTTTAGCGAGAGAATCAGCTCGAACGTTTAAAGCTCGAGGTATATGAATGATGTTAAAACCAGAAAATGTTTCTCAAAGATGTTGGAAGGCATTTAGTTCTGAAGTGAAGGCCATCCAATCGATCAGATTCTCAATCATTTTAATTAAATTCGAACAATCTCAATTTGTATCGTCCAAAGAAAAGCATCCATCTCTACATGTAATGCTGAGATACTTTTGCGGCATCCTTTTAGAGTCCAAAACCTTCTTGTGTCATAATGTTTTTATAGGTCCACCCTAATTCATAAACTAAACCATGGTCGATCCAAAAAGCATCGATTTGGCTGTTTGGGATTCGAGGTATCAAAAGCGGAGTATAAGAGTTGTCGTGAGCCTGTGGGATTCAAGTACGGATTCAATCAATTCTCACAAAAAGGTGCTCATTATCATCTGATTAGGCCCAGTTTGTAGCCCAATAGTGTAATTACGAAAGCGAGGTCGTTTTAATGTGCGGAACGTAAACAATCCTTAACAACGGTTTCAACTACCTTCCCTATCACTTGGTTCACACCTCTCTCAATTTGCGATTCGCTGCCTCATGTCTCCTTTTCATCACTATTCCTCTGCTTCATCTTCTTCGTCTCTACCAAACCCAAACCCTAACCCTAAACCCCTAAATTTTCCGATGCCAATGTATCAGTCCATGAATCTGTCCGTTTCTTCAAATTTCACCCAGCGATCCCTCTTCCCTTTATTCTCCACCGGAGTCCGCAAATCCGTCCATCTCAAGCCTTCCCGCGTCTCACCCGGCCCTGATTCCGGCGATTCAGGTACACAAACCCTAACCGAGAAGCTTATCTTGATCCTCAGAGCCGTCCCGGACTGGGCGGACGGGATTAAAGAGCGTGGGATGCAGCAGAAACGCACTCTCTACACTCACGAGAAATGGGTCGAGCACAGGAGCTCTCTCCGCCATGTGCGTCACTTGGTCTCGAGCTTTTCGTCTCGCGTTATACTCTCTCTTATTCCCCCTGTCTTCTTCTTCACATCCGTCGCCATCGTAATCGCCAGCTACAATTCCGCCGTGGCTCTGGACTGGCTTCCTGGTATCTTCCCCATTCTTCGCTCCTCCTCGCTTCCGTATCAGCTCACGGCTCCTGCTCTAGCACTTCTTCTGGTGTTTCGCACGGAGGCTTCGTATTCTAGGTATGAAGAAGGAAGGAAAGCTTGGGTTGGGATAATCGCTGGAACAGATGATTTAGCGAGGCAAGTGATTTGTTCCGTTGATAGCTCAGGTGATGATTTGATCATCAAAGATTTGCTTCTTCGGTACATCGCTGCTTTCCCTGTGGCTCTTAAGGTAATCTATTGTGTGTCTAATGTTGGCTTTGAGTACAGAAAACTGGTTTTGTGGATTGTGGTTGATTGGGAAGTTTCATTTGCAGTGTCATGTGATTTATGGTTCAGATACCGCAAGAGATCTCCGGAATTTGATAGAAGCTGATGACTTGTCTTTGATTCTTCAATCGAAGCATCGTCCGCGTTGTGTAATCGAGTTCATTTCTCAAAGCCTTCAGCTGCTGAAGATAGACGACACAAAGAGAGATTTGTTGGTAGCATTCCTGAATCCTTGATCTCTCCATTAAGCTCAGTTAAACAAGGAATTACTCCTTGCTATGATTCTTGAATTTGTTGATTGTTGATATCTTGGGTTTGCACATTTGACACCAAAATATGCTTCTTTGCGTAACTGCAGGAATCAAAGATGCTACATTTACATCAAGGCATTGGAGTCTGTGAACAACTAATGGGCATTCCGATTCCACTCTCATACACGCGCTTAACCTCGAGGTTTTTAGTCTTTTGGCATCTAACTCTCCCAATCATTCTCTGGGATGAATGCCATTGGATTGTTGTTCCTGCTACTTTCATTAGTGCTGCATCCCTCTTCTGCATAGAAGAAGTACTTTCTCCTCCTCCTCCTCCACACTCAACAGTACCTATTTTTTTGGTTTGAATCCCTAACCATGTGTTCTTCTTTTTTTGGTTTGAAACTCTGCAGGTGGGTGTTCTTATAGAAGAGCCATTTCCTATGCTGGCCTTAGACGAGCTATGCGATCTTGTGCATAGTAACATCCAAGAAGCTGTTAAATCTGAGAAAATCATACGTAACCGCATCATTGCAAAGATAAAGCTCCATGAATTCAAGCACTCATCAAATGGTCGGCATAGACCTTGATTTTCCAATCGTTTGAGAGTGATGACAACCTGATGCATTTTGTCTTCATTGAGAGGGGTTTGGAATATGTGATGGCTTAGGTTAGCTTTGATATGTACGTACTGTATAGAAACACCTTATACTAGTTGATAGGGAAACTTATACCACAACGTTTGTATATCTTCCTCGTGTATATGTTTATGCTGTATATATGCAGATTCAACCTTTACACAAGTCATATACAGTTTATGAATAACGACTAACATTGAACTCATCATCAGAAACCTGCAAATCTTTTTACCAAAAAACCTGCAAATCTTTATTCAGAAGTTGCGCACATTTGTCTCTGAAATCAAAGATTCTTTTTTTTACCTATGGATAATGACTAACGTATAGAACTCATCAAAAGAAACAATTTGCAAAGTTGATCGCCCATTAAAACAAGAGTTTTATTTTAGTTTTTTGGGAAACAGAAAGGAGAGTTTTAAAAAACCTAAATCTTAAGCTTAAAACAACCGCGGCTCACAAGTGTATATATGAACCACTGATAAAAGATTGAACACACCATCACTAGAAAAAAAAGAAAAAAAAAAGATAGTATAAAAGGGCATGCCTTAAATGGAAAGATCTAACACTTGACACAAGTGTCACATCTTCTACATGGTCTAAAAAGGTGTAAGCTTTATGACCCTTATAGGCTTCCATTCCTTGGACTCCAACTTTTGTGATAGTTTTCGTCTCGGGATTGTGGTAGAGAAGGTAAAAAGAGTCGGAGATAGTGTTTGGCGACAGCACAATTTCACCTTTACTAGTCGTTCCAACAAAACATAACGTGGTCTCTTCAAAAATATTCTTCCAAGGAGGAGGCAAGACGTAGATATAACTCGACCATTCATGTTTCTCGGCGTCTTCTAGAACCCATAGTTGAATACCGGTGTATGTTCCGTAATCATCAATGTTCCGCTGAAGCTTAGCTAATTTACCCTTGTAGTTCACCAGAGTTGATTCAAGCTTTTCTCCCTAGTGTATACGCATACCTGTAACAGCTGTCTTGATATAACTGAATTTCTCAGATCTAATATCAAAGGAAACTATATCAAAATACCCGTCGGTATAAGCATCAACATGGAGTAATATGGCTAAGTAGTATAAAACACCATTGATGCATACCCCACCATTGGTATGCTCGAAATCAACAGGTATATGTGGCACCTCACATTTGATCATTTTCCATGAGGGTTTCTTTTGGGTTCCTAATGTCAGAACTTGATGGTCTTGAGAACTAGATTATCCTACATATGGTAGGGTCATGCACAATACCTTGAATTGTTTGTCGATTGGATCATACCCAAAACAACTGATCACTCTCTTACCCCTTGTTCTCACATCGGGTAAAGCCAAGGACTGTCCTGTGCTAGGGTTACATATCAATGGCACAGTAACTGTCCTTCCCTTGGAAGGTCGTCGTTGATTCAAACCACATACCAAGCCTCGAACAGGACGGCAGATATTGGTGGGACAGTTTATTGGAAAACTCATATGAACTTTGGCGGATATATCAGACGAAGGACTTTGAGAGTTTGGAGATGATGAGAAGAAGCATGTTTCGTCGTCTTTTAGGCATGTGAATAATAGCTTCTTGCGAGACGATGATATGGTCAAGTAGGACTCGGTGAAACTTGGATCACGCAATGTGGAGGCCCATAGCTTCGATACGCGACGAAACGTCGCTATAGACTTGACAGGCAATCTCAAGAGTATCTCGATTACTAGATCGAATGGGATCGGTTCGATTTTCGCCAAAAAGGATCGTGTCTTGCGCCGTGGCATCATGGTTGAGACACTTCTCTCTTTTTGTCAGATTAACCTAGTTTTAAGAGTTTTTTTAAAACCTAGACGAACCAAAGCGCTTAAAACGTGGCTCTCAAGAGAACCTTTCTGCAAATAAAAGAGAATATAAGGGTCTACATGTACGATATTAATTAGTACGAGGGTCTGGAAGCAAAAACAAAAAACGAGGGTGGCGATTCCAAAACGACGACGTTATCTTTGATTAGAACTTAGAAGAATTAATTGATCTCTTCTCTCCTTCCTACGCCACTTCGCCGAGAAGCTCTCAAACGGAGAACTCTAAACTCTGCTGTTCCTTAGGACGTGATCGGAAGGCAAGTTTTTATAGGTTCTTCCCAATTTCTCATCAAATTTCTTAGATTATGTTATTTAGACTGTCCTCATCGTCGTTTTTTAGGGAACTATCTGAGATCTGGGGCTACTTGTGATCTGTTTCAATTCTGAAAATTTGGTAGGTAGGTATTGTATCTGATCCTTGAAAATTTCTGAGATGAGATCTGATTGTTGGCGTAGTGGATTTGATGTAATTGCTGACGGGTTTGAAGTGTGGACTGTGAGCGCTAAATATTTGATTTTCGTTATGTACATTGGAAATCGATCTTATTCTTATATACGATGCTTTATTTGTTTTTATTGAAATGCTCTTGTTTTGCGTCAAAGGTTTTGAGTATACTGCTCTTGAGCGCTTAGGTAAATTGTTTCTTTTGGACAGGGTTTTGTATAATCTCATTTGGTGGATTATTATTCACAATGGAGCGTATGATAGAGGAGAAGGAATGTGCAGATCAATCGGATGAGAAAAAAATGCCGCTTATAAGCGGAGTTCCTGACGATATCTCAAATTTCTGCTTGGCTAGAGTTCCAAGAGAACATCACATGGCAATGAAATGCGTTTCCAGGAGATGGAGAGATTTTGTGTGCAGTGATGTATTGTACGATTACCGAAACAAGTTCAACTTGGCTGAATCTTGGATTTACGCCTTGTGCCGCGACATATCTGGCGGTGTCTTCTTATACGTGCTGAATCCCTTCTCATCTAGAAGATCATGGAAAAGAATCAATGAATATCCACATACCTCAATGAGAGAAGGTATGGGTTTTGCAGCACTGGGTAAGAGGCTGTTTGTGCTTGGTGGATGTGGTTGGTTAGAAGATGCTATCGATAAGGTTTATTGCTATGATGCTGCTATGAACACTTGGCTTGACGTAGCAACTCCTCTTTCAACCAAAAGGTACTTATATTGCTCTTGGGATTCTTACTTAATCTTGCCATTAGCGACCAGCTCGATATTTCTTTTCCAACTCTTGTCTTTTTGCATATGCAGATGCTTCTTTGCTTGTGAAACGCTGGATGGAAAAATTATGGCGATTGGTGGGTTAGGAGTGAATCCAAAAGTTCCACAGACTTGGGACATCTATGATCCGTTAACTGGAACCTGCAAATCTTGTTCAGACGCAAATATTGTTCCTGAAATCGAAGATTCATTTGTAATGGATGGAAACATTTATGTACGAGGTAGTGCTGGATCTTCCGCTGCCGTCTACAATGCATCGAGCGGGGTTTGGAAACGTGTGGATGATGATATGGCATCAGGATGGCGAGGTCCAGCTGTTGTTGTAGCAGATGATCTCTTTGTTTTGGATCAGAGTTTTGGAGCTACGCTAACAATGTGGTGCAAGGAAACGAGGATGTGGATTCGTATCGGGAAGCTATCTCAGTTGGTGATGAAGCAGCCATGTCGGCTTCTTTCTATTGGGAGTTGTATCTTTGTGATTGGTAAGGATTGCTCTACTGTGGTGATTGATGTTGAGAAGATGAGGAGGAAGACGATGAATGGAGTAATGGTGTGTTCTTCTATATCAAAGACTTGGGATGATCCTATTGATGTTATTAGCTGTAAATCTGTAGCTATATAATATGTTTCACACTCTACTTTGCCCCCAAAGAGGTTGATCCTTGCAGACAACATATGATGTTTATGTTGGCCATGTAATATCACTCAATACTGTCATTCTGGTTTATATAACAACAAGACCCAAATCAAAATCTCAGAAAGCTATTGAGGAGCCAACTCCATTATCCGCTTAGTTAAGATCTTTTAGCAAAGTCTATTACAAGTTACTACAGTGTTGTCAATATTCTGTTGAGTATTGTATACAACTGAACATACTAATCTCTCAATGTGGGATTTTTGCAAACAAGAACTAATTCCATTGAAGTTCCATTCTAAATTAGCTGTGTTCGAGTCGGCAAAAAGCTATGCAGTTTCTGCATCTTCCTCTTTAATTCCTCAAGTTTCTCCAATTCGTCTTTGCTTGATAAAGAGGTCTCTAACATGCGAAAGACTGGTTCGCTTACGCACCTTCCTCTCTCCACTGTCTGCCTCGAGCACTCAAATGCATCATTGGCTCTTCTTCGAGCACACAGTGCAGTGGTAAGGAGTTCCAATGCGTGGCCATGAGGGCAATACCCTTTCTCCAGCATATACTTCCACAGGTCTAGTCCTAAGTTGACTTGGCCGTTGTGACAGAAGAGCTTCATCAGCATAACCACGGTTGGTGTCTTTGGAACCAGAGATCTTTCCTTCATTTTATGGTAAAGCTCACATACCCCGTCGATCCCAAACTCTTTGGATTTCATCATTCCGATAAACATCGAGTGGAAAGTTACACTGTCGGGCTCAATTCCTTTCTCTTCCATCTCCTTCATCACCTGTATTGCACCACTCACATCTCGGCATTTCATGAGACTACTCATCAAAGCGTTATAAGCTCCGCAATCAGGTGTTAAGCCTCTCTTGGGAATTTCATCGAACAGTTGGCGTGCTTTGATCTTGTTCCGAGCCACACCAGACCCATGGATCAGTGTAGTGAGTATCTGTAATGTGGCTTCGAGATTTCGACGATCCATTTCTTCAAATAGCCTCAGGGCTTCACCAAAGTTCCGTTTTTTACAGAACCCATCGATTCTGATGCCGTAAGTGACGGAATTGGGTTTGAATCCTCGTTTCACCATTTCATGGTAGAAGAGCTCTGTGGCGGTGACATCACCAGCTTCCTTAAACCCTAGAAGTAGAATGTTCATCGTCTTAACGTCTGGCTTAAACCTGGAATGCAATTTTTCGAAAATTGATCTCGCCTCCTTCATCTCTCGCTCTGTGCAGAATGCTCGCAGAAGAATGTTGAACTCGTCGACACCGAATTTCTTTCTGAATATCTCTTTCTCCATCCTCGCGAAAGCTTCCAAAGTTTCTTCATACGAACCGAATTTGGCGATTTTGCAGAGAAGGATGCTCATGGACTTGAAGCTCAGCAGATTAGGATAGTCCTTTCGCACTTCCGCCATTAAAGCCCAGGCCTGATCGAAATACCGCATCCGTGAGAGAATGTGAAGTGTTTTCTCGAAGGAATCGGAGGTGGGAGAAGATTTAGAGCTTTTAAGTGAATACTTGAAGAATTCGAGAGCTTTGAGGCCATTGGAATGAGCAGCGAAGAGACGGCCGAGAACTTCTGATACAAAGTCCGGTGACAGTGAAGATAGAGGGATGTGCTTAGCGAGAATGGGTTGAATCGGATGGTTCGGGAAGGGATGATCATTGATGATCCTGGTGACACGTTCGATCTCTGTTCTGTTTCTTGACGACGATGTAGATGATAATGATGACGATGATGACAACACTGGAGCAAGAAGACGATACGAATCGGCGGAGGTCTTCTTAAGCATTTTCCCAACCAGAAAATTAAAAGATTCAGACCGAAAGAGAAATAAGTACACTAGAAAACTTAGTGAGAACTAAATCGGGAAAATTCGGTTCACTTTTTGTTCAACCGATTCGAACCGAACCAAAATCATATAAAAAACTTAACATCCGAAATTCGGTTTGTTTTGGTTCTTAGAACTTGTGCGGCGGCTAGGAGACCTAGGTGTATAATCACGAGCTTCTCCGTCGTTACAGTGGAAAGAGAAAAGTAGCTTTGACGGAGGCTCAAGTTTCTTTTATTGAACGGGTAATTTATCTTTTATCTCTCACTATTTCTCTAATGGGAACTAATATCTGTTCGTCTTTGTTCTTCTATGCATTTTGTTCAGCTGTTCTCTAGCTAGAGCTCAATTTTTGTTAGGATATGCACGGAAACTGTTTGACGATTTGCCTGACAGAGTCTATCGATTCTTCTGTGATGGAATTTTGTCATATAGTTTGTGTGGTGAAATTTTTGGTGGATCTTAAGTAGAAAAATCTTCCCTTTTTACTTACTATGTGAAAGAAGAAGAAGAAGAAGAATGTTCTGTCTTTGAAAGTTGTTAGGAGGTAACTTGTTGCATACAAGTACTGATTGGCCAGTGTGACTATGATTTAACAAGAGCTTACTGAAAAACTCGCTGGAAAATGTTACTATTAGTGTTCACTTTTCTTACTGCGGTGAGTAATGTAAGCATATATCACTTCTTGGATTGCAGGAAGTTTGGTGGTGGTGGTACCACTTAGAGTTGCAATGACAACAGAAATGGCAAAGAAGAAGTTAACTCCACAAATTCTTAAGACAGATACGGCACTAAAACTTGTAAGACTTTCCTCCTTGAAGCACCAGACTTTGATTGAAGCTAAAGTTCGGATCTTTCTTGAAAACCATGATTGCATTTTTGGACCTTGAATTATCTGTTGGTTTCATCTCACCGCTTTGTGGTTTGCTCGATTTCCAGGCTGAGAAGTGGGTTGCCAATATGACGAGGCCTGCAGAGGATGATCCTATTGAGCCTGAACAACAAGTTCGACCACACAGGTGAAGTAATATTTCTTGTTACATGTTTAGTTGCATTTTCATTTGTGAATATAAAGCTGAATATAAGTATCATTGAACCCCCGCATAGGCTTGGACTTGGTGCTAAAGTGTCAAAGCAAATGAAGCGTAGACCCTCAGACGATCCTCTTGATCAAAAGCTACAAGCCAAGTTTGATGCAGGGAGAAGAAAGCACGCAAGATCTCTAGCAGAATCCGCTGGTTCTAGTCAGAACGCCGGTGATGACAGTGAGGATGATGACGAATCAGAAAGCAAAAGCCAAGCATTCGGAAAGAAAAGAAAAAACACAAGTACACCTCGTTAATATTTTGTATGTAAGTTTATAGTTGAAATTGTGGGATTGTATTGGGTATTTTTGTTTGTGAAGAGCTAAAACCATACAATTTTATTTCTACAACATGATTCTTAGAAAAAGCATCATCTTTGTGTTATTACCAGTCTATAGTTCATACTCATATAAAACTCTCTTGGCTGAGAAAAACTACAGAAACCCCTTTAAAATGCAAAAAAAGAGTATTGAAGTGAAAGAAACAAAAGAAAATATTCTCAGGTCTGTGCTGATGTTAAAAAAAGCTGTGGTTGTGCCACTGCACAAGACAAGTCAACTAGAGATCGTTGACCGTGGGAGTGGTAGTGACAGCGAAACTGTACAGGCTAGACAAAAGGTTAAAGAAAAAGAGACTCATCACAGGTTGTCGAAGTTCAGGTCCAGCATTGGTTCAGCTCGAACCATGTCTCTGCAGCTTCTGATGATCTCTTCTACTAAATCATCAAGGATCATTTCAGTTATGCCGGAACCAATGCAACCAATATCAAACCGGAGATCCATCCAGCTTCCGGTTTTAGCCATGTCTTTCTTCACTATCTGATCTAAAGTGTGAGGGGAAGGCAAAGGTAAGAGATGCCAGTAAACCCCTTCTCGTGCCACTTTAGCTGCGATTTCCATGTCTGAGATTAGCTGGACCTCAGGTTTCAAGAATGAAATCCAAGGCCCGGGATTTAATTCATTCCTACAGAAGTCCAAGAGAACTTCATTGATACAGTCGTAAAGGAGATTCTTGTCGTCGCAGAGCTGTGTAGAACAGAAAACTATGTCGTCTATTAACTCTGGCTCAAAAAGCTGCTCCGAGTAAAAGGGCCTCGCCAAAAGCTCTTCCCAGCTCAAACCTGAGGATTTAACAACGGCTTCAATGTGTGCAAGTGTCAATTCCTTGTCGTCCATGCTTGTTATAAGATTGTTGGCGTTGTCTGGTTTTGGAGAATCAGCTTCATCGAATCTTATACAGAGTGGTTGTATCCGCATTTCAGCTGAATATGAGAATCAAGAAACAGTAAGAAACCAAGTCCTGAAGAATTTATTCGGAGCTGACTTTGCAAATTCTATTATTCAATGCATACATACCTGAACTGAATCTCGTGCTTGTTGTTGGGCTACTCTCATCATCAGTAAACAGAGGCTCAAGCACAGACACAGGACTTAACTTTCCCTGCACATCAGTGGTCGTTTCTTTGCATTCGGTCATCCTAACTGAAGAACTTTCTGGAGATTCTTGAGGAGGAGAAGAATGCGCTTGGCTGAACATTTCCTGGAACAAGATAAAACCATGAAAATGTGAGACCTCATTCAAGAAAACATAGAATGTGTTCATTTATCACATACTCAAGCTTCCTAACCTTATTCAAGGATTGCTTATCCCCGTCTTCTTCACGACATTGAAGCACATCTTCATCAACATATTCGACTTGTGGAGAAATGGAAGAGACGCAAGTTTCAGATAATGGATTTATCTCTGTCTTCTCTTTCGTTTCTATATTCTCAGTTTCCTCCGCATGGTCTGTAAGCATTGAATTACAAATTTTCAGAACAATAAAGAATCTGTTGGGCATAGAAAGAAGCAGGTAAAAAAGAGAAGAAGAAGAAGAAGAAGAAGAAGAAGAAGAAGAAGAAGAAGAAGAAAAAGCACCTCTGGGAACAGAGACATCAATGGTAAACAATGCCTCGCCATCTTTATCTGAATCTTCATCAGTCAGACCATTTGTGCATGGACAATTCTTTTGTTCCTCGGTTGTTTGGCTTAGATGGCTAGCAAAATCATGCGCAGGGATCAATCTAGGGCTATCTCCTGCTGATGAGAACTCAGGGAGAGAAAGAATCTTCCCAAGGATTCTTGGTACTTCCTTATCTGGTAAATTCACATCTATATCTCCATTTGCAAGCATTTCAGACAAGTGTTTCCTCGCTGCAATATACAAGCCTGACATTATCTTCTTTGAATCTTGGCTTTTGTGGACAGTATCCTCTTTATCAGCATTATTGCTCATTCTTTCATTACAGAACGGTTCTTCTTCATCTGAAACATGCTTCCCGGATTTACTCTGTTTCTCTTCTTGCAAGCAACAGTTTTGGCTCTTATCAACAGGAATATCACATGACTTCTTTCCAACAGCAGCTTGTAGCCTTCTTTTGAGTAAACCGATAAGAAATCGAGAAAATGTTCTTCCGTTTTTGGACTTCTTGCCAGTAGAATGATGTCCAGATGAAGAATCAGGATCCAAACTCTGTGGACCAGGTTTCAAGACCACAATTGTTTTTGCAGCTTGAGATCTGTTTCTCCTCTCTTCTGATCTCCATTTTCTGCTGAAGAATTTAGTTTTCTTTTGAGGTACCACCACGGCCTCTTGTTTTGAGACTGCTTCAGGCTTTTCTTCTGCTACTCTCTTAGAATCTCCCAAGCTTTGAGCACCTTCATGTGAGATCTTCTTCAGGAGTGATTCTTCTTCAGAATTCAAAACATGAAACGCCTCCAACAAATCCTTACAGGTTTGGATCTCTCCTTCTTTCTGAGCTATCAACCGCTTCATTATCTCCCTGAATTTTTCTTCAGATTCATTGTAGAGACACTCATCAGCTAACTTCTCACAAACCTTAGTCTCTACATCTTCATCACCAGTAATCAAAACATCGACATCCTCATCAATGAGTTTCTCAACACTCTCCTGAGAGCTCTCACAAGAACAGGGAAGCTGCTTCTTCTCGTTATTACCTGCATCATTCAGTAAATGTAACCAGAAGTTAGTTATATCTTAGAACAGAAAGTAAAGAATCATCAAGACAACAAGTCTTTGGATGAAACAAAAACCTGCAAATCTTTTGCTTCCACGTTTCTTATCCATCAAGAGGCGCTTCTGGTTAGATCCAAAGATGCTGATGAATACCCACATACATCCTATTCGATTTATTCCTTCTCTCTTTATATTTCTTCGACAGTTTTTCTCCATTTAACAGTTCACACTTCAATACAAGTGGTAAAGAAACTGTTAATACAAGCAAAGAATAATAATAAATCATGTCTGAATATTTTTTATAAAAAAAAAATTGCAAATACTAACTTTTTATATTGATTCATCATGCAGTGATCTGTTAAAACTCTGTTTTCATGATTTTGCTTTCATCAGTCACACAAACGCATTGTGATTATTACTGTTTTGAGTGATCTGAGAAAATTCGATACCTTTCCTTTGGAAGCAAGTGAACTTGTTTAAAGGAAAAAATAAAAAAGAGCACAAAAGATTTAAAGATTATACCTTTTAGAATCCGGTCCGATACTTGCAAGAAACTGAAAAAATCGATAATCCAGCTGGAAGATTTAATAAAAATCCATTTTACAACTTTTTAGCTGTTTTCCACAACGGAATTTTCCCGGAAAACCTTCGCAGATATTTCCCGAAATTATGATGAAATTACGAAGTAACGAAAAGCTCGAAACACGAGGGTAGATTGTTGAACACAGCAGTGTCTCAATTTAGCAGAAGGCCCATCTTTCTCTCACCAGAAAATAGAACCACTGTGAAGAATAAATTTAAAAAAAAAAGAATATTACTATTAAATTATAAAATTGGGGAATTAGGCATAAAGTTACACGAGTTGGATAAAATACTAGAAAAAGGGAAAACACCTTAGATTATAAGAAAAATCTGCAATTAGACCAAGTTTCATTTATTTACTCATCTATGGATGAGCCAAGAAATAGAAAAAAAAAATTAAAGAAAAACAAACAAAGTCAAGTGTTTTTTGTTAGAATTGTCTTTGTTCACTTCAAAGTGCAGCAGCGATTGGAAATCCCACCGATAACTGTATTTTGAGATATATACATACACATCATCGTCGTTGTATATATATATATATATATGTGGGTATTAGTGTCCTCACGAGACTGTAATGAATGTGTATGTCTATACGTATATATGTATATGTAGGGAGAGAGAAAGTTTGGTAGGTAGGTAATGATCCTCTAGAAGGAGTCGCAACGAGTACCGTACAGAACGAGTGTGTCGGGAGGGCCACATGGGTAATTTCATACTTGACGCAAAATTTGCAAAGTCAAAGTAGTTATCAAACAAATAGAAAAAATAAAAAGAAGAAAGAGAAGAGTGAAAAATGAAAAATGAAAAATGAAAAAATGAAGAAAAGGCGATGTTAAAAAAAATTGAAGAAAAGGTGAAAAATGGCATGCGGTCTCTTCCACTATGAACACATTTTGCGAGTAAATCTAACATACGTCCATATTCTGTCTGGACATAACTTGTATAAGTTTTGTGACTAATTTGAAATAAATTTGTAGGCTGAACCTGAAGTTTGTTAGTTAATGCCTCATTCTCCTAAGTCATCAAACTTAATTGTTCTAGATTTTTAATTCTCATACGGGAGATAGAAAATTGCTTTATGAATATATATGCGAAATTACAAACAAAACAAAAAGGATTTACTGTATGCGACATTACAAATAAAAAGCCATTTCAAACAAAGAAACAAAATAGAGACAAAATGGAATTAGGTAAATGAAAAGGACAGGTTTATTATAAAAATAAGATAGTATATTTTTTGTTATATAATGCGACAAAATAGGGATGTGAAAAAAAATGTCCGTTACGATGTTACCGGTAAAGACTATAACCTTGTTTGACTAATTACGATTCACTTTTGTGACCTAAAATTCTCCTATTTTGCAGAGGTGGACAAAGTTCATTTCGATAGCGAAGTGATTACATTGTAGTTTAAGTTTTATCTACTGTAGTTACATATATGATATGTGATTAAGTAACGCGCGCGGATTCGTGATTAGATAATGTGTTTAAATAAAATTTCATAAAGGTAAAGACTCATCTATCATGTCTCAATAGTTTTTAGTTGCATATTCGGTGTGCATATATTCATTCATACTACTATATATATCCAGAGGCGAATAAGCAATAAAATGTCCTCTCGTAATATTCGCCATGTTTAACGACATTGTTTCACTCACATCTGATATATTAAGATATTTTTAATTTAAACAATTTTTTCAATCCCATAAATATATAATTATCGAATAGTATATTAGTTACCAAATATTAGAAAATGATGGGAACGATAATATTAAGCTTAACAGAGTAAAAAAACCGAAATTTTGAAGATATCAATTTTTGTCTCATTCATGTTTATGTTCCTAATATCAGATACAATTGAAATAAGCAAATAAACACATCATCCACAACTTTTAATTTACTGCCACGAGGTTTGCCTACCCTCTAATTCTTATAATTTAATACACACAAATTAAGATCGGACTTTAAGAAAAACAATTGAATAGCACTTGCCAAACTTAATTTATGATATGACTTTGACGTATACTATAATTGGCAGAATATGCAAAATATACAACGATGTTCATTTTTGTTTAGCCCACTAGCTAATCACCTACTCATTTAATTTAAGTGTTATGTTTGTTTAAATGTATGCAGATATCTGTACGTATATAGTTTTATTTTGGTACTTATATGCCCTAGTGGTTATAATGTCCACTTATGCAATGTGATGACCATCCCAGCAGACGAAAGATATACTCTTATGATATTTCATTTTAAATTAATCAAATGATTGATCAAATGAAATTAATGTATGCCGACAGTTTCATACACGAAACATAGGGTTTATTGTCTTTACCTCTGTACTCAACATATATACTAGACACAATGCTGTGTTAATGGATTTACTCATGTACCAATCATTTTTTTTTCCATTGGATTCCATCCCAAACCCAAAACCTTTTAAAATTCTCTCTTTTACACAGCTTTTAAATTTGTCTAAAAGGTGCATTATAGCGTTATATTAAAGATAAATCACTAAACTTTAATAAGATTTTAAGTGTATATTTATATACTTTTCACATTATTTAGTTTTCTAGCATAATCCTTACATAAATAGAACATATTTATAGAGGAAAAAAGCGTGAGGATATATTACAATTTCAAAGTCGTCACATTTGACTAAATTTCGATAATTATAAGCTTTTATATAGTTATAATGTCATTGCAAAATTGAAGTACGATCAGCATGCAATTGATTCAACCAACTCGCGGTTGCGTAAACTTCGGGGAAATTGTTAAAAATGCGTGAATATTATTCTGTTGAAACTAAAACATCATTAGTGGACGGTTTCATATTATTAGCACTAATCAATTCAATTTATATATCCTATTCGGTCTTCGAAAATTGGCTGTTTGCGAAACTATACACATCAATAAGTTAATGACATCTCGCTATATGTATCAGATAATGCGATTAAAATAGGCACTTAACTACTAAGTCACCCCAATTGGATATAAATATAATTTATATATCTTATTTCAATAATATTGTATCGATAATATATAGCTCTATAAATGTTAACTGTTGTACTTGTACATAACAAACTCTATAAAGATTATAGAAAAAAAAAACAATCTGTAAACTGATTGAGTTAGGTTCGTGCGATGTATGTCTCTTACTAAAAAAGGTATAAAGTACTCATCAAATGTCTATTGCGTTGTAAATTATATATTATGTATATATGTACCACAAAACATTATTATTAGTGTCATGATTAGTTAAGTTAATATGTCAGGTCTGTTGTGAAAACTTCTTAGAAACTTTATTAATCACTGGAATGTATATATAGAGTACATAGGGAATCTAGGTTAAGTACAATGCCCTGATGGGCCTAATGGGCCGGTATAAGAGTCCATATATGATATGTGTTACAACACTCCCCCTTGAACGAGTGAACCGGGCCAGCTACTCAATCGAGATCTCGATAATGCGCTGGGGAATGTTGCCTCATTAAAACCTTACCAGGAAAAACCCAGTGGGACAAAATCATGGTGAAGGAAAAAGAGTACAACACGCATTACTCCCCCTGATTGTAGCATCACTGCAGATCTCTAAGTCTATACATTCCTATCTGTTTGACGAGCTTCCGGTGTGTTGAAGTAGGCAATGATTTGGTGAAGAGGTCAGCTGAATTCTCACTGGATCGGACCTGCTGAACGGTGAGAGTGCCGTCCTTCTGCCAGTCTGAGGTTGAGAAGAACTTCGGTAGAATGTGCTTCGTCCGATCTCCTTTGATATATCCTTCCTTGAGCTGAGCTATGCATGCCGCGTTGTCTTCATACATCACCGTGGGCTGTGTGTCTTCGTCCATACCACAATCTCTGCGGATGTGCTGAGTCATGGAGCGCAGCCAGACGCATTCCCTACTAGCCTCATGAATGGCTAAGATTTCAGCATGGTTTGATGAAGTGGCAGTGAGTGTCTGCTTCATTGATCTCCAAGAGATGGCTGTTCCTCCATGCGTAAAAACGTAGCCAGTTTGAGACTTGGCAGTGTGCGGATCTGATAGATATCCTGCATCGGCGAAGCCGACTAACCCATCTTTATTTTGGTTAGTATAGAAGAGTCCCAAGTCTTGAGTACCTCGAAGGTATCTTAGGAGATGTTTTATACCGTTCCAGTGCCTCTGAGTTGGAGATGAACTATATCGAGCGAGGAGGTTCACGGCGAAACATATGTCTGGTCTAGTGTGACTAGCCAGGTACATTAACGCTCCTACAGCACTGAGGTATGGCTTTTCAGGACCAAGGATTTCTTCATCATCCTTTTTGGGACCAAGAGGGTCATCACTTAAGCTTCTAACTACCATTGGGCTGGTCAATGGGTGAGCTTGGTCCATATTAAATCGCTTGAGTACCTTTTCGATATAAGCCGATTGATGCACAAGGATTCCTCCTTTGATGTACTCAAGTTGTAATCCCAAACAGTACTTTGTTTTGCCTAGGTCTTTCATTTCGAATTCTGCTTTTAAGCAGTCGACTGTTTGAGAGATCTCACCAGATGTTCCGAGGATGTTTAGATCATCCACGTATACTGCTATGATTACAAATCCTTTGTTTGAGTACTTTTTGATGAAGATGCATGGACTGATGGGGTCATTTTTGTAGCCTTCTTTGATGAGGTAATCGCTGAGGCGGTTGTACCACATACGCCCACTTTGTTTCAGTCCATACAAGGATTTGTTCAGCCTGATGCAGTATTGATCTCGAGATGCATTTTTGTCTTTTAGTTCAATGCCATCTGGGAGTCTCATATATATTTCGTTGTCCAGGGGCCCATAGAGATATGCGGTTACAACATCCATTAACCGCAGATCAAGATTTTCTCTTATGGCCAGACTTATGAGGAATCGGAATGTTGTTGCATCCACCACTGGAGAATAAGTCTCCTCATAATCGATTCCGGGTCTCTGTGAGAATCCTTGTGCTACAAGCCGTGCTTAGTATCGAACGACTTCACCGAGTTCGTTCCTTTTGCGCACAAAGACCCATTTGTGGCCCACTGGCTTGATGTGTGATGGGGTCCGGATGATCGGACCGAACACGTTTCTGAGTTTAAGACTCTTTAACTCCACGTTTATGGCTTCTTTCCATTTTAGCCAATCTGTTCGATGTGTACACTGTGTTATTGACGTGGGTTCTAGATCCTCTTGCGTGAGCGCAACATCAAGTGCTACTTTGTATGCAAAGAGTGCATTTAAGTCGACTTCTTTTCGATTCCATTGTATTCCGGACATATTGTAATTGATGGAGATCTCATTGTTATCTTCTGAACCTGGAGATTCGGCGTCCCGAACTTCCATTGAGGGTTTATTAGATTGAGTCTCAGCCGCGGCTATGTCTGATATTGCAGGAATCCCGGTTTCGGTTATTGCACCTTTCTTTGATTTCCGGGGATTCTTATCTTTGGAACCGAGAGGTCTGCCCCGTTTGAGACGTGGTGCAGACTCTGTAGCAACTTGGGTCTGTCCCGTTGGGACAGCTATTCGTACTGGTGCATTACAAGCTGGGATGTACGATTTGGTTACTTTGGTCGGGTCAGCAAAGGAATCTGGCAATTGATTAGCTAGCTTTTGGTAATGAATAATCTTTTGGATCTCTGAATCACATTCTAGAGTCCGAGGATCTTGCCAATTTAATGATGTTTGATTCCATGAAAGATCTTTGACCAGCTTGTTTGTCTCACCACCTAAAGAGGGATATACCGATTCATCGAATTGGCAATCCGCATATCTGGCCTTGAAGAGATCTCCAGTGGTTGGCTCGAGATATCTTATGATGGTGGGAGAGTCAAAACCAACATATATTCCCATCCTTCTTTGAGGTCCCATTTTGGTTCGATGTGGTGGAGCAATGGGTACATATACTGAACACCCAAATGTTTTGAGATGGGAGATGTCTGGCTCATGACCCGAGAGTAGTTGGGATGGGGAATATTTGTGTTTACTATATGGCCGGATGCGTATGAGTTCAGCAGCATGTAATACTGCATGTCCCCATGCTGAGGCCGGGAGCTTTGATCTCATGAGTAATGGTCGGGCTATCCATTGAATGCGTTTAATGAATGATTCAGCCAATCCATTTTGAGTATGGACATGTGCTACAGGATGTTCCACGGTTACCCCCATGGCCATACAGTAGTCATTAAACGCTTGTGAGGTAAATTCACCAGCATTGTCAAGGCGGATAGTCTTTAGTGGGAAGTCAGGGAAATGGGCCCGCAATTTGATGATTTGGGCCAAGAACCTAGCGAAGGCTTGGTTCCGAGAGGACAAGAGACAAACATATGACCAACGGGTCGATGCGTCTATAAGGACCATGAAGTACCGGAATGGTCCGGAAGATGGATGTATAGGTCCACAGATATTGCCCTGGATTCTTTCTAGGAAATGAAGTGTTTGTTTAGAGATTTTAACTGGTGAAGGCCGAGTGATCAATTTGCCTTGAGAACAAGCTGTGCACATGAGGTGTTGAGGATAAGCTCGGTTTTCTTTGAGGGTATGCCCTTGAGAGTTTTGAATTAGTTTACGCATCATATTTGCACCGGGATGACCGAGCCGGTCGTGCCAAATAGTATAATCAGTAAACCGGGCTTTGAGAGTGGTATTAGCTTCAATCATACTGACTTTAGCATGGTAAAGTCCAGTAGAGAGCGCGGGTATGGTTTCGAGGATTTGTTTATGGCCGTCTACGGTTTTAGTGACTAGGAGGGATTCTTTGTTCCCTTGACCTTGGGTTTCTATGTGGAAATCATTCTGTCTTATATCCTTGAAGCTCAGAAGATTTCTCTTCGAACTAGGAGAATATAGAGCATCTGGTATTTCAAGTTGTGTGCCATTTGATAGCAACACATAGGCATGGCCATATCCTTCGATAAGGTTTGAGGGACCCGCTATGGTGCTAATATTTGCGGTTTGATAGGTTAGGTTTATGAAGTAACTTTTGTTTCTTAAGATAGTGTGGCTGGATCCACTATACTATGGTTTCTATTTGCTGGTGTGCTTTTCCACCTTTGGATTTCTGACAGGCTAATGAAACTGGGAGCTAATAGACCTCAGTTAGCCACTACAAATTCCAAAGATTGATCACCAAAACTGGAGAAGCTGCTGGTTGAAGAAGGAAAAACTCGGATCTGGTTTTTTTTTTTTTTCGGTTGATCGTCGTGTACTGTAAGTGTGCGTGAGGGCGCGTCCGACGTTGGATCGACAAACGGTTTTCACCAGTAGATTCGTCTCGTCGAGGGCTTCGATTGATATGTAGATCGTCTTCTGGTTCCTCACGGTTTGGAAGATATGTGTCTTTTAAGTTTCGACTTGCTTTTAGGGTTTTGGTGGTGGCCGGATTTATTAGGGTTTTTCGCTCAGAGAGTCTTATCGTGCTGATAACGTGTTGTGAAAACTTCTTAGAAACTTTATTAATCACTGGAATGTATATATAGAGTACATAGGGAATCTAGGTTAAGTACAATGCCCTGATGGGCCTAATGGACCGGTATAAGAGTCCATATATGATATGTGTTACAACAAGGTCGAGTTATATTATATCCAAGGGAATAAAGTTTAAAAAACCCTCAACTATTTAATATTTGTCAGTTTTTTACCTGAATTTTTTGCGTTGCTAAAAACCTACATAAACTAATTTTTTGGATCAAAAAACTACCTAAAATATTTTATAGTTCCAATTTTCACTCCACAATTTTACGGCAGAATTAGTAAACTCCGTTATTTTTCAAAACAAGAAAAAACTGAAAAAATTTTCAACTATTTAATCTTTGCCAAAAAAATACCTGAACTTTTCACGTTATCATAAATCCACATTAGCTAATTTTAGTTTTTGTTTTTTAACATTAAATGACACCTAAAAGCCAACATATCAAAGAGTTTACAACAATTAAAAAAAAATTATCACCAATAGAATTTGAAATAAATTACGACATATTTTTTTTGAAATTACGATATATTTATGACTAAAGATTCTGTAGATGTGTGCTTCATTTTTGTTTTTGGGCTAATTTAATCTCCACTAAGATGATCTTCGTAGATGATTAAAAATATCTATCATACTTTATTTCAGTTGATCACCTACTAATTTATATTTATTACTCTATTATGAGCCATTGAGATCACTGTTCCAAAGAGTCGATTAGTTAAGAGTTTATATTCAAATCGCCTTTCGGAATAAATGTGGTATACGATAAGAAATAAACCAATACCAAATGAATAACCATCAGCGAATGAATCTGGGGAGAACCATTAATGGATGTGAAGTGGTGGGATAGAAGCTGAAACCATATAATATTTCAGATTTTTTGACATTGAAAAAATAGTTTGTGTAGGTTTTTGGCAACATTAAAAGTTCATGTATTTTTTGGCAAAGATTAAATAGTTGAATGTTTTTTGTTAGCTTTTTCTTGTTTTGGAAAATAACGGAGTTTACTAATTTCGTCGTTAATGACCGTGAAATCGTGTGGTGAAAACTGGAACTATAAAATATTTCAGGTAGTTTTTTTATCCAAAAAATTAGTTCGTGTAAGTTTTTGACAATACAAAAAGTTTAGGTAAGAAACTGACAAATATTAAATAATTGAGAGTTTTTAAAGTTTTTTTCCCTTATATCCAATTAACTTTAGAATATATGTATCTACGTGTCGAACTGATTAAGAATTTTTGATATTTAAAAGCCATAAACAAGACAAAAACAAAGAAATGGGCGAAAAGGAAAGGGGCATCATAGTCTTATTAGTATATTTTCAACTTTAAAACTTTAACCTAAAATCTTTTCATTGGATAAAAAAAAATTTAAGAACATATGTCTATTATTAGACAACCTCGTATATTTTATTTTGTTTAGCAGGAAAGACGAAATTATCACGCTTCAAAAAAAAAAAAAAATTATCACGCTTCAGTATTCGTTTAAGAGAAAAAGGAAAAAAAATCATTATAAAATGTAAGAGACAAAGATATCGGTATCAAATTTTTAGAAAAAAGGACATAGATATTGGTATATAAAAAGTATAATTTATGACTAGAATTACTATAGATATTTTAAAAATGCTTGAACAAAGATTAAGAAAAAATGTATACTTCTAGAAATGTAAGGTCTTGGTAGTTGGTAGCACATCCCTCGTGAAGGCTTAACGCTACTAATGGCTATTCCCATAAGGCCCATACATATACTATTACGGGCTAACAAAAAGAAAGAAAATACGACATGCACATTGGTCTCATTCTCATCCAAAAAGTCAAAACACACAAAGTTAAGAAACTGAAAATTAAATCTCAAAAAGTAATGGTCTAAAATTAAGATACCAAAAATCAAGAGAGTAACTTTAAATCCCAAAGATACGGGACTAAAAAAAAAATCCAAAAGTTCAGGAACTAGTTAAAGCTAGGATCACAAAGTTCACTAGTTCAAGGACTTAAATTAAAGTTTATAAAGTCTATGTAAAACGTAGATTTGTGTTTTAATTTTTTTCCTGATTCTATCCAGATATGAATACATGTTAATAACTTTGAGATGGTGATCTCACTGAATCACTGATGATGTCCTTTTTTTGAACAATTTATGTGTATTAAGAGTGTAAACAAACGAAACTATCCTTTTCAAATGAAATCAGATAACTATTTCCTTGGGTTATTAGTTTTAAAATTGTGAAAGTTGGGTTTTTTGCTTAATGATCTTGATTTCATTTAAAAGCCAAAACTAATTCACTACGCGGCCAATGAGACCAGTCGTCAATAAAACGGTTGACTATCAGGGGCATAACTGTATAAACACATGAAAATTGGCGCCGAAGTAGGCAAGCAAACGTAGCTTTTGACGACATCAAAACCTGAAGAATGTCTCAGATTTGTCTTTACTCGTATCTGAAATTTCGATCTCACTTTCCTTAAAGTTCTCTTGACAAAGATAGAGACCATCACTTTCGGATTCTTTGGGCGGCTCATTGAAAATCAGAAGCTTATTATACTATTCGTAAATTTCTAATAAATATCTGATTAAGCTTCTGTGATAAGGCTATCATTAAGGAACGCTGATTAGTGATTAGATAACGTGTTCTGTCTTATAATCACAGCCTTTTCCTTCTCTCCATGTTTTCATTTTACAACAGATGTTTGATTTCTGAACTTATAGGTTAAAATTGTAAATTAGGTCAGTGCAGAGAAGATATATTCGAAAGGGATTCAGGGAAGAAAGGGATCCTCCAACTGATTTCTCAGCACGGAGTTAATAAACTTGTCATGGGAGCAGCAGCTGGTAGATACTATTCGATGTAAGTGGCTCATTAGCCTGGATTCGACTTTTTAGGTTTTTCTAAAAAACCTGGTTCATTGATCAAGTAAAAACTTCGATTTTGAAGGAGAATGAGAGATTTACAGTCCAAGAAAGCTATTTACATTCGCAGAGAAGCGCCTTATACTTGTCATATATGGTTTACATGCAACGGCTACTTAATTTGTTCAAGGTCTGGCCAGTTTAAGTCAATTTTTCCATCTTGTTTTGTGTTCACTGCTAAATATACATTAGGCACTGTTAAGGAATATTTCTTTGAGTTTTGCTTGTGAGACAAGATCTTCTCTCATCAGTGATCTTTGTATGATATCAATGCAGGGAAGCTATAAGAAGAGATAACTTGTATCTAGAATGTGCATCATCCAATTCTTTGAGCCAATCCGAGATACGTAAAGTAAGTGAAAGTATTCCAAGCTCGAGTTTGGTGAAAGATGATGATGATCGGATCAAACTTGCTGTCACGGAATCTGATCATTCGAGAAGGGAAGCAAGTTTTGAGGCGTCTAAGCGTGAAGAATCTGAAAAATCTGCAGTTGATGCAATCAAAAGGGTATAATATATAAGTTCCTTTATCATGTTCTTTTTGCTTGGAAGTTCGAGCTTTCTAACTCTACCTCTAACCAATATATATTGCCTAAACAATGGGAAAATGTGTATATCGATGACTTGAAATGTCGGAAGGAAACAGAGAAGGCACTGAGAAAAGCAAAAGAAGAACTTGAAAAGATGAGATCAGAATCCGAGACCTGAATAACCGAATCTAACATGGTGATAAGAAAGCTTCAAGACAAGTATAGCTTATCAATGGAAGCATTGAGAAGACTTAGAGAAGAACAAGAAGATTTGAATAAGATAGAGCTTAGAGAAGTATCAAAGCTGAAGAGTAACCGTAAGAACCAAGAACCGCCTCAGTACTTCATATGCCCCATTACACAAGTAAGAAACATTGCAAGATCAATGAAAACGAAATCATCAAAATGTTATAAACTTAGTATCATAAGAGAGTCAAAACCAGTATATTGTATTTGTAGGATGTGATCGAGGATCCACATGTAGCCGCAGATGGTTTTACATATGAAGGAGAAGCCATTAGCGATTGGTTTGAGAGAGGACTCGAGACTTCTCCAATGACAAACAAAAGACTTTCTCACACGAGCTTGGTTCCAAATCTTGCTCTTCGATCTGCAATCCAAGAACGGTTTCAAGCTTCAACCTCCGGAATCATTGAACCAGATCTTCTGCTTGTTGATGATTTAACCATAGGAGCTTTAAGTCCTAATAGTGGTTAATTAAGGAAGCTCTCTCATTGTCCTCTCAAGACCCGAGTTCGAATCTTGGGTGCATATCTTTTGGGGACTTTTTGATATGGTATTGGCGTTCTGTAATCTATAATAGCCGGTGTTGGCTGGTATGAGTCACTCTTTTGTAATATATATAGTCCGTTAATATTATGATATTATCTTGTAAATCACATATTTATTAAAATTAGAGAATATTCTGTTTGTTCTACTTAAAACTTATAAGATAAATTATCAGATAAAATATGACTAGAAACCTATGGTCAAATTATTATTTTTATAATCTGTTTTGTGTATCATACATATACGACCGATTCGTTCAAATAAGCATATTTTCAAACCAAAATAAATGTGAAAAAAAAAACCATTTGCTTATGCTAGACAGAGGACGACAATATTCAAGGAATGTAATTGGCTGTGGAAAGACACATTTTGAGTAAGAAGACTTTTTGACTTTCGGAAACAAACACGAATATATCTCAAGGCCTAAACTAAATGAGCGCGTATATTTTCCTTTTCATTTGTATTACTCCTTGAATTTTTTGAAAAGGTCTGTCTATTTTTAAGGTTGTTCACGGGGCCCATCGCTAAACATTGCTTCTTTTATTCTATTGATGAACGTTTGGAGGATCAATGTGAACTGAAAAACTGAGAATGATAGCAAATACAACTTTAATAGAATCAGTTTCCTTTTCTTCTTTTTTTTTTTTTTTTTTATTGAAACGACGAAGGAACGTTCTTACGATTTCGATTGACTTAATTTTTAGTTTATCTCTCGTATGTTTATATTTTGAATGAACAATAATCGAAAATGATTACCTCCTCGAGTTTTTGATTAAGTCGTTGACACTCAAAGGGCAAAAAGGTAATAAAAAAGAAACAAGAAATAATACATATACAAAATGACAGATCCGAATATTCGAAAGAACAGAGTAACACCAGAGAGGGATGACACATGCCTCCATCGGATCTTTTCTCTTTTGATTCCAAATATTTTAAACATTTTGGGGAAGAAGACAAAGCAAAAACTTCTCGTCTCAACACGAACCAGCCATTCCTTAAGATTTTCCGACAGTTTTCCAGAGAAAAGATGGAGTTTCAGGAAGCGAGAGAGAGCAACATGGACATGGAGGAAGAAGAAGAAGTAGCAGTGATGGAGGAGAGAATATATGTTGCCGTAGGAAGAGAAACCGCGAAGAACAAGTCAAATCTAATATGGGCAATCGATAACTCTGACGGGAACAAGATCTGCATCGTTCTTGTTCACCGACCAGCTCAAATGATTCCTGTTTGTAAGTGTTCTTCCCCTCACGAAACAGAGCTTCAAGATTTTTTTTTTTTTGGGTAAAAAACAGAGCTTCAAGATTTTGACTTTAAATGATCTTCCTGTTTTACTTCCACAGTGGGTACGAAATTCGATGCTGCAACGGTAGATGAGGAATTAGTGAGGGCATACAGAGAAAAACAAAAGACGAAAACAGACAAGATTCTTGATGAGTACCTTAGAATCTGCCTGCAGAGAGGAGTATGTATATATATATATATACATATACGTATATATGCGATATGAAGTTTCCGCCACATTTTCTAAAAAAGATTGGTTTTTTTTGGCAGGTACAAGCCGAGAAGCTGTGTGTTGAGATGGACTCGATCGAGATGGGAATTGTGCAGATGATTTCTGAGAAGAGAGTCAGGAAGCTCATAATGGGAGCAGCTGCAGACTATCACTATTCAACGTATTGTTGTGTCTCAAGCTTCATGCTGGTTTTTACCTGTTTCTTTTAGACCGTCTCTGATTTTGACATTGGTGTGATCAAAAATTTGCAGGAAAATGGAGGAATTGAGATCAAAGAAAGCCATCTTCATCTGCCAACATGCATCAGCGACTTGTCATATACGGTTTATCTGCAAAGGACATCTCATACACACAAGGTTCAAGCTATAATCCTCATTTTCCATAGCTGTATAGAAACAGCAACTAGATGATGCTTTTTAATTACTGAGATATCTTTGTGCAATCAATGTAGAGAAGCTAGAAGGGATGAAGTCCGAGCTCTCTCAGCTCTATTATCTGACTTTCAGAGGCTTGTGTCCTCAAAAAGTTGCACCAATTCAGAAATGCAGAGTGGAAGTTCAAAAGGTAAAAACGAGTCGGAAGAAGAAGAGGAGGAGGAAGACGAGGAGGAGAGAATATCACGAACCAGCTCTTCTCGGTCTGCTGGTACATTGTCATACAATGGAGGGTCTGAGGCTTCATCAAGTTTGACAGAAGAGAAATCAAACCGCTCCTCTCCTCCCTCTTTACCTGTAAGTCTCCTGAATTAGGGAGACTGCTTTTTTTGTTTGTTTCTTTCCTTTGCATTTTCACATGGCTCGTGAGTTGCTTACGGTGCTGATCAACCAGTGCAGCGGGATGGGGATCGGCATGATAACCTTCCTGATCAACTCCACCAAACTCTGGCATAGGCTTGCCATCCAAAACCATAAGCAGTGTGAGTGACCCCACCGTTACCTGAAAAGCTACAGAGGAGGAAGAAGTCAAATAATATAAAGCTGCAAAGATCTTGGTCACATGTGTAAATACGATGTATGTAATATTTGTAAAAACCCATTTGTGTGAGGTGAAGATGCTTTGAGGTCTTCTCTCTCCTTGTCATTTTGTGAGGCTTATGAAGTTATGATGATAAAACACGATGGAATTATATTCTTAATATTATTCTTGATTTTGAGAAAACAGAAAGATAACCAACAAATGAGCCAACCAACCATTTAATTTCACCAGTTCTGAAAAAAAAAAAAGTGGTATACAAAGGGTTGATCACTACAAAAAGAAACAAAAACAAAAATACATCCTACCTCTCGGATTAACGAAAAAAGAAGAAAAGAGAAAACAAGAATTGAATATAAACTGTGAATCACATCATGTGACTCATATAATCTTTTTATCAAGTAATTTGATATTTGGGCTCTTATCATTTATTTAAAACTATTTTCAGTTTAAGAAAATGTCAAAACTACAAAGCCTAGTTTCAAAGACAAAAAAAATTAAGGAGAAAAAAAAATGTCGAAAGAAAAGAACATTTGCCAACTTTTTGAGTAAAGCAAAATGATAAAAAAAAAAAACATAGCTTCATAGATTCAAACTTTAGACCCACCCAGATGTTAAACAAGACAAAAAAAAGTCTCGGCCATTCACAAATTGGCCTCTAACAACTTTTTGAACTTATCGGCTCTTCCAAGCACATGATTCATGAGCTTCTGGCCAGCCCGGCTCTGCCTGTCAATCGCCTTGTAGTCCCATTGCCGTTTATGGAAAAGTGCACAGGCTGCCTTTCTTGTCCTAATGATAGAACCCAACTAGAGTTCAATCTCCGAGCAAAATCCTCTACTTCTCTGTAATAAAAATGACATAAAACCATTTATTATTTAGACCAAATGCCTGTGCAACTTGATGTAGCTCTAAGTATAGAGATGACTAGAAGCGAGGTTTGTAGAAGGTACAATTGGAGGAGGGTTCGACAAACAACGAATAGTTTAAATTAACAAGCGATACTTACCTATCAAGCATTTCCTTCAAAACGGGATCAAATTCATCATCTATATACCCATCTTCAAACTCAGCCTTTGGTGTAAGAATGTCATCTTCCATACTACCTAAGTTAGATACCCCTCCCAAGCTGGACGCGGACTCATCAACAATTTTAGCATTTCGTTCTTTGGAATGCAAATTATCTGAATCCTAAAAGCACAAGGAACACACTCTCAGCAATTTGGTTACTACCAACAAGGAGCAATCAGAGAGGAACTAGTTTAAACCTTCTCGGAAGCTTCGCATGTTCCATTTGATCTACCATTCTTATGCTCCTTCCTTTTCTTGTTCTTCTTTTTGCTCTTGGAAGTCTTCACCACCTTGGGATCTGCAAAACATAATTTTCCTTACCTTCAATAAGAGCTTCAAAAGGAAGTAGAATAGAGAAAATAGAAGACTAAGAAGCAACCTAACATAAACTCATGCATCAAATATCTCAATCATGTAAATATCAAAATAGGCTCAATACATCGACATGGAATAGAACAACTCGAAGCAGGAAAAGGAAAAGGAACGTGACGTAAAGGAGAAATTTTAAGATAAGAAAAAAGAATAATCTCAACGAAAAAGAAGTACCTCTGCCATTAATAAACGATAAAAGGTCATCCACAGAACGCTCATCAACACGATCTTCAACCTCTATACTCTGGGACATGGAAATAGCCTTAAATATAAAACTAGTGTATGAAAGTTCAATCTTATAAAACCATGTTCCTAACTTAATTTTTAAAATGCTTAACACACCTTGAGTTTCTCTCTTTCTTTCAACTCCTTTCTCTTTTTAGCATACAATCTATTCAACAGTCGAATACGCGGATCATCCATTGTGTTCTTCAGAGGCTCTAATTTCTCCTCCTGATAAATCATAACAAAAAGTTAAAGTAAAGAAGCAAATGGCAGTGACACATCCTTAAAAGAGATGATAGTGAGCACTACATACCTCAGTCAGGTCATCAGGCAAATGAAATATTTCGCGTATCTCCTCAGGAGATTTCCCCTCAATAATCCGTGCAAGCGCACGACTAGTCAGATCAACCAAAGGCTTCAACTGCAAACTGTCAGCGGCTGAGGTCAACTCACAGAGCCTCTTTGTATCCATCCGGATGAATTTTTCATCGTAAAGTTTACGTTCCTACAGAGTAATAAAGAGCTCTGTGAAGAAATGGCATACGATTATCAACATTTCAACATATTTCCAATTTAAAGACCTTGAGTAAACCTTATTTGAACGTCCAGATACTTGATGAAATCTGCAGTAATCAAAAATCAGGCTTAACATGGCTGGATTGACTCGCTGTGGAAGCGATATTGCATTGTTTTTAGAAGATCCAGCACCCTTTTGTACCACTTCTTGACATATCATGGGACAGAACATTGCAACCTCTTGTTCCACTTGTTGGATTGATCCATCAGCAGTTTCAAGCCATATATAGGATTTCATCATCTGTGATGACGCCATAGAAAAAGTAATTTAGTCTTGGTCCTAGGTAATCCAAAAAACTAATCGTACTAGTGCATTTAACAGACTCTCTAACAGTCGTATCCCTCACTAAATACTCGTTGAGCTATTTGATAAGTAGCATAGATCCTTGTTGCCACGAGTAGTTTACTGAAATATCCAAGTGACTAGTAAAATGATACGCCAGCAAAATACAGTCAAAGTAATAAAGCTTACCTCTGGTGTTATAATGGCCATATCACTTTCTAACATTGATTAGAAGACCCAGTCTTCGGGTATAAAGCTCCTTGGGATAATATCTAGATAGCAGTTCCCACAATACAATGTATTTATTTATCTTGACCCTTGAGGCTTCTCAACTCTCCAACTGGCACACCAAGTAGAAAATTTCCAGGTCTCTAAGTAGAAAAGCTTCCAGGTCAATAGCTCAAACAGAAATCTCAAGCGGTTTCCGGAAACTTCACACCAAACTGGTAAAAAGAGAAGAAAAAGTTATAAGATCACTGATCATAAATTGAAAATGAGTTTTGGACATGATTCCCACACACACACAAAAAAACATACTAATCACTCAGAAACCTTTCTTGGAATCTGACTGGTAATCAACATGCATTTACACAAGTCTAATTAGCAATTTCAGTTCAAGGAATCGATTCAACTCTCTCTGTTTTTTTTTCTGCAAACCAAGTTTCCCTTGAATGTGAAAAGACAACTTCGCCAAAATCTCTCCACAGGCAAAAACTACGAATTAGCAAAACCCTAAGCCCAAAAACAAATCGACCGCGAAATCGGATACTAAAGAAATTAAACAAAAGACAGAGTCGCCAAACTAAAAGTGATAAAATGAAGATTGAAATAAGAGAAGAATAGAGGGAATAAGCACAGAGAGAAAGAATGTTCAAACTACCAAACGATTAATCGAACAAGCAGCGCGCATAGGGATACGAACAATGGAGAATCAACGAGGAAAAAACTATAGATACACGAACACAAGCGTATCGTACCTAACAACCGGAGGATTGAATGAATGTCGACGGTCGCGGAGATTATAAAATCTGGCGGAGGAGAGAACGGCGACGGCGACGGCGGCGGCAGAACAGACCAAGGAGAGAGGAGCGGATAAGAGAGAGAAAGAAGGGCTAATATTTTGGGATTTTTTTTTTTATAATTAAGTTCTCACGCATAAAAAAAAAAGAGAGAGAGAATAGAACGATCAGAGCCACGTGTACGAGCCGTGATGGCTCATGGCTCGAGATGGTTAAACACGGAAGTAAAAACTTAGGGTTATGTTGGTAGTTGATGGAGTTGGCGAGGCTCTAGAAAACTAATAATACTGTGAAACTACGGTGCGGTGGCTCAATCGCTGTCTTGACTTTTTTTTTTTCCTTCTAAAGAAAAATCAGACTCGCCGAAAATTTGGTTACTCTTCACTCTTTTATCGAAATTGTTCCTTTATTTGCGTTAACGGTTAACGGTTGTATTGAAAACGAGTCCTGCCATCATTAAAAGAAAAGTTTGGTTACTCTCCATTCTTTCATCGAAATTGTTTTAATTTCCTTTATTTGTATTAACGGTTAACGGTTGTATTGAAAATGTTACCGCGTAAACTCTTTATAATAATAATAATATATTTAATTTGTCAAAAAAAGTCAGGCCCACTATCGAAAAAAGGCTCTTGAGTAAAATTTTGTGAGATTTAGCCCATATATAAACGGCCCATCTATTAGCGCAAGCCAACAAATTATTCATATTTATTTGGACTCAAATTGTACAACTATACCCAGTGAAAGACGAACTTCATTTAGTAAGACACGAGATAAATCATACAGGGAAAAATTATATAAATTTCGTTTTTTGACAAGGGATAAAAGTTTTGCATAGCCTAATGGCTAAATAACCCTTAAAACAACACATAATACGGAAACACACAGAGTGTACTTATTAGGAAAGCCCAAGAGGAAAACCAAGACCCATTACGAACTACATGTTATCAAGTAAACCGAATAAACGTTACAAAGTTCCATCTGTTTTCATTTAGTTATGAGCTAGGATTTTTCATGTTTTTACATTTTAGACATGGCTAGGTGTTGTTGCCTAAATATATTTCTCCCTCGTCTTTGTTTCTGGTCAAAAATTTATGAGCTTAGAACATCTCCATCCCTTATACTTATGAGGGGTTGTTAAGTATTGTTTAATATTAAATTTGATATCATATTAAACATTGATTATTTCTCTCTGCCTCTCCTTCTTCCAATTACATGGCGCTATGTGATTATATACCCACTAAATAAGATTTTTCCACAAAATTTTATGAATCCGGAATATAAGCTTTTTTCTTTTTTTCTGAATTTTTTTTAATACCCTAAAAATCCTTACAATCCCACTATATCCTTCCTTGCAATTGCAATGGAGATAGTCTTATTCTTTTATAATCTACAAATCTTAATTAAGATAGGCGATGGGATTGTGACGCAACGGGAATAAAATATATTGATCGAAAGGTACTAATGGCTGAGCAATGCAATCATGAACAGCAACCAGAAAAACAAAATAAATATATAGGGACAAGTGTCATCAGATGAATGGTGGGTTTTGGATATGTAAGGCGCCGGCATTAGGTAAGACACCACGTGTCTTATCATCGATGTTTGGACGGCTAGAAATATTTGGTTTTTTTTTAGTTCTTCAACCGAAAGTCCAACAAACATTCTACACATTCCTTTTTCTCTCTGTGGTCTGTACCTTAATGGGTCGGTCTTCTCTTTAGTGGTCAGAGATTCTAGGTGATTTTCAACATTTTGGTTTAAATTGCCAATGTGGATTTTAATTTTGAGAAAGTATCTTCGGTTAGCCTTTGTTTAAAACTCTGATTCACCTAATTAAAACTAAAACAATAATAAATTGACAAGTAATCCCTTTCAACAAAAGTATATTCTAGTTTGGAAAATTTTCGTATAGATTTTAAGCCTTGAACTCTCTAAGTATGATTAATAATAAGGAGCTGGAAAAATAAAATGGTAAACCAAGATGGCCCTGAGGATGCTGCTACAAGATCGTAGGGTCCACTGGCCCACCGTCCACTTCATAAACAATATATAGCATTTTGCAACCACTAAGCTTTTTTGTTTTGTTTTCATCAGCCTTGTCTTTCCTATTTGTTAGGATTCTCAAATCTCAATACATATGCGGAATGATATTAGAGATCAGGATTATGTGTTTCAGTGTTTGATAGCAGAATGAAATTCAATTGTAGTCTTTGCTTGTCAGAAACTAACACCTTTTCAACTGTGATGATATATAAGTACTTAAACTTGTTCGATAAGACGATAACAAATCTCAGTTCTGATTAGACGATCATGAAGGGTTAATAACACACACAGTGATAGGTGTTCTGGTGAATGGAAGAATTACAGAATTATTACCATCCGAGTTGAGAATGATGCTTGATGTAAGTGCATGGCCATGGTGCATGGTGCATGATGGTGAGGCTATATTCAGATAATCAGATGTTATTTATTTCCTGGCAAGCGCCAGATAATCTCAACTGGACAACTTTTATTTTGAATTCCTTTTTATTTATCCCATATCTTAATTTTCGTAGGCTCGTAGCACCGCGACGGTAGCAGTTAGTAACTAAGCAATTATTTAGCTAGTGACAATCATGAGAAATTTTTAAAACACTAGACATCGATCTTATTAATTTATATCGACATTTTTCATAAAACATCTAAGGGATTCTATCTATCTAAACACTTATTAAACTACAAAATAGCTGGAATGGAGCATTCGAAACCCTGTCCAAACGCTTAAATTATAAACTGACCCATAATAACTAGTTATATAATTAGCGTGATGATTGATTACTATGAAGATAACATTAACAATCTTAATGTTATTGTCAATTAGTTATTTTATTTCCGTCATTACATTGCATTATCTTCCAAGCTATAAAAATCACCACCACTCCACTTATCAAATTCACCACCCACAACACACACACACAAACAAAAACACAGAGAAGAAGAAAAACCAGAAAAACAAAGGCTAGATTTCTCTCTCGCTCTCTCTCTACGGAGATGGAAGGCAAGGAAGAAGACGTTAGGGTCGGAGCTAACAAGTTCCCGGAGAGACAACCAATCGGGACATCGGCTCAGAGCGACAAGGATTACAAGGAGCCACCACCGGCGCCGTTTTTCGAGCCTGGTGAGCTTTCCTCATGGTCCTTCTGGCGAGCCGGCATCGCTGAGTTCATCGCTACTTTCCTCTTCCTCTACATCACTGTTTTGACCGTCATGGGTGTTAAACGCTCTCCCAATATGTGTTCTTCCGTCGGAATCCAAGGAATCGCTTGGGCTTTCGGTGGTATGATCTTTGCTCTCGTCTACTGCACCGCTGGTATCTCCGGTAAGTCTCCCTTTCAATTTCTGATTCCGATTTGGTTTTACTGCAATTAGGTTGTTTCCGGGTAGTCTAGTGTAACCTCCTCAATTGGCTATTCTAAGAAACTTCCCCAATTTTCGTTGCGTTCTGGTAAATTAAATTAGATGTAGCTTTTCTGTGCATAAATTCGATCCTGTAATTCGAGAGATAGAAGACGAAAGAGCAGTGGTATATGAGAAATGTTGAGAATCTTTGAAAGAGCAGCAGTATAATCTGAATGGTGTCCAACTTAATCTTTGAATATATTTTCTTTATCATGTAACTCTTAGGTGGACACATCAACCCAGCGGTCACTTTCGGTCTGTTCTTAGCCCGGAAGCTGTCGTTCACCAGAGCTCTTTACTACATAGTGATGCAGTGCTTGGGAGCCATCTGCGGTGCCGGTGTGGTCAAAGGGTTCCAGCCTAAGCAATATCAGTCTCTAGGAGGTGGAGCCAACACCGTGGCTCACGGCTACACCAAAGGCAGTGGTCTTGGAGCTGAAATCATCGGCACATTCGTCCTCGTTTACACCGTTTTCTCAGCCACTGACGCTAAGAGAAACGCCCGTGACTCTCATGTCCCCGTAAGTATAGCTAATAGATTCCAGAAACAATTGTGCAAGAAAGACTGATTCTCATGGTTCGACATTTCAAACTGTTGCTTATCGGTTTTGGTAACAATTGTGCAGATTCTTGCACCTCTCCCAATCGGGTTTGCGGTTTTCTTGGTTCACTTAGCAACCATCCCAATCACTGGCACAGGCATCAACCCAGCTAGAAGCCTTGGTGCTGCAATCATCTACAACAAAGACCATTCCTGGGACGACCACGTGAGTTTCCACAAACTATATATAAAGACCATTCCTGGGCTGCAATCATTTTTCTCTGACAATTTCGTTTATTTATGTTGCCTTTTCAGTGGGTGTTTTGGGTTGGGCCTTTCATTGGTGCTGCACTTGCTGCTCTTTACCATGTGATTGTCATCAGAGCCATCCCCTTCAAGTCCAGAAGCTAAGTTAAAACAAGACATCAAGTCCTCTGGTTTCTGGCCTTGTGTCCTTAGTCATTTCTATTGTTAATCTATATGAGTGAAATGTGTGTGTATGTGCCCTCTTCTTTGCCTAGTGCAATCGTTGTAAACAAGGAAGAAACTCCCAAAAGTTCAACGCATAAATCCTTAATTCGTGTTTATATTACAAGAAGCGGGATTTATTTGAATATTATTAATGTTTTATTTATTAAAATAAAATATGGATGAATAATTTATTTATTAAACTCAATGATGGTTTAATCTGGCTGTCGGTAAAGGGCTATATACTAGCAGATGGCCGGTTCGATTTTAAATTTCGCCATGTTCAGCGTTGTTTTGGTTTTTTTTTTTTTGGTTTTCAGGTAAAATTGGTTTATTTTAAACGTGTCAGCCTCATTTCACCTGCTTCGCCTAAATCTTAATTAAATAAACAAGAAGACCAAGAAAACGGTCCCATTTGTCACATGCTTTTCAACAAAGCACAAAAGATTCCTAGACCGATAATTAATTTAACTGAATTAGAAAAAAAATAAGAAAATAAGAAAAGAAATATACTTCCTCCGTTTTACAAAGAGTGTCGTTCTAATATTTTTCATACAAATTAAGAAATAAAATAAAAAGTCTCTTATACCCTTATTAATTTGCAGAAAATGACTCTTGGAATTATATTTATAACTAATTTTTTGAATTTATTTTTGAGATTAAAAATAGTATTTTATGTCAAAAATTATATTGAAATTCTAAAACGATATTTTTTTTGAAAAAAAAAAAGTGTCAGAATGAAATTTTTTGTAAAACGGAGGGAATATATAATTATAATTAGAAACAGACCTGTTTGTTAGATTGTTTTAATAAGGGAATTGACTGTAAATTGCACCATCCCACTCATGGATTGCAAGAGAATTGACGAGTATGAGTAAATAGAAGGTAACTCTGTCTGACAAGAACCCTTCACTTACGCCAATTTATAAATAATACTTTCTTCCAACGCTCAACTTGTCTTTAATATTATTTATTTTTTGACGACAAAAAAAAAAGCCACCAATGAAGATAATTACAATACTTAAGCAAGAAATAAAAAGATAATTTCAAGTTTAAGTAGAAGAGTCAAAAACATAATTCATATTTACTACAAAGTATAATTGTAAGTTCCCTATGATAAAAGCCTAAAAGGTAACAAAAGGGTAATATATCTTTTGATGTTTTACCAGATAGGAAGTGGATATTAACATCCAATGAAAGTTCAGTTAAAAAGAGAAGAGGATACATTGTAGAGTTAACCCCTTGTCAAGAAAAAGATGATACAGTGTATTTTTTTATATTTTTCCTCGGGCTCAGAGCCATTTATATGATTGTTTGCTCCTCCTTCTCTTCTCCACCTTTCACTCGTCTTCTCCTACTCGTCTCTCTCTTTTATTTTAGTTTTTTCTGAACTCTCTCTCTCTCTCTGGGAACTTCGTTTCGTTTACTCTGTTTAGTCTCCGATGGCTACTGTTTCGAGGAGGTTGCTGAAGAGAGAGACGATCCCCCGCATCAGCCAAAGCACGAGGAAGCTCTTCTCCACCGATGGACCAGCTTCTTTCCTTGAGAGACTCAGAAATCTTCCCAAAGATTTCCCCGCCACTTACGCCAAACGCGATGCCTCTCTGGTAAATTATAACCAAAAAAAGACTTATTTTTTATTTTGGCATCTTCAAAATTCAATCTTCTTTCTTCTGTCTTCTTCCGATGTCGATTTATCAAATCCGTCTGTGTTGTTGTAGCTCATTGGAAGAACTCCTCTCGTGTTTCTCAACAGAGTCACTGAAGGCTGCGAAGCTTACATTGCAGCTAAGCAAGAACATTTCCAGCCTACTTGTAGCATCAAAGACAGGTGATTGTATTCTCAATCTTCAATCTTAAGAACCCAAGTTTAAGTAATTTGGTACTTAATCCTAAGAAACCATCAGTAGAAAAGTTTTGATTTTGTTGTATCCAGACCAGCTTTAGCCATGGTTGTAGATGCAGAGAAGAGAGGCCTTATCGCCCCTGGCAAAGTAATCAGCTTTTTTTTTTTGCTTTTTTCAAATTAACACTGAATTTAGAGCTTCTTACCAATTGAAGTGATGGTTATTTTTCAGACAACATTGATAGAGCCCACTTCAGGAAACATGGGAATAAGTATGGCTTTCATGGCGGCTATGAGAGGGTACAAAATTATAATGACAATGCCTTCTTACACCAGCTTGGAGAGGAGAGTGACGATGAGATCATTTGGTGCAGAGCTTGTCCTCACTGATCCAGCCAAAGGAATGGGTGGAACCGTTAAGAAAGCTTATGATCTCCTTGAGAACACTCCTGATGCTCATATGCTGCAACAGTTTGCTAATCCAGCAAACACTCAGGTGCTTAAGAGCTATAGATATATTCCCTTTCTCATTTTGGCGTTTCACATTTTTATCTAGAGATGATGCTTGGAATATTGGTGCAGATTCATTTTGATACGACTGGTCCTGAGATTTGGGAAGATACACTTGGGAATGTCGATATCTTCGTGATGGGAATTGGCAGTGGAGGCACAGTCTCTGGTGTTGGCCAATACCTTAAATCTAAAAACCCCAATGTTAAGGTGATTGATCTAGGTTCTGAACATATCTTGTGATTGTCAAAAAATTGAGATTGCTTTTGCAAATGGTAGATATATGGAGTAGAGCCTGCTGAAAGCAACATACTCAACGGTGGCAAACCAGGTGAAAATTTTGGATCTTTTTATTTGTACTTAGCCTCTTTGATTCCTTGTGGTCTAAATCATTGGATGATCCGAGATTTTGCGGTTGCTGATGGTTAAAGTTTTGAACTTTGAGTTAGGTCCACATGCTATAACAGGCAATGGGGTTGGATTTAAACCGGATATCTTGGATATGGATGTGATGGAGAGCGTTCTTGAGGTAATGTATAAGGCTAAAGCTTCCATCTTTCTGCGTGTTTTATCAAACCTTTTAAAAAGCTTATGTTTTGAGAAAACGTGCTCTGAGCGGAACAGGTTAGTAGTGAGGATGCTATAAAGATGGCTAGAGAATTGGCACTGAAAGAAGGTCTCATGGTGAGTGTTTTGGAGATTAAAATGAGAGAACCAGTTTTTTGGTTTTGCTTGTTTGTTTGTTATCTGGTTATAACAAATGCAAACCTAACATGTAGGTTGGGATATCGTCGGGGGCTAACACCGTGGCAGCCATAAGACTGGCGAAAATGCCAGAGAATAAAGGCAAACTCATTGTGGTAAGAGAGGGAAAAACAAAGTGTTGTTTGGATTTTTGTTTTGTTTTGATCTCTGTGTTATGGTTTGATCGGACGGTGGGGAATTTGTTAATTTGGAACAGACGATTCATGCGAGCTTTGGAGAGAGATACCTGTCGTCCGTTCTGTTTGATGAGCTGAGGAAAGAAGCGGAAGCGATGAAGCCAGTTTCAGTTGATTGATTTGGGGCCGAGCAAAAGATTGTGACCCCAGAGCCCATTTCAACAAAAATGTCATAAGTAAACATGTTTGTTTTTATATTGGTGTTGCGGTGTTGGATATTGGAAGAATAATTGTGTTAATAATGTTGGGTATTGGAAATAATAAAAATGCATTTTCTGGTTCAAAAAGGGATTTTGTGGTGGTAAAATCTAGTCGAGTGAGATTTTTGGAAGAAAATGAGTGTCCAATCTGCATTAAACAACCCAAATGATAAATAGAGCAAAATGAAATCAAGTTTTGAATTTTAAGTTGATTAGTTGATTTTTTTCTCTATGAAAAATTTCAACCACAAAAGAAAACAGGCGAAACCCAGATAATTTTTTGATTGATGATATAATATATAACATAGAAAAAAAAAGTTGAACTTCACTCTGTTTTTTTGCCCTCTTTTAACTTTTAAGCGTTAACTATCAAATTAGCAACGATTAAATACTACAGAATCAAAGATTTTGACTTGATAAAGAAAATAGTGATGAACTTAGGATTTTGTTTACAAAAGAGTCTTGTACGAATTTGTGAAGATGTAAAGGCAAAGGATAATAATCTAAATATTACTTGTACGATTTCCCAATTTGTAAACAAACATATGTAAAGGCAAAAGGATAGTCTAAAAATTACAATCTGGCTTTCCTCAGTTAGACCTTAAGAAACGTTAAACCCACGGAGACAGTGAAACCATCTATCACTGATAGACTTGTCATCCCCTCCTTCTAACTCTAGGATGGTTTCAGGCGGTGCAACGACAAGGTTGGTATCCAGATCTTTCATAGCTTGACAAAAATCGGAGAACGCAGGGTGTTTTGTGATGTGTTTAGAGAGTATTAGCAAAGTTGATTGAGAACCATGGAGCTCTGCCCAGAAAAGGCTGTCCACCATTATTATGTTAAGTCTCAAAAGTTCATCCCCTGGAGATAGTGCAAGTGTATCAGCAGAATACACAGTAAATTTTTTTTTTTTTTTTTTTAAAAGAGAGATTTAAATACCATCGAGATGTAAAAAGGGTCTAATTTTGGCTTCCGTAACTGCCGTCCATAATTCATCCGTCAACGTATTCTCATCGCCAGATACAGCAATGATTGACAACTCCTCCGGAAGATAACCTTTCATGGCAAAAAGTTCTCTGATTTTCCCTGCAATGGAATCAGGAGGATCAGGGATTTCGAAGCCCTCCATGTCCAAAATCACACGTGCGTCCTCCGCTGCGAATGCGAAATGTCAGAGTACAATGGATTACAATATACTAATGAAAGATAGATCAGAGGAAGAGGAAGAAGACAAACAATTCCGAGCAATGGAGGGATTAGAGATCTTACAGAACGTTTCTGGGGTGGCCACGGGGAGAACTTCGTCCGGCTTCATCGACAACAGTTAGCATCTCCAATGCTAAACCCCTTCATGGGGTTCATAGGAATATTATAATATTTTTTTTTTGAGTAATGAATAGTTTAGAACTCTATTCTTTTTTCTTCCTCCAATGCTGAATCTCTTCATGATTTATTTTGTTCACTATTTGATTCTTATTTGACAAGAAAGTAAAACCAACGTAAACAATTTATTACTCAAGCTTGTAAAACCCTTACATGAATCCGTAGCCAAAGACCGACATGTTTAAAAAAAAAATACAAGAGCATATCTGCATGTCCTGTATTTAAAGCTTGGTCACCTGCAATCACTGAAGCAAAACAAACAAAAAAGAACATTTGGATCATTAAGCTCGTCATAAAGGTGAAAGGAGTAGCTGTTTTGCAAGAACTAATGATGTAACGTTTGCCATGGTTTAACACAATGACTTGAGAGGTTTCGCACCTTGGTTTGGAGGGAAGATGAAACTCTGCTCAGAGACTTTTTCCTACAAGCCTGCTTAAAGGAAACGATGTTTCCATGAGAAGATGATGAAGGAGAGGGTTTAGGAGATCATAATGTTGAGAAACATTTGAGATTAAAACTCTTAAGTCTATGGATTAGAGGTTGAAAACATCTATTAAAATAATGGATGTGGTGTACCACTACTGCAAGAGACAATAGCTAAGACAAAAAAAAAATCCAACGTAATATCTAAAACGGGATTTTAAGGGTTGAATAAGTACCTTACCTTCTACTTCTTTGTCCCAAGGCTCTTTCGTTCTCCTCTCTTCTCCTAAGCTGGAGACTGCTAACGTGAGCCACCTTGAAGTCTTTCAATAACTGCTTAATCATGGCGCTTTTAACTGCGAGCTGGTTTGGATATTCTACAGAACCGATGGCTACCTGCAGAGAAGTTCTTGATCGTGAATCACGAAAGTGCAAGAACAAGAACTAAATAGGGACCAAAAAGCTGCAGAGAGCTGCATTATTGATAACAAAACAGCTGGATAATCCATTGCCAAGGAGATTACAATTAAATTACCACAGTTGTCTCTTTTACAACAAAAGAAGAATATTATGAAACCAAGTAAAATGGCTTCATTCACTAAAATTGGGGCACATTGCTACATTATTTCTTCTTTTTTACAACGGAAAAGACCGTCTTCGTTGTAAATAAAAAAACAAACACAGAAGAAACAAAGTTAATAACCGTTTAGGTGTTAGACAGGTCCAGAGAGTAAAAAACGAATCTATGAGACATCACACATGTATGTGAGTTTTGATGATCGCCTTTCTGATTAAAGTTGCTAGAAAGAATTCCCATTTCAGAACTCAGTAATCCAACCTAAAACTAGAGATTCAAAACAAGATAACAACAAAACATGTTTCAACGCAGAGCATCCTAATAAGATCATCTAATCAATCAATGACGAAAGTTAGAGGAACAATGGCGCTCACAGCGGTATAAGGCGCGAGAGGAGTGAAAGACAAGATGTCAATTCGATGCAGTAATTTCTTGAATCAGCAGCTTCAGGAGAATCAGGTTGGTTGCAGTAAACCACACGAGAGAAACCAGGTCGTCCAATACGTGAATGGTCTCTGGCTTGAAACAAGTTTTAGCAAATGTTAATGTGAAAAGCTTGCTTAATCATACCTTTCTTCTGCGTCTCCTCTCACCTCCTTGCCTCTCAGTTCACACCTACGAATAGATCCACACATAAGAATCAGACTTTGAGAACCTCAAAAATCATGGAAATTTTAATAAAGTTTGTTAATATGTATGTTTATCTACGCAAAACCGAACAAGAAAGGCCATATTTTTGTTGCGTCACAGTGAACAAATCTCTTCGCAATCGCAAAGTTAAGCATCTCGATTTGGCTTCAGCTGATTAGGTTTGAAGGTTTCTCTCAGGAATCTTTTTCTTATTGCTCTACGAAGAAGACGATACGAAGAACAGAGAAATTTGAGAAGAGAGAGAGAGAACGTCCCAAAAAAAACGTCTCACTAATAGATTGTTGACACGTGGCTGATGAACCCTTCCAAAAGTGGGTTCTTGAAATCCTTCCTAAAGAACCGGTTCATCGCTTTTCTTTTATTTTTGATTTATTTTTAATCAAAAGATTCTCTATGAACCTCTCCTGAACCCTGCGTTGGAGGTGGTCTTAGAGACGCTACGGATGATCTGCGTCTATCTTCTATCTATATATATATATATATATATATATATATATCTACGGGCCAGAATCTTAGTGGGCTGGGCCTGTCGTCTGTTCTGTTTGATGGGCTGAGGAAAGAAGCGGAAGCGATGAAGCCAGTTTCAGTTGATTGATTTGGGGCCGAGCAAAACATTGTGACCCAAGCCCATTCCATTAAAAAAAAATGTCATACTGTAAGTAAAACATGTTTGTTTTTTTTTTTATATTGGTGTTACCGTGTTGGATTTTGGAAGAATGTTGGGTATTGGAAATTATAAAATGTTCAAAAAGGGATTTTGTGCTGGTAAAATCCAGCCGAGTGAGATTTTTGGAAGAAAATCATTGTTCAATCTTGCATTAGACAAACCAAATGAAAAATGGAAGCGAAACCAAATTAAGTTTTAAATTTTAATTTGATTAGTTGATTTTTTTTTTATGTATGAAAAAATTAAACCACAAAAGAAAACAGCCGAAACCAAATAATTATTTTTTGATTGAGTACAACAGAAACAAACATTTTGACTTGATAAAGAAAATAATCCAAAATTTATAAAAAGCGAATCATAATACGCAGTCGTGACAACTGATCCAACGGCCAGGAATCATCGATCTTGTGTGCTTCTGATATGTAGAAGCCCCTTGTCCATTGTGTAACTACTCTGGTCATATTCAAAACATGAACTTTCAGAAAGAAACCTTTAAAAAACCCCTCGGAAAACTCTCCGGCGCGTAAAAAAAAACCCTTAGCGACGAGGGAAAGAAGATGGGCGTAAATGATTTGATCACTAGGGTTGATTTCATCTGTAAGAAGTACGACAAGTATGATATCGATAAACAGAGAGAAGCTAATGTCTCCGGCGACGATGCTTTCACTCGTCTCTACTCCGCCGTCGAATCTGCTCTCGAAACCGTTCTTCAGGTTCGTTTAGGTTAAAGTTTCCATATTTAGTTCCGTCTCTGTTTTTTGTTTTTTGTGAGTAACCGTAAGATTTCCGAGGAACGTTTTAGAAAACGGAGGATTTGTCGTCTGAAGCGAACAGGGCAAAAGCTGTGGCGATGAACGCGGAGATTCGTAGAACGAAAGCTAGATTGCTCCAAGGGATTCCAAAGCTTCAAAGGCTTTCTCTTCAAAAGGTCCTCCTTTTATCTTGAAAAACGTATTAGAAGAGATTCGATACTAACGATGATTTGAGTATTGTGTATTGGTGAGAGGTTTTATACATGTGATGATAAAAAAAATGACTAATTTCAGGTGAAAGGGATCTCAAAGGAAGAGCTTGATGATAGAAATGATTTGGTTTTGTCTTTGAGAGATAAGATTGATGCCATACCAGAAGCCTCTGCTCCTTTAAGTGCTTGTGCAGCTTCAACTTCATACTCCAACATCAGATTCGATAACAATGTCTCTGGTATTATATATGGTCTTCTTCTGTGTTATAGCTAACTCTGCATTATAAGATCCCTATGTTGATGAATAAAGACTTGATCGATTGTATCAGGTCACAGAATCGACAGTGAATATTTCCGGCAAACTGAAGAGTCTGATCAGTTTAAACAAGAATTTGAGATGAGAAGAATAAAACAGGCAAGTGTGTGTGTGTGTGTGTGTTATGCATATTATACCGTTTGGTCTAATGATCGACTTCTAAAAGCAAGAACCTAATTACTGTGGAAGCAGGATCAAGGATTGGATTTCATAGCTGAAGGACTGGACACACTCAAGAACATGGCTCAGGACATAAACGAGGTCCACATTATACAGATACTGATAAGTTATCTGGTTCCCTTTATTGATCATGTTGTAGTGTTTTTCTTACTGCTACATACATTACAGGAACTTGATAGACAAGAGCCACTCATGGATGAAATAGATACAAAGGTTTATTAACACTTGTCCTTCCTTGATTTTTTTTCCTTTTTCTTTAAAGAGATCATGTTTAACCTTTCATGATTTGGTATATATCATTCAGATTGACAAGGCAGCTACTGACTTGAAAAGCACTAATGTGAGGCTCAAGGATACTGTAACAAAGGTGATAACTCACACATTAATTCCTCTGAACTCGAGATCGAGACCAGTCTCATTCGATATAAACAAGCCCATTGGTTTATCTTTAATTAATCCAGATGAGATCAAGCCGTAACTTCTGCCTAGACATCATCCTCTTATGCATACTCTTGGGAATCGCCACCTTCATTTACAAGTAACCTCCTTTTTCTGCTTACTCTTGAAACTATAGAGTTGTACTCTTGAAATCTTTCTTCATCTTCCTTTTCTTTACTTGGGGATTTTGCAGCTCGGTGAAGTAAATGCTAAGCCGCTGTATATACATACGCATAGAAGCTTGTTTATGTTAGAGTCAAAAGAGGGAAGTTTCACTTTTCATCTGTCTACTATACAGCCATGTATTTTGATCTCTACTTTAAAAGATAAATAGTAGACTAACTAAAGATGAGGTTTCAGTTATTAAGTTCACTTACAGTTATTTCGATATTCTGTTTTATTCAGTTTTTCCATTTTTATTTAACATTCGTAACACTTAATTAGACTATTGTTTTCTTATCAAAAGCATATCTATATCATCAAACACTAATATAAACACTAATATGTACATGATGATACAGAACAGTGGCGGATCTAGACAAAAAATTAGTTACGAGCATAATTTTATAAATAAGAAAAACAAATATTAGTTTGGAGTAATTTTTTTATTTTTTATCACTAAATTCAAATTATTTAAAATAATTACCTAAACTATTTAAAAAAAAAAATTAAAACTGGGGGACACATGCCCCCATAGCTTGTTAACTGCCTTTGCCCTGGTCCAGAATGGATCTAAGCAATCTAGAACTATGTGTCTAAAACAGTTAAAAAAGAGAGCCGACAAAGCCTGTTTTAGCAAGCCGATCAGGAGATTGTTTAGAACTCGAACGAACTACTTGAAGAGACACCAATCTAAAACTCCAACGCAAGTCTATTGATGTCTTTAATTAATGTATTCATAGATAAGCTTTGAGTGTATGGACCTGTTGTGTATTCAAATTGAATGAGAGAAGACATTACAAAATCCAAGTGATGAGCTCCTACTTGTCATAAATTGCAAAACAATATCCCATCATTATTCATTATCCCAGCAAAATCCATTTCTATTTAGCCAAAGTCCAGTTGGTGATGCGATCCAGGTGCTAGCAATATTGCATTTAATATGACTTCGAGGTATACTGAATCCAACCACTAAGCTCCGGGTTCGAACTGTGCAGTCAAGGTTTTCGGAGGTTTCTTGTGCAAAATGTTTATACTAGAGTCTAGTAGCTAGCGCATATTGTCAACATATTATAATTATATTTATAAAACATATACATTCAACATATTTTTAGTGTGTGTGCGTGCGATGTGGGCTACGAGTCTACGACCATCTAAGCTAACTCAATTTTCTTTGCTTTTCCTGATTGGTAGGTCTATTAGAAAATTAGATTCTCTAGTACATAAAAATCTAGAGCAGGGATGATATAAGATGATGGTGATTTGTGATAGTCATCTTTTCAATCATTACCCAAATAGTAAATGCCACTTGACCCATTATTAACCTACCCACTTCAATTATCATTATCTACATTCAATTGAGAGCATCTCTTCTTTCTACCGAATTTCAGTCACATGTGCACTAGAATATATATATGCTATAAACTTAACACTGATTCTCAATTATAAGAAGGATTCCAGAATCTGTTCAGAAAAGAAGAGAAAAAGGATTCCAGAACATTAGGAGTAGTAGGATCCAGTTTTCATTTTAGATTTTTTTCAGTGTTTATTTCTATATTAAAAATGTGTTGAAGGTAAGTATAATTTGGTTGTTTTTTCTTTCTTGTCTTTTCTCTTTGTCGACGTATCATTCGGTTCTATTAGAGACGGTTTGTAGATTCGTATGTGCAGTCTCTGCATATGTGTATATTTAATTTTAAGCAAACAATATTTTAACTTTAAAACTCTTATATACTCAATTTATTCCACTTGCCTATACAGCAGACAAATATAGGCATTTATTTCCTTAGGCTCAGTCTTTGAAAGGGTTTTCAAGACGATTTGGATTCAGTACGAATCGGTTTAACCACAGATGCCGTAATTAGAATCATAACTAATAAATAAATCAGATATACTCAGATTTCAAGATTTGTGGACTTCTGCTATATTTTTTATTAAAATAAAACATCTTCAATTAATTATTACGTTTGAAATTGACTGATAGATCTGCAGACTAAGCATGTTACCAGATTCTGCCTTTACGCATTACCATGATCCACTGAATTTAGATCCTTTTGGTTAAATCTAAAGATAAAGGTGAGACTGAATTTAAATAGTATATATTACCAAAATTACAGAGAAAAATAAAATACAGATGTGGTCACTGGTCACTAGTCAGAGACAAGTACTGACACGATCTTAACTACTCTCGGTTAAAAAAGGTTATTAAATGTATTGATAGCTCTCAGAATTAATTAAAACAGCATAAGTTACTATATATGGAAATTTAAGGTCATCACTTTCAATCTGCAAATAAATCACTTGATTGTATTAAAAATACCGAGGAGATGGATTCAAATCTGCAGTTCAGTTTGTATTCTTTTGTGGAAGTGAAAAGCTCTACCCAAGCTTTTTCTGTTACCTTCAAGGCATTGAGACAAATTCTTTAAGAGAGTAAACAAAATAAACTTTTTTTGTTTTTGGAGTACTTTTTTTATTTTTGGTTATGTTTATTGCTCATCTCATTCATATGTATATACAACATACACACACATAAAAGCGTGGCAAATCTAATGTTAGCAAGGGTAAAAAAAGCAAAATTAAAAGTACAGGGGTGAAAAAGTGAAAAAAAAGGAGACAAAAGGAGGGCACAAAAGAAACGTTGTCTATAATTCCGTCACGGGACTGTACTCACCGTGAAAATCATGAACACCGGAAGCAGCCCAGAGCCGTTGATTAAACTCTTCTTGCATCTCATCTGGAACGAACGGTGTTCTACAAAGAGGACACGTCTTCTGATCATGATCCATCCAACGGTCGAGACAGCTCCGGTGGAATATATGTCTGCAATTTCTCAGCCACCGGATCTCTTGCTCTCCTTCGAATTCGTAGAGACAAACGGCGCAGTTTTCCGGCAGTTCTTCTTCGGAGTTAGTTAGCTCTTCGAATTTGATAACCGGTAAGATCTCGCGGATGAGTAGAGCGGAGAAAGGTGAGCGGATTTCGGGTATTCGGGTCGGGTAAGATGTGTAATCGGGCCAGTTTTGATCCATTTCGAGGAATTCGGAGAGACCCAAGAAGCGGAAGAGAGAGAAGACGATGGTTCTCATGAAACCGAGAATCGAAAGCGCTTGTACGAAGAGCTTCGGGAGAAAAACCTCTGTGTAACCTACGGGGAAGCCCATGGAGCTATAACTTTAAGAGAAAGAGAGAGTGAGTGAGTTCTGATTTTCTCCTTTTCTACTTTTTTTTCTTTCTTTCTTTGGTTCTGTGATCAATAAAAGAAAAGTTGATTTTTTTTAATTTACAGAGAGTTTCATTTATAGAGCAGGTGAGGAAGAAGATGAAGAAAAGAGGGTACAAGATTCATGTAAACGACGCCGTCGCGCCATGTAATGTTGATTTTGATAGAGTTAACCGACTGTGACGTTTGTTACGTGAATTTCTCAATGAAGGAAAAAAAGAGTAGAAATGCGAAAAGCAACAAAGGGAACTAAGATTGGTCTGTGAGATGTGGCTCCGTCACCAACATTATTGAACGTTTTTATTCCGCTGCGTGCGTGTCTACTGTATTACCTTGTTTTGGAATATTAAACATCTGCAAGTTGCACGACGATCGGCACACGTGGTTACGTGTGGTTGATAGGAGATGTTACGTTGTTGATGTGGATGTGGAATTCCTTCGTCCTATTATTCTTTTCTTATATTAATCAAAGCATTTAAAAAATATATATATATATTAGAAATCAAAGCATTTTCATTTTTGGGATTCGTTGTACACTATTAGTTTTTTTTTTTTTGGTTTAGCATTCGTTGTATATCACAAAAAAAAAAGCATTCGTTGTATATTATTTAACACGTAAAAAGTACACTAGGCAGTAGAACGATCGAAGATCGGTTACGTTCTCGAATCACGCTATAAGGAAATTCTTTTATCAGAACAGAAAAATAGAACTCTAATCGTTATCTTTCAAAACAAAGGATTGCAATTTTATCAATATCGATAGCTAAATAACATTTCTAGCAACGAAAAAATGAATGGTTGGGTTTCATTACGTGTATCATACGTCAAAAGAGGTCTGATGCATAGTCTCTATTAGCATTTACTGAAAATTTCCGCTCTTCTTCTTCTTCTTGTGCCTTTCACTTTTATTTTTCTTGACAACAAAGGATAGGATATATGGATAAAAAACAAATTAATTCTTAACTACATCTGATAAGCTAGTTAGCTAGTAGGTTTCTTTTTTATTTAAAAATTTTAGGCTTTTTGTGTGATTCTATGTTGGAGTGTGAAATATATCAACAAATTGGATAGAAACTTACTATTTCTGTAAATTCATTACTTTTCTATTTGTTAGGTCCTCATACAATAGGCTTGTTGCATTTTTGTATAGTTGTGTGTTATTTGAATACAAATAACGAACAAATTTTTCAAAATGTACCTATATTTAAACCCCAAAAAAACCATATCAAAGTGTATATATATACATATATAATTTTGAAAAAATCATGATAATATGTTTTGAGATCGGTGAAAAGTTTAAATGAAATCTATTTGGTTGTAAGAGAGAAAAAAGGCATTAGGTCGAGTAAAACATGACAAAAGCAAAAGTTAAAATGAAGAAAGTAAAGAGAAACGAGAAAAGGCCAAGGCGATGTGGGTCATGAAAGCTTTAAAGAGAGGGAATAGAGATGATTAATATAAAGAAGAAGAATCAATCTTATCTATACCCCTCCTCAATGCCCAACTTCGAAAACGAGATATATATGATTAAATAAAGATGGAAAAAAAATTCAATTGTTAAACTGAGTGGTGGGCCGGAGAGATTTAGGAGACAAGTCGTCGGTGGCAATGATCCTTCCACCAACCGGCAATGGTTCATGGCTCTACTATGATCGGCCAAACGTCGTTTTTGCAATGAACATATATGTTTTCATATCTCAAATCGTATTTAAAAATCAAGTGATCGCAGTCTAATCATAGTCTATGATATTTTCTTCATAAGATATGTACGAATCTATAGTAGTGCAGGTTAACATACAATTATATTACTATCTTAAATTATTTGTTTTTAGGAGACTCGATATATGACACGGAAGAAAGAAAAACATAGATAATAATGACATTGATGCCTTTGATAAATTCATGAAGTTATGGGTGTAGATAATGTTCACACTCTTCCCGCCGTAACCAACAATCTATGAAGCCATGATATGTATGTACATACAGTTTGGAAAACGTAAATAATTATTCTTTATACTGTAGCCTACTAAAAACTGCCACCAAAACACATACAACATAACAAACTCAAAGTATCAGCGTTTGAGCTATCATTGGTGTTGTTACTAGGAATATTTAAAATCGTTCTAACAAAGGCGTATGGTATATATATGATTTTCCCTTATTAACTTATATAATATATATATATATATATATATATATTTCAATTTTTCAAATTTGTTTTACATGAGAGAGAGAGAGAGAGAGGTATCACACACTATATACTATATATACAGTACAGTATATCAATAGTCAAAACCCATAACTTATCTTCGTTCAAATTCATTACGCTCATTAGTCACCGAACATACATGTATTTATTAATGTATAATCATACGACAAAAAAACATGCAATTTGTCAATTACCATCGGTCCAAAAGAAGAGAAAAAAAGGCTCTAAAACGATAAGGGAAACGAAGGAGGTATGGACATTGGAGTGTTGATTTGGAAGTGTTATAATGAGGCCGAGACAGTCACATGGCCCTATTGCTCCTATGCCTTTCAACTCATCTTCCACACTTCTCTTTGTCATGTCACTGTTTAATTTTGGTTACTCGCACCATCTCTTTCTCTGGTCCCATCATGCATGCTACGAATAATACTTGATTGACTCTTACTTTGTTTTTTTTCTTCCTACACTAACTTACACGATAATCTCAATTTCATCATCCAATATTGATCTTAGATTTTAAATGATGTTTTGGTGCTATATGTGGTTTAATCACTACATAGCCTTTATATGATGAAAGTCACGCCAATACATTGTTTTTATTACACATTGTATTTATCAGAAGAAAAAGTATGATCAAATCTTAATTAATTATAGTAGTTCATGTATTCAGTTTCTTCTCAGCTAGCAATTTTTTTTTACTAAACGGAATATGCCTTGAAAGATATTTATCAGGATTTACAATGGTGTTGCATTGCATGTGTAACGTTGGAATTTGGAAATAAAAGTTATTAGGTAGTGTGAATCTTATAGGTGAATGATAAAAAGAAACAGGTCAAAGTTGGCATCGGCAACATTGGCGTTTGCTAATCACATGATTCACAGTTTTGTTTCCTATAAAGTAGGGGTAGTTTGAAGAAAAGAAATAAATGTCTGATTCGCTATAGTAAGATTTCGTCGATCGATTACAGAACGATGTTCATAGAAATCTAATAATTTTGCTCGTGAGTGTAGTCTTAGATGTCGTCTTGTCTTTTTTCGTAAACGTCACATGGTACCACTTCATGTGATTTGTGTCCTTGGACCTTGGTACCACACCATGTTTTTATTTCCAATTGGATTAAAAAAGAAAAAAAAAAGCATTTAATTTGTAGAAGGTAATAAATCAGGTCTCTGAAATTGTAAAATCTTTGACGGCCCACAGCGGTTCTTTTAAAAGATGGAAATCCCAAATTCATATGGGCCTTTGTATTATTTTTCGGCCCAGTAATTTGAAATAAAAGCTAAGATTTTTTCTTAAAAAACTCGGTGAATTGTAGCTACTAGTTAAAAAAGAGAATCTAAGATATGGTGGGACAAAGATGCCAGGTGTCAACGAGTTGACCAATGGGGAAGCTCAGTGCGTTATCCACAGAGATAATCAGATAAGCAGAATCTAGTTTTGTCGTCATAGAGCTTTATAGTTTATACATCATTCCTATTGGTTTCTTCTTCTCCTAACACTTTGAGCCTTGAAGATCAACAACGTCGAGAGTAATGGCTTCTCTATGTGCTTCTTCTGCCATCGCCGCCATTTCTTCTCCAAGGTAAGCTCATCATTTCCTGTCTTCATATCAATTAACATCATGTAATTAGTTTAGCAATTACAAAGGCTAGGATAGTGATCAAATTGACCGGTCATGCATGTATATAGTCTCCTCTTTTTTTTTGACATCTATCGACCACCGGTCATGTAGTCTAGTAGTAGTTTGTATTTATATCTTGTTGTGTGATCCAGACATCCAGTGACCGGGTCTTGTAGTGTCAAGAAATGTAAAAAAAAAAAGAATAGTGATCCATTTGGAACAACCTTTCTACTATTGTTTTTTTTTTGTTGGTCTTGTTGAGTAGTGGCAAAATATTTAGATTATTATATTGTATGATATATATATGTGCAGTTTCTTGGGTGGGAAGAAACTGAGGCTGAAGAATAAGGCGAGTGTTCCGGCTGTTTCCAGATCGGCTGCGTTGGTGCGCGCCGTCGCAGCTGATCCCGAGAGACCAATTTGGTTCCCGGGAAGCACTCCTCCGGAGTGGCTCGACGGTAGCCTCCCTGGTGACTTCGGATTTGATCCTCTTGGTCTTTGTGAGTTTTTTTTTTTTTTTGTTCCCTCACGTATGATTTTAACCTGTATTTTATTAGAAATAATAATAAATGATTTTCATAATTTCCTAACAAATCGGACACATGTCACAGCCTCCGACCCGGATAGTCTAAAATGGAACGCACAAGCAGAGCTAGTCCATTGCAGGTGGGCAATGCTCGGCGCCGCCGGGATTTTCATCCCGGAGTTCCTAACAAAGATCGGAATCTTAAACACTCCGTCGTGGTACACGGCGGGAGAGCAAGAGTATTTCACGGACAAAACCACACTATTCGTCGTAGAGCTCATCTTAATCGGATGGGCCGAGGGACGTAGATGGGCCGATATCATAAAGCCCGGTAGCGTCAACACTGACCCCATATTCCCAAACAACAAGCTGACGGGTACAGACGTGGGATACCCGGGTGGGTTATGGTTCGACCCGTTGGGTTGGGGATCCGGTAGCCCGGCTAAGATCAAGGAGCTGAGGACCAAAGAGATCAAGAACGGAAGGTTGGCTATGTTGGCAGTGATGGGTGCATGGTTCCAACACATCTACACTGGCACTGGTCCTATCGATAATCTTTTTGCACATCTTGCTGATCCTGGTCACGCCACTATCTTCGCTGTATGTTTTTTTAATCCCAAATCAATTTTTGCTTTGTTTTTTTTTTCTTTTTTTATGGTTTGAGTACTCATTGACTAACTTTAACTTGTGTGTGTATATGACAGGCTTTCACACCCAAGTGAGACAGCAAAAAAGAGAGGATTTGGGAGGAAGAATGCGTTTGTGTGATCATGTTTGTACAAATATCGTTTTTGAACTTAAAACAGTATTATGTATTTATATAAATTGTGGTCGAATGCAAATTAGGGTTCGCCGTAACGCTGCTCTTTTCCTGACTAAATGCTCATAGCTTGCTTCTACATTAATGTCGCCATCCTAGGCCTATGAGAGCCAATCTCTCCAATCCTTTGTTGGTAATTTTATTTATCTCGTGAGAATGAAACTCATTTCTAACAACTGCCAATTACAAAAGAAAAACTATGGAGATATATTCAAATTCATAATGAAGAATGTGTACAATTAAGAAACTGTTTTAAGTACCACCAATTGGTGTTATGTATTAATTTTTAATTGATCATACATATATCTTTGAAATATAAAGTTCCAGTAGCTGAGTAATCGTGTAGTCATCAAGTTATTACTTATAAAATATCAAAACGAAATAAACAGTAAAACTCATTAAAATGGTCAGTCTGCCCATAAAAGGGAATTAAACCCACCATCTAAACACAAAGTAATTTGTCAGATGAATCTAAAAACACAAGGAAGAAAGCAAAATGATGGTAGTGCCTCGCGATAGTAGTATGATTAATAATAAGATTAAAAGGCCCATTGCGTTTTAAGTTCTTTAAAATCTTTGCAGTTTCATTCATGATCATCCGTCCAAGTCCGGTTTGCATGTGCAGAACTTTAACCGAAAAGATCAGTGAAATTAAAATGCGATCCATATAAACCGGTCGGTCTAACTCTCTCTCTCTCCTTTTTTTTTTTTTTTTTTTGTTAGCGCTTCAATTTTCATGCTCCGTTAATGGATCTGTGAGATCCATCTTCTTCTTCATCTCGTCGTGCGATTCTCATTTTTCAATCAATGTTTCTATGATCTCTGTGTATGAACGGAACCTCTAATTTCTTCTCCTCGGAATCAGATCCTTTGTAGAGAGAGAGAGAGATACTGCCAAGGATTAAAGTTTCATTGTGGTAAAAGAGAAGACAAGATGTATATGGCTTATGGATGGCCACAGGTGATCCCGCTAGAAGCTGGATCGTGTCCATCTTCGCAGCGAGTTGTGTACCTTAAGCTCGCCGGCCGGCTACTTCTGGTTGTTTCTCCGTCTCACTTGGAGCTTTGGGGTTCTTCCCAGGTGCTTAATCATCTCTGCATTTCGTCAGTGTGGTTTCGTAATTAGGGTCTAGAGTTCGTTAACTAATAGCTTTTGTTTGATTATTCCCGAATTAGCAACGAGTGAGACTGGGAAAGTACATGAGAGATGAGAAGTCGGTGCGAGAAGAAGGGGAAAATTTGCAAGCTGTGTGGAGTCCAGACTCCAAATTGATCGCTGTTCTTGTAAGTTGTTTTGGTGTTCACTCTTTCCTTAGCTAACATCTGCTACTCGGTTAGTTTTGTCAATCCGTCTCCAGCCCACATTCTATTGATTTGCGATACAGATAATTCTTATGTTTAAGGATGAGGAAAAACCCTATTTTAATATTAAATGCTTGATAATATTAAGACATTCTTAAGTCTCTCTCGTTTCAATAGTATTTTTTTGTAGTTCCTTTGATCAAGAGGCGTGAAAAGTCGGCACTTTGTTATCACATTTTCATTTGTTCATGTATGGCAGTGAAGAAGCTAAGCTGTCTGTTTATCTTTCTAAGTCTTTTCACCAGTTTTTTTATTCTGGTTTTCGATTTAATTTGCAGACATCATCATTCTTCCTTCATATATATAAAGTAAAGTTTATGGATAAACGAATAAAAACTGGAGAGAGACAGCCCTCGGAGTTGTGTTTTGCAACCATATCTCTTTTGCTAAGTGAGCAGATCCCGTTTGCTGGGGATGACTTGTCTGTGTAAGTGCTTTTTCTGTACGTGTCTCTGCCGAGCCCAACATTTACCCTATGAGTCCGCACAGTAACGTTTTGGGATTAGATATCTAAAAGGCGAATTCTTTTACTCTGTGCAGGAGCAATTTTGTGAGGGACAGCAAAACTATGCTTCTGGGACTCTCTGATGGTTGTTTATATAGTATTTCCTGGAAAGGAGAGGTAATGTTGCCCTGCTTCATCTGCATTTTTTTCGGTGTTAGTCATTGCATCGTTTCTGGACTTTTTAAATTCTTTTCGTGTGGGGACTCCTGATTTTTTTATTTTTTTGTCTTTGTAGTTTGGTGGAGCTTTCAGTATTGGCTCCCATCCTTCTGATAGCAACGATGATAGACTCTTGCCGTACACTCTCGGTAATGGTATAGGTTCTGGAGTAGCTTCAGCAACACTTGCATCTGATGATAATTTCTCAAAAAAATCGGCTATTGTTCAGCTGGAACTCTGCACTCGTTCGAAGCTATTGTTTGTGTTATATTCTGATGGGCAGCTAGTGGTATGCTCTGTGAATAAGAAAGGTTTAAAGTACACTGAGAGCATTAAAGCTGAGAATAAGTTAGGTGGTGATGCTGTTTGTGCGTCAGTGGCTTCAGAGCAACAAATTCTGGCTGTGGGCACAAGAAAAGGAATGGTGGAATTATATGATCTGTCACAATCGACCTCTCTCTTACGTACAGTTTCTTTGCATGATTGGGGGTAAGTAAGTTTTTACTATGAGATAGCATCTCGGGTATTTTCCATTTTGTTTTGAAGGATATCTTTTTTTTTAATATTAGTTTTGGTAGGTGTAGTATTCCTTTTCATCTAGATAGCTTTTATTCCGGCGTTGTGTAAAGACTAGGATATTTTACTTTTAACCGGAAGTTTAAACGCTCTCGGAAATTCTTGTTCTTATGCAAGGTTCCGGAAGTGCTAAATGTTTCGTTCCATTACAACTAGGCTAATCTCTTCAAGATTGTCATTTAAATTTCTTGTGTTTCTTTCCTGCCCTGTATATTTTGGGTAAATGGTTGGTAATACTGATTTGGAACGCGCAGGTATTCAGCGGATTACACTGGGCCTGTAAATAACATTGCATGGACGCCTGATAATTCTGCTTTTGCAGTTGGGTGGAAGTTGAGAGGACTTGCAGTTTGGTCTGTTTCTGGATGTCGATTGATGTCAACAGTCCGTCAACTTGGACTTAGTTCTGTATCTTCCCCCAAAATTAACCAAGATTGTAAATATGAACCACTGATGAATGGTACTTCAGCCATCCAGTGGGATGAATATGGGTATAGACTATTTGCTACAGAGGAGGCATCTTGTGATAGAATTCTTGCATTTTCGTTTGGAAAGTGTTGCTTAAACAGAGGAGTTTCAGGAAAAACTTATGTTCGTCAGGTGATGTATGGTGAGGATAGATTGCTCATGGTTCAGGCGGAGGACACTGACGAGCTTAAGCTTTTACATCTAAAACTTCCAGTTGAGTATCAACATATCCGTTATTCCCCTTTTCTCCTTCGCTGGATCACTTCCTGAAGAAGAATTGTTATATGTTGTTTTCTTGGTCCAGGTTTCATATATTACTCAGAATTGGCCTGTCCAGCATGTGGCAGCTAGCGAGGATGGGAAATACTTAGCGGTTGCTGGTTTACATGGTCTGATTTTGTATGACATTAGATTTAAGAAATGGAGAGTATTTGGAGATGTCAGTCAAGAACAACAGATTCATTGCAAGGGTTTGTTATGGTTGGGGAAGATTGTCGTAATCTGTAACTACATCGAAACGTCAGAGACGTAAGGCCCAATCTAAATCATCAGTTACTGATTATACTACTCTGGCTATATGTGTTTAATGTTTATGGAGAGAAAGTGCTATTTGCTAGAAATGTGTTCGCCACTCTTCCAGACTTTTATCCTTAACATTGTTGTGTTTAGTGTTTTTGGACATTTTGTCTTTGGGTGTGGTTCCATTTCACGTAAGTTGTCGTTAATTATTGCAGGTATGAACTGCTCTTCTACCCAAGATATCACCTTGATCAGAGCTCTTTACTTTGTCGTAAAGTACTACTTGGAAAACCAATGGTGATGGATGTTTACCAGGATTATATACTTGTATCTTATCTTCCGTTTATCATCCACGTATACCATGTTAAAATATATGGTGAATTGACACCTTCAAGCAAAGCAGACCTACAGGTAGTTAGTTTTTCATTTCGATTTTTAACTTCTAAATGCGAGCGCTTGACTTGCTTTTCATGCACCTTAAAGTGATAAAATGACAAACAGCTTTCCACAGTACGAGAATTGTCCATCATGACTGCAAAGAGCCATCCAGCAGCAATGAGATTTGTTCCTGACCAGAACCCGAGAGAATCTGACCTGGATAATGATCATTTGTCTTCTGATTTGTCAGACAGGGAACCCTCAAGGTAATCTTAAATAGAGTAGATCATCCGTTTCAGTTTATGCTCTTTTTCTAATTGCCTTTATGGTCTCCCATAGATGTCTTTTACTGAGGGGAAATGGGGAGCTTTCACTTCTTGATTTGGTTGATGGACGAGAGAGGGAACTTACAGACGCAGTTGAACTGTTTTGGGTGACATGTGGTCAATCAGAGGAGAAGACAAATCTTGTCGAGGAAGTATCTTGGCTAGATTACGGGCATCGAGGAATGCAGGTGATTCTTCTGATTCATAGCTGCTTTTAATGCCAAATTTTCTCCTTTTTTTTACCCTTTCGAGGATTGCCTCAGATGTGTCTGACAGTAACGCTCTGTTTGATCCCTGTCTTTTATACATTCCTGATATTTTTTCACGCTGACATTCTCTTTTGCAGGTTTGGTATCCTTCTCTAGGGGAAGATCCTTTTATGCAAGAGGATTTCTTGCAGGTATGCATGCTACTACTGTCCATTTTTCACTGTCATCAATACCATACATGCTAGCAGCTTCTATTTCTGCTCTGATTTTTATTTTATCACAGCAATCAATGTCTGCGACATTGACACTCAAACACATCCCCAAAATTCTTACTTTTTTTCACTGATCTATCAACTCAAATGCGGTTTTTTATGTTCCATCCTTTAGCTGGATCCAGAGTTGGAATTTGATCGCGAGGTTTACCCCCTGGGACTTCTACCAAACGTGGGTGTCGTTGTTGGAGTTTCGCAGAGAATGTCGTTTTCCGCAAGTGCAGAGTTTCCGTGTTTTGAGCCTACACCCCAGGCTCAGACTATACTTCATTGCCTGCTCCGCCACCTCCTTCAGGTATTTTTTATTTAGT